AAATTTGACCCCTGCAACTCTCCGTAGCGCTCTTTTTTCCACCAGTACGATGGAGGAGGGGTCACCCACACCTGCCGACCACCAATCTACTGCTACAGTGCCATGACAAGCACCAATCAGGACATAAGAAGAGCCATACTGGTTCAGGGCAGTGGCCCACCTAGCCCAGCATTCCATTCAGTGAACCAGCTGCCCACGGAATGCTGCAAACAGGATATCAGTGCAACAACACCCTCTTGCCAAGTTCCCCAGCAACTGGCACACCTGGGCACACTTGCCTCTGATACTGCAGATAATACATAATGTGACTCATTCTTCACGCCGTTTTGTGGCCTGTTCATTTAATCTTCACGTCTTTGGAGACATGGTGGGAAAATACAGTTTTCTTATCTAAAATTATCTAGAATTCCATAATTTACCCAGCTCTACCTCTCGTTTTCCACTAATCCAGGTGAGGCAGTGGCTGTGCTGAACCGGTGCTTGGCCGAGGTAAGGGAATGGATGAGGGCCAATAAACTGAAACTCAACCCAGACAAGACGGAGGTCCTGTTGGTTGGCGGATCGGGTTTCAGAGAGGGTGGATTTGACCTGGTCCTGAATGGCGCAACACTCCCTCTTAGGGATAAGGTCCGCAGCTTAGGAGTACTTCTCGACCTGGAGCTTTCATTGGAAGCTCAGGTGACAGCGGTGGCGAGGAGCACCTTCCTTCAGCTTTGGCTGATTAATCAGCTGCGCCCCTACCTGGAGTACAACTGCCTGGCGACAGTGACACACGCACTGGTGACTTCCCGCCTAGACTTCTGTAACGCGCTTTACGTGGGACTTCCCCTGAAGACGGTCCGAACACTTCAATTGGTGCAAAATAGAGCTGCCAGGTTGCTGACGGGGACAGGGCGTTATGCTCACATGACTCCAGTCCTCCGTCAGCTTCACTGGCTGCCCATTGAAGCCCGGGCCCAATTCAAGGTGTTGATTATGACCTATAAAGCCCTAAACGGCTTGGGTCCGGGCTACCTGAACGAGCGCTTACGTCCGTATATGCCCGACCGCCCTTTGAGATCTGCGGGAGAGTCCCTTCTCTGGGAACCCGCCATGAAAGAAATTAGGAGACTAAGTACTTGGAGGAGGGCTTTCTCTGTGGTGGCGCCCAACCTATGGAATTCACTCCCCAAAGAGGTCCGCCTGGCACCGTCGTTACTGGTTTTTCGGCGCCAGGTAAAGACCTTTTTATTTAAATATTATTTTAATTGTTAAAACATATGATCTGGCCAGGGCAACTTCTTCTTCCTTCTCTTTTCTCCTCCTATATTTTTATTTACTTATTTTATACTGATAATTTTAATTTTATATTTGTAACTCAGTGTATTTTTTGTATTTTTGTATTTAATGGTAATTTATTATGTTCTATTGTATTTCAATGTATTTTATCATGTTGTAAGCCGCCCCGAGGTTTCGGCAAGGGGCGGCATAGAAATGTTATAATAATAATAATAATAATAATAATAATAATAATAATAATAATTTATCATATACTCTCATCTGAACAAAGCTCTCAAAGGACTCTTTATGGCTATTGCTGTTCTTACAAGAGGTACTATTCTTTTTGGAAAATACCCCTTTAGCATGGGTTTTATTGTTCAAGAGCTATTTAGGCTTCCAAACAGTAAGAGTGATTTAGCCTATTACGTCTCATTCCACAGAAAGGGATTTGCTGGGTTAACTGGAGGGACAGCACATGACAAGTGCTGGGTGTTGCTAGGGGATGGGGTAGCTTGCTTGGTCATTTGTGTAAATGAGCAGTGCTCGGATTTAAGCCCGGTGTAATCCCATTTGTACTTCTTAAGGGGTGAATCATGTGCAGCAGCCTGGTAGTATATTGACTCAGGCAAACTATCCCCTTTCCAAACTACACTGCTAACCCAAGACAGTTGGGAGAAAGTTAATGAAGGGTGCATGGCTCAGGAAGATTTTTTAGCTCTTGCTGTACGACTGCTAATTTAAAGGAGATAATACTTAAAGTGGGCATTTTGAGAAAAAAAATTAAATCTTTCTCTGACTGGCGGATGGAACATTATACCAATATTTGATTAGATTGAGAAGTTCTGGGAGCATATTTGAATCCAACAGTCCTCCAATTCAGGTTGACAATAGGACCATGTGTGTGTATGTGTGTGCATGTGTGTGTGTGTGCGCGCTGACCAGGAGACTATGCCTTTGGAGGCTGGACTGTTATCTGTTGCGGCTGAGGCTCAGGATTTCCTGCAGGGAGCTGGACTAGAACAATTAATGGGAATTGCATTATTTTAGGAATGATACCCCAACATGTCTGTTGTAAGCTTCAGTCTTTATCTCCAAACTGATGGTTGGGTGTAATAGTTTGAGTATCATAGAAAGGTGTCAGTTGGTGTGTTTCTTCATCTTGGAAGTTGCTTCCTCTGGTGATTTGTCATGACAAATAACCACAAACACAACCTAATCTTCTAGAAGCGTTTTCCAATTCAACTTTGACTTCAAAAAGTGTTCAATCCCCATACAAGACCTTATGTCAAGGGTAGGAAGAAGAAAGATCTCCAGACTGTCTGAGACTCACAGAGGCCCCTACCAGCATGGCCAATGGTCAGGAATCCTGGGAGTTGAAGTCCAAAAACATCTAGTTTTGCCACTGCTGCTTTACATTCTGGGGGACTGCAGGAGGCGGTGGGGAAGCAGCTAAATGACTGAGGAGATGGAGTATTTCTGGAGAGGTGGGTAGGGTAAGAGGAAAGTACAAGAGCTAGAATTATAGAGAAGGGAAAGAGGCATTGCGGGGAAAGCTGTGTGGTCCCTGGAAAGAGATTTTCAGGAAGAGAATGATGAAAAGGATGCCTTCTCTCTCTGTTCAAGTTTGATGCCAACTGAGTTCCGCTAGAACGAAAGGAGAACAAATGAGCCTCTCTCCAGTCCTGTCCCTTTGTACTGATGGAAGCACAAGAAAAGCCAAGTCAATGTCCTTACACTTAGATCATGCCAGGGATAGGGGGAAAAAGGAGTTATACTGGCTGAAAGGTGCCTACTGCAGATGATGCACAGTACAGTCCTCCTTCTGTAAGAATATGCACTGAGCAAGGAACACTGTCAATCACGCTTTCTTAGAATAACATGATTCTGTTTATTCTACCATTATAGATAAGGACTAATAACACGTAGCTGTGACTGTGATTTCAGGTTTTAGGATGGGGAAGGCAAAAGTCCAAGAGTTTTCCTGTAGGTAGGGACAAATAATAATAGCCCTCTCAATAGTATGCACCCCATAAGTTTTCCCGAAGAATTGTTGCTTATGGTGTGAAGTTCAAAAGGAATGGCTCACAGATTCACGTCATGTTACAAGCTAACTAGAAATGGCAGAGAAGAGGAAAAACAAAAGGATGGGATGGGAAAGGGAAACAAAATGTTCAGGTACCAACTCTTGATGTTATACAGTCATTACGATCAGCTGTGATGGAAACAGGATGTTGTTATTTAAAAAAACAGGTTTTGTTTGGCCTCCAAGGAACAGCTGATGAGCTGCCTTTCCTCGAAAAGGGCTTTGGGGCCCACTTGATAATTGCCAGATTCTGGCCGCTTGTGCCACTGCCAGTAAGGCTCAGGGGGCTGAGGTGATGCCATGGCTCCTGGAGTAGATACAGAGGGGGAGTGACGCCTGACTGCTTTTCCTAAGTGGGCGGTGGCTCCCGAAGGCCTCTGTGCAGGAAACAGAGAAGCCCAGGCCAGCAGGATGAGTCTGATTTTAGAAAGTGATGCACTGGAAACCTTGCTTCCAACATAACTGTTGGAACTGCAGCCTCCGATAACTTATTCTTGAGAATCCCCATGGATCCCGAGCTGTGCACTTGAGTGCAAAGGTGAGCACAAGCCACCTAAAGCAGGTAAATCTCTAGCAGCAGGGAAGTTGTTAATCATCTCCGCCCACATGTTCTACCCTGAGCATTTTGAATGCTCTTACAGCTTGATCTCCCAGCCTTCTTGCCTTCTCACATCAACAGATATCTTCTCCAAGGTATCCCCAAACTCATACTCCACACATATTTTAGACCCTATTGATGTTTTACAACAGTAAATTTATGAACCTCTCTTAAGCTCACAGACCCACACATCTATTTAATAAAGCAGAAGTCTCAAGGAAGTAAAATAAAGCCATTACACTCTAACAAAACTGTTACTCCCAAAAATATTTTGAGAGGGAAGGAGGAGAGATTCCTCGAGTAAATGCTGCAATTTAGATCATCTGTTGAAAGCCAGGAGAGGAACAAGATGACTCCTTTAGTAAAGTTTGATAAGCCATAGGATATAAGGGAAATGAACAAATAAAGATGAATGAATATTGAGGAAGGAAAATGCACCATGTACCCCTAGGAATATCGTAATCTTGAAAAAGGGTAAGACATGGATGGGAGGTAGCTGAACTGTCCCCTCAGCTCCTTTCCCAATGTCTAATTTGCCTAAATCAATTATGGGGCCTCTCTCTTCTTTAGGTCTGCCTGTGCTGTTATGTTGAAAAGTGGAGAGTGACCTACCTCAAAGCTTTCATCTCTTTCTAAAACTACCAACATGGGTACCTCTTTACTTTTTAATTGAGAGGTAGTCCACCTAACCTGCTTCTAATGACCCAGAAGACCCTGTCATGATGATGCTTGGTGAGAGAGGTCAATTTCTTCTCACTTGCTCTGTCAGTTACAACCATAACTGATGCATGTACTATTGAATATAGAATCACCTGCTCTCATCTCAGTCCAGCCTGCATCTCTGATGGCTATGATTTCCTCAGGAACACCCAGGGCTATTTCATAGCAAACAAAAAAATGGAAGTGCAACTAAATGCTAGCCAAACTTTTAATCAAATGTTCAGTTATTTACCTTTTAATGCAGGCACCCTTTAATGAAGCTTTCAAACATCCATTGTTTTCATCCCATTGTTTGCATCTTGCTTTGCAAGAATGTTGGTCTTAAGAGTGCTCACTTACCTCTGAGTTTGAAGTATTTCAGATGATTGGCAATAGCCTGTTCAATAGACTCATCTGGACATATTTTAACTCCAGTAGGAAAGAAAATTGATCTCTTCCTTCGAAATAAAAAGTGCCTGTTGGACTTCTCTGGTTCCCTGAAATCGAGAAGGTGCTTAGAATCCAGAAATTGAGGAAGGTTTTGGATTGATTGCCAGCCAGTGCGTAGATGATCTGAACTGGCATCCTTTGCTTCTGTGTCCTCTGCAAACAAATAGGTTTTTTTCAGAAAAATTACATCACAAACAAATTTATTTCAGTAGCTGCTCATCTATAGTCACAATAGCACTGATTTTCATTAAAGAATATAGTCTTTATTCCAAATTAACATTATTTTGCTTATTTTTATATGTATTTAAATATCATGGGTGCCAACAGGGAAGTATCTGGCTCCTGCCCTTCATGGTTAGTGTAGTAATTAGTGTATCCTGGTAATTAGTGTATCCAGTCAGCCCCATGACTATCTTCTTTTTGTCCTACCACTGTGTTTTTAGTGCCTAGACAAAAATGTAAACTTCAATGTAAACATTTAAACGAAGTTAAAGAAACAAAGCAGTTGATAATTGCTGTTCTTTTAATCTCTGCCTATAATAGGGGACAATCACTGTTCTGAAGGTAATAGAAAGTTTGCTGAGTAAGTTTTCCCCAAATAAGTCAGAAAGTTAAAATAGTGGCACTGGCTGTATATAAGGAGCAAGAAGCTCTGCTTCCCCAGTGGCCAAGAAAACACAAATGCAACTTTTTACCTGGCTGTTTAGGTGCTATACTCTATCAAATCTGTTCTCATGCAAAGGCATCTCACATTTCCTAAGACACTAGAGGTATTGCAAATTTCCCTACCATGTTATAGTACCTGCAGTAGCTTAATCTAACATATTTTCAGTCTGTTTGTAACAGCTTGACAAAAAGCACAAACACTCAAAATTTGTCATCATTATATATTGGATTTGATTTAAAAGTTAGAATACTCTGGGTGGCTGATGTGTTTAAGGACAATGTCTTGTAATATATTGTGAACTCTGAAACTCAATTGGTTTACTTCAATGTGTTTTTCATTCATGTAATATGCTTCTATGACTTGTTTTCATGATAGCAGAGTAGTGCTTCTATCTCAGAAAATTAGGCGGCGGGGGGCATGAACAGAAACGCAGCTGAACAGCCCAGTTAGTAAATGAATGATAGCAGGTATAGACAATACCTGTTATAAGAGAAAATAGTTATTTGACATGTTAACTGTGCAGGAGCAGCTGCTTCAGTGAAAACATCTGTAAGCAGATGGTTATGCAATACCTGGGAGAGGAGTAGATGCCTTCATACGAGGAATGAAGCCCCGCTGTGACAACATCTGCTATTCTCCATCTTTATGACTTTATTGTGTATCAATATGAACAAAAACAATCCTGCTATGGATAGGTTGTTCCTCTGCTTGACGTGGACACATACAGGCCTATTACAAATTGCTCCTATCAGCTTCAAGTAGTGTGACTTTTGCTGAATTCCAGTATTCAGAGAGTCAGTCTGGTGTGATGATGAATGTGTTGCACTACAAGTGGGGAGACCTGACTTCTATTTTCCATCCTGCCTTAAAACTCACTAGATGTCTCTGAACCACTCACCAACTCTCAGCTTAATGTACCTCTCAAGATTGTTGTGAGGATAAGTGGAGTTAATCATGTACAGTACCTTGGATTCATGAGAAAAAGCAGGATATAAATGCAACAAATAAATAATAACAAATCTAGAGGCAGAATCTGTGTTCACTCGTATACCTGTAAGCATATTCTGTATTACCCCAATTAAAGTATTTTGATTAAACAGAATAAGTTGAGATCCAGAGTGAGTTCTACAAAGAACAGTCTCACTGATATCAATAGTCTGATAATCTGATAGTCTGATAATCAATAGACATCATTTATTTTGATGACTCTGCTCTAAATATGACTATGTCTGAATCAATTGCTATGTTTGGATGTTTTTAAAAAATTGCAATAAATAAATGAGCTTTTTCTTACCTGCTAATGCTGGAAATTTTCTTTCAATTAGTACTAATATCCAGATCCCCAAACAGATTTTACAGGAAAAGTCACGCATATTTCATCTGTTTTTTTCCTTGAAGAGGGAAATAATCAAGCCTCTTTTTCTCAGTGTCAGCTGCCCTGAATGGGTTCAACATCCAGTATGATAACCTTCTTGAAGAAGCTTTGTCGTCACACGTAATTGCTTTGATGAAAAAGGATTAGTATAACTTCTGCAACAAAAGCCCACCAAAATATGACTAGATTGTTTTCTCATATAAGAAATTATTCTATCCTTTTTTTCAAAAATCTTGAGAGGCACTGGAGAAGAGACTCTTTGAAATCAACCAACGGCATGTGGAGGCAATTTTTTAGTTTTAAGCTGGCGAGCTAAGCCAGCTTTACTGGAGCTTCTCATGTCGTTAACTGGCAGTCCACACAAGGACAGTGCCTTTCACACTTAATTAAGCACTGTTTTCATTGCCTTCTTTTAAAAAAGAAAGAGCTGCAGCCCCAGCAATAATTTATTTTAATGTCATGGTCATGACTAGGAGATGCTCTTCCCAGAATGCTTTCATTATTGCTATATGAAATCATAAAGGAACGTATTCGTTTGGATTAAGCATTAGGACTATCTTAGGTATATTGAAGTGGAAGGACCTCATTTACTGTTTTGCTACATTGTGTTAGAAGCAATGATGTGCATCCTTTACATTTTGGATAATGGCATTAATCACTCTCTTTCCAATTCCTACCTCCAGGCTTTTATACCTTCACAGCAAACTTTATGTGCTCAACTAGAAATGGAAAAAAGTAAACACCAGATCAGTTGTTTGGTTTTCTTACCCTTTTTAAAAATGTATAATCCATGCCTTTATGCAAAAGATGTCTTTGGGACAGCATACTCAAAACCTCACTACAAAAAGGGTATAGTAAATGCCAGCCATTCAAATACAGAAAGCCTAGTGAGGTCTTGAATCTACTGCATTATAAGAGGTGTTTATTTTTTCAGTGTTGTAATATCAGTCTTTTAGCAGTCAAAAGGACATGGAGAGGCCACTTATACCGACCTGCTGTTAATTTCCTGGTTACTGGTAAGTAATTTAAAATAGCATGTACATCACTGAATATTAAAGACTATTTCAGTACAATACTTATTTGCATAATAACTTCTTTCTCCAAAAGAGCAACTACTGGGCATTGACAAAACGCATTTAAAAGAGGTGTTCACTGTATTGCACTGTGATTAGCCTTTGTGATTAGCCCTCTCATGGCAGCCAGTTTTGGGTTTTGACTAGGATAGTTTCTTAGGATTTTAGGTGTCCAGTTGTGCCCCCAGGCCTAAGAGAAGACAATTCTGAACTACACAGAGGAATGCTCTGAATCTCACTAGGTGTAAGAGAGTTTCCTATGACTGGATCATGTTAGTTCAGTGCTTTCATGAAGATGCTTTTTCATTTTAATAAATCTGGGCTGCAGTTTTTCCAAGGGAATTCACAAAATTATCTGCATGGTACTCATGGCCCTCAGAGCATGAGCAATTTGTGCTAATTTTAAATCAGGGATCCAAGTAAGCAGCCTCTAGCACGGTCAGGGTGTGAGCAAATGAAGAAATATCGCGCTTGATTTGAGTCTATGGGACTCTTCCACTCACACACAGCACCTGCAAGGGATATTACCCCAGATATTTAGATATTACATACATTTATATCTTAACTAACATTTTCATTGGGCTGCATCTGGATAAACCTGTGTGCAGTTTGGGCCGGTAGAATTTGACTTCCTTGCTGTCTCCCTTTGAGGTAGACCCTCATAATGGTTCCTCCAAGGATTGGAAAACCCCACTGAATGGACTGGCCTTGGCATGGGAGATCAAGGGCGAAAGCTCTGTGACAAAACACATGCTTTACTTGCTGAAGGTCCCTGGTTCAATCCCGGGCATCTTCAGGTAGGACTTGGAAGAATCCTGCCTAAAACCTTGAAGAGCTATTGCCAGTCAGTGCCAATGATACTGGTGCAAGTACACAAATGGTCCAACTCATGGTAAGTCTGCCTGCTGCTCTCCCAATTTCAGGGATTTTCCCATCTCCCAGAGTCTCGGTGGAGTGGGCGATACTAGAGGGAGGAAGGGGCTGGCTTATACTTTAAGACATGTGGTAAGAGCCACTGTACTACATTGTTGGACAACTGGGAAGATCCAGTTTCAGAATGGGCTCTGCCATGTGGCACTGGCTATATCACTACTTCATACTTTGTTGCAAGGAAGAGTGTCTGGAACAAACAGAAATTCAACAATTATGGTCTTGACAAAGTTGCTGCTTCTTTTACTTAAGAAATTTAATAGCACAACCAGGCTGGTGAATATTATGATGGGAATGAAATAGGTATCATAACCATAATATAGAAATCAACATGCTCCCACAGGAAAACACACACTGAAAATAAATGTGACCATATTGCATTATTTTCAGCAATGAATTTATGACTGATTATGATGCTGTATGCTTATGATCTCCCTGGCAACTGTATTCATCGCCTTGCAATTGATCCTAGAATCGTGGTGGTTTTCTGCCTCCTTTCCTCGAGCACTCATGTTGATGTGAGGCAGTGATATCTAAGGGTCTAGAACTGCTAAGCACTTCTATACTAAGCATGAAGCTCTTAAAAGCGTGCATCTCAGAAAATACCAAGCAAACATAGTTTAAGGGACATAAGGCATGAACCCCATAAAGGCTAGCCTGAAACCCTTAATTCACACAGGAATAGCAAAGCGGATGGAGTATTTTAGACAGAAATGTGAATAGGAAATCTAAGGAAAATAGCTGCAAGTCAAGAAATGTATGCCATATTTAACAATTTAATTTTTAAACAATTTATTATCTTTCTGTGTCACTTGCAGGCTTTCAGTTCTGGATTACTGTTCCATTAGACAGGCCATTTTTCCTATGCAGAGATAACATGTAGAGCAGGGGTCTCAAACTCAACTTACCTGGGGGCCGCTGGAAGTAGAGTCTGGGTGAGGCTGGGCCGTATCAAGTATTCCACCACTGCGGTGGTGGTGGGCCGCTCATCCCGCGGCCGGCCCGGGCGCCACCGGCGCTTTGAAGGCCACAGGGGCCCCCCCCGCATGCCCCACCCATCCCAGCAATTGGCCCGCGAGTTTGAGACCCCTGATGTAGAGGAAAAATCTGTATTTGTGAACATCAAATGCCTATTTTTCAATTTAGTTTGAAACCCACCACTGACTTCAAATGCATGTACATAGAGCAAAATGCATACTCTTATCATTTCCAAAACTGATAGCGTACCTAGCTGTTTTCCCCACTCACTGTATAATTATTATTTTATGTAGGAAAATATTGTGAACTGAGTCCTCAAAATTATTTGTGCTTAATAGAAGTTGTAAGTTAAGCAGGGAATATTCTGCCAAATACCAACAAAACAGCACTGATCAGTTATAACTAATAAAATTGTTGTAGTAACCAATGGAAAAGATATGGATTTCTTTGTTTTAATAAATTTTACCTTGCTTTTGATTTCTGAGTGTATTATTTTATAAGAGTTTTGGTATTTTAAAGAGAAAAATATCCTTTATGACCACAATAATGAAATAGTGATTTGCTTACTGGTTATTAAACAAAAGAACATTCCTTCTTCAAAAATTTCCTTCCAATAGTAATCACAGCAGAAACACAAATGAATGTAGTCAGTTCTTTCTGAAAAAATATCTGTATTTATTCAGTCAGTGCTTCTAGCTTATTAAATACATGACCAATCCACATTTAACTATATTTCACACTATGCAGATTCACTTCAGTTGAACCTCTTCCATAAATGTCTTAGCCACAAGTATAAAGACTTGGGACAATTACTAATATTCAGCTTGCTATACACAGTGTGTCTAAACAAGATAAGTCTTGAACAAAGTAGAAGTGAGTGAGTCTCATTTTTCCTTGTATTAAATTTGGTCACTGAAATGGAACTTCAATGTTTAAATGGGGCTTAGTCCCAGCTTGAGCATACGATTGAAGTCAAAGTGCCTAATAATGACATTTCTCCCCTCTCCCCAAAATAAATACCATGATTAAAATAGTAAAGCAATTCTCAATGGGATAATACCTAGCTAGACATAAGCTACAGCTGATTCCAGTACAGAGAAGGCCATATGGCCTTAGACCTTCCTCTCTCTTTCTCTCTCTCTCTATATAAATATATATGAAAAATACATAGTATTCATACCATAAATAAGTGCTGCACAGCAGAAAGTGTTTAAGGACCTGAATGTGGAATACATTGTCCAGTTAGACATGAAAAAGATTTGACACCATCACCCCCGTTTACATTTCTCAATTTAAAGCACAATTTGACATTCTGTTCTTGATTTTAAAAAATGTAACATAAAATGTTTTTATAGATATTATCTTCTGAAATACGGTGATAATCTAAAGCAGATCAGTAGCATTTTGTCTTATTCAAAAGTAGCTAGAAATATACATCTTTTTCACAATATGGAAGTAGTAATTGCAAGATTATCTAGATTGGCTATAAAACATCACATGGAAAACATCCCCAGGAAGACTCAATAATGTTTCCATCTCATGCAGGCTCAGCTCCCCCAGTTTCAGAAATGCTTGGAAAGATGGGAATGAACCCCTCAAGGCTAAAATATTTCCCATCTCTGCAGCATATTCCTGCTTTAAAGTTTCTGTGTCCCCAAATTAAAATAAAATCAAACAATATCAAAATATTTACTTTAAATTATATAAACTGCAATTTATAGACTTTCAATATAAATTAAATACAACATAAAATCAAGTATTTCTTCTTTGCAAGACTGAAAGTACAAGCGCTGCTAATCAGATTTCTTGTACTCCTGGACAAGTCTTCTTTTGAAAGATCAGAAGAAAAGTCACGCTAGCTTTTGCTGCCACTTTGCTGCTGCAAGTGAAGTTGCAAGATCAAGTCCCTAATTTCTTCTCGCTTGCTTCTCACCACTTGGCGAGGGAACCATCGCTCCAAGTGCATTGGAAGTTCAAAGTTCACAATAGGATTCTGATGATTTAAAAAAGGGGGCATTTAATGTTAACTTTATGTTAATAAAACACAAGTATTTCTTTCCCTTGACACAAGTCTCACCTTTTACTAACATTAAACCAACTACAAATAAAAGAAACATACACTACAAAGGAGTTAAATCCATGAACATGTGAGTGGAACAACTGCATGAATTAGAGCTTTTCTAAGAACAGTTGCTCAGTGATGGATAGAACTGTGCTTGTTCTGGCCACCTGGATCAAGAGATGGTGACTAAAGTGATAGAGCATGGGGTAGAACAGCTATCCATGCACCCACCCACCTCCTGTATTAATTATAGGCATTTCCATGCTCCAAGCTTTTCCAAAGAATTATGGATCTGCAGGCCTGAAACAGGATTCAAAAGAAGCTAGCTGAGTTCCCTGCACAGAGACCAGAAATCAAAGCACTCCTGAAATTTGCTTGTAAGCACCATAATGACTCCCACCAAGGAAGTCCTATACTGAACACAAAATAAATCAAAGCCAGAATTAAAAATGGAATGCCGATAAAGGATATAATCTCTAGCCCTCCCACAGTAATCAAGGGAAGCTATCAAATCTAGACTTTCCTGTCATCAAATTGCTTATGGTAGGAATATGACAGTTTTATCTAAGAAAAAAATTCAAAAAGCATTAGAATTCTTTGCACCTGGAAGAAAGTTTCCACATACTGTAGTAAATATACTCCACAATCACTACTATTATCTTGTTTGGGGACTCTTGGACAGAAATCGAGCACTGTTGATTTGCTGAACTCACGAGGTGTCTTGCGCTTTGCTTCCCACTCTGCTTCTAGATACCTGAAATGAATACCAAGACAGATACTGAAGAGGATCCAGAATATGTTAGTAGGGCTTATGTCACTAGTTAGTTATGGCTTACTTAACTCTCACTGATTTAATGAGACCTATATATAAATAACTCAAGAGTGAATTCAGGTAGTCCCAGTTAACTAATGAGTTCTGTTCCTGAGAATATCTTTAAGTTGAATTTGTATTTAAGTTGGATCATGTAGGTTGCACTTAGCAAGAGTAAGCCATGTGTTTGTCTTAGTAGACATCTATATTTTGCCTTTTTATGCATATAAAACACTTAACACTTCCATATACACTTGGGCCTCCACATTTGCAGGCATTAGGGGTGGAGAATCCCTGCAAAAGTGGAAAAACTGCAAATATCTCTAGTCCACCCCAAACCTAAACTCTTAATACTGTTGACTACACTTGTACTGGATTGCTTCTTCTGCTCTCTCCCCCAGACCTTGGTCAGTCCAGCAGGGCTCCTCTTCTTCATTTGTTACATTCTTCTGTCCTTATTCCCTGCCTCTCCTTCACTCACCAGCACCTCCTCTTTGCTCTAAGGAATGCTGGAGATATCTCGCTATCCAAATAACTGGGGCAAGAAGGCATGCCTCAGACGCCCTCCCTCTCTCCCCTTTCGCCTCCTCTTGCTTTATGGTGATGGCCATATTCTGCAGTAGGCTGCAAAACTCCAAAAGTTCCCATGTTTGTTACTACAAACCATTTGCCTAACTCAATTTTTTTAATTAATCGGATTCATGGCAGTTTGTTCATAAGTAGGAATGCTCGTAACTCAAACATTTGTAACTTGGGGACTGCCTGAACTCAAAAAGTAATCACCTTTAAGTAGTTTGCAGACTTGGTTAACAATATAGCATTTTTCCAGTTCGAAGATATTCACACATCACCCTATCACCATTTACAAACTTTCACCTTCAACCTATCAGGATATCAGTATACTGTACAATTTGTTATAACACAGAACAATAAAAGAGTAAATAAATTAGTTAACTATTAGTCCCTTATTTCCAGCATGGTACTGGCCTAACTCACAGAACAGAACTGTATGTCAAATGTTCATTAACAGTCAAGATTATGGAAGAATGATGACCAGTATATTTAACTTTTATTTTAACTTGGATGAATATACTGTATATCCATTTCTGTTTTTCATAGCCTTAATATACAGGTGCTTACAACCAAACAAAAAACAGTGTATGTTAAAGTTTACTTTGCAAATCAGGACAACCAACAGGATGTTTTGAATGTTTTAAGTTGCACTTGCTGATGCATGGAGCATCCCTTTGAGCTACAAAGATGTAATAGTAAATAACTTTAGACAGAAAAAAGACCTACAATTCCTTAGAGGTAGGAGTCATCTAAACTTGTACAGGATTGTGCCCTAAATCTTCTAAAATGTAGACTCATATTAAATCCAGTGTTACTCACTCTCTCAAGACCTGAACTGTATTCTGTACAGAACTTGCCTTCAGGGAATCTAAGATGAGGATACATGGCCTATATGAGAGAAAAAAAACCCCCAACATTTTAATTTTCCATTTAAAAAAATCCATGTTTGTTTTATGCATTTCATGGGTAAAAATCGATAAAGCAATTAAGTGTGACTATGGAAACAAGCTTACAGCTGTTTATATGATGTGCAGAAAAACAGTATATGGCACTAATATTAAAAAAGTTAATATAATCAAATGATGTAGTGTTATTATAAAAGAAATGCCTACCGTTTACAAACTTTCTTCATTTTAGAAGAGCTGGAAGAGCTCTGAAAAACATATTCATATGATCACAAAAAGTAAAACAGAAAGATAAGCCAATTCTCTCACAATATAATATTTGTATAACATGTTAGCAAACAAATAAAAGCATTTCCTGGTCTTTTTAACTTATTTATAGCTTCCCTTTCCAAAACTCAGTGCATCTCATAACATCAGATATAATGATTTTAAAAGTTTAAATGGTTTTCTAAATAAGACATTTAAAATCAAGTGATCATCCAAGAAAAATATTATTACAACACTAGAAATAAAGATAGCTGAGGTTAATACAGTGACGGTTGTTATAGAATTTGATTTCATCATAGCTGGAGCAGAAGTACTGAGGAGCATCAGAAACTTAGTTAAACACTTGCTGTATCACCTTTGTACAAGGCTATACACTTTAGGAGAATTTTCATGTCCCCCAGCCAGTGCCCAGAGGGCCAAAGATTTCAGATTCCCACTGTCAAGGCAGTAGACAGTCTTTGGAGCTGGGAGTTGAAGCTCAGACGGTACCCAGTGCAGAAAGAACAGCACTGGCTGATTCTCTGAACTTAAGAAGGCACCTTGGTGGAAAGACGAAGGGGACATTTTGGTGGATGGGGAGGGCAAGAGACTGGAGAGTCCAAACTTTCCAGCCTCCTCTCCTCATTCCCTTTCCAAAAATGTTTGCAAGGTGGGCCAAAAAAGCCAGCACAATGAAAATGCAGAGCAGAGGGACAAGGCAGCCTCACCTGTGCTGCTCTTCTTGCTCTGCATAGGATGTTCTTAAGCCTCCAAGTTCAGGAGCCCATAGCACTGCCCCTTTAAATGCTTAAATCTCCTGTGGCATGGAAGGGACTACTGATGCAATCAAACAAAAGAGCATTCCTATTACCCAAGGATGGTAGGATGAAATTAATGTTTCTTTCTTCAATTTTAAGTGTCTTTATTTTTCCATTAGGCTACAGTTACACCTTAGGACACAAAGGCCTGTTTCAGATGTCCCGATCACTGCTTCATAAGCTGAGATATGAATGAGCCTCTTCACTCTCCTCAGTAATTTTTCCAGTTTTGACCAAACTGGAAAAATATTACTACTACTTTGGGACAAGCTAGGATTAAATTAGAGACATCTTGATTTGATTGCATGTGCAAAGAAAGAGGGGTGAATACAGTATGTGTATGAGCAAAAGTCTAGTTAATATCTTGGCTTATTAAACTGAGTGACAAGGACACTTACTTTAGAAGGTTTGGAATCCAAGTCCAGGGATACAGTTGCTGGCTGAACATTATCTAACATGACAAAGAAAACAGGATATGGTTAAAGAAAACACCTCTAATTTTGGTGAAGAAAATTACAAAAATGCATGGCATTTGTGAAAACTATTATTTATTTCCTTATTTAAAAAAATCACACTTCACTTTTCTTGTATAGTTTAAGGAAGCTTACAAGAATAATGAAGTAACAAAAACCAACAATACAAACAAACAGACAAACAAACAAAAAACAGAATCAGCCACAACAAAACAATTTAAAACTAAATATTAGGATGCAACCCTATAGTTGAGTTAAGCCTGCTGAGCTGCTACAGATGTAACAGAAGCTCCACTGTGCTAGCAGAGTATCAGCTGCACCACTGGAAGTTATACCAGTTGAACTGCTTAATACAGCAGCACAACATGACTCTTGCTTCTACTGGTAAAGTGGCCAAGATGGGTCAGAGAAGTGGGGTGTGACATGGACAGCAGAGTAAGCTGTGATCCCTTGCTGCCACCTCCTTTCATGGTTGCCCTTGAGCAGGAAGTTGCCCAAGGCCGACATTCCCAGCAACAGAGGCTGCGGACAGCTCTCTTCAGCAGGCACTGCCACTGAATTCTGTTCACCTGGAGCACAATGCTGCAATAGTGGGAACAGCAGTTCAGCAGCAGTGACAGGAAAGAAAAGTTGTGAGAGGGAGTGGAGCCAGAGATGTTAACAACCAGTAGAAAACCTGGACAAATTTGGAACTAACTTGTTTCTTTTCCCCAGACTTTTTTTCCATCTGAAAAATGAAACAACGTTAAATTATGAAATACTCTCTTTTAGGTATTCATATATTGTTACTTTATGTTAGTTGCGAAGTCATGTCTGACCCATCACAACCCCATGGACAACATTCCTTCAGGCTACTACCTGGCCTCTATTTCCAGAAAACAATTTCTTAAGATGACATAATAGGAAGTCTTTTACATAGGAATAGAGATATACAATTTCTGCACCAAAGGATATTTTAAAACACTTTCTGTAAACCACACTATTCAATATATATTCTTGAATTATCACCTTGCAACTGTAGGTTGCAGTTTATATCTAGCTCCTCTTTATCACTCCAGGTATCATTAAAGACTAGCACAGAGTCTTCACTAGAAGTATTGCTATTTTTTGGGGGCTGATATGTTAACTGCTGGAAGCATGATTGCAGGGAACACGGTTGTGGACCATCTTCATATACAACTTCTTCTAGCCAAGGGAAGCAGATGACTGCAATGTACCAGTGTGACCTGGCAAGGAAAGGAAGCAAAAGTCACTACTTGCTATGCCGTGGTTGCTCCGTATTCATTTGCCTTGAAGCCAGTGAACTCAACAGAGCTTACTTCTCAGTAGACATGCCTAGGGTTACATTGTAATAGGAGCTGATTATGAATGCCTTTCCCAACTGTGATTTCTGTTAAGGTATGACAATAAAAAAGCCCAAAGAAAAGGAGAAAATCTTGAAGCATTTTCCATGTTAACATCTGCCTCTTCAGTGTGATACCTAAATTATGAGTTATCTATAAAAGACAAGCACTAATTATATTCCCCTGAGCTTATTATAATTGTTTTCCTGTTCATGTCAATTTTTGAAAACACTAAAACTCTAGGTGACAAAATGTGGAGGCAAGAAATACAAGGTAACATTTCTGAGACAGATATTATAGAACAGAAAGAGTATTAGGTCCCAATTAAGGCAGCAAACTTACTCTTCATTTACAGGCACAAAAATATAGTCTTTATTAAAAATGTTTATACGTCGAGTCCATCTTTTCACTCTCCTGTGTCGTCTTTGTGCTATTCTGTGTAGATAAAAAAGTATGATTATAAAACTAGCCAGAAACTTGAATTGTTCCATGCCATTCCCTAATTGATGGAACAGACAAATCTGCCTTTAAGAATTAGGTGGCCTGTGCTATGTGGCCACTGGTCAGGACAGCAGTATCCACCATTGGGACCAATGAAGCTCCAGGCTGGGCAGGGCACACTGGAAATTTTAGGACTCTTTTGGTCCAAACATACATAAGATTGCAGCCTTAGTCTTTGACTGACAATTTCCTTGACAACTGGCCATTCTAGCTTAGGATGATCTATACTGCAGTCCAAAGTATCTGGGGGGAAACTAGTTGCTGAAAAAATATGGCAAAGAAACAAAGAAAAACCACTGACCTGCAACAATGGTAAGGCTTTTATTATAAATGTGAGGGCTTTTGCACAGGAATACTTTAAAATTGAGCTCACACTTACAATTTGTTTGAAGTAACTAGAACTGTAATCCTTTGCACTTTTCTCTAGGAAAGAACACAGCATGACTTATGTCTGACTCACTATACTTAAGGCTGCACTATAAAGGATGTGCTTAGTCAAACTCACTGTGCCCAAAACAAGCCATAGCTTCAGATGAATCCCACAGAAACAGACAGAGACCCTTTCCTAAATCTTACTGAAAAAAGGTGCCACTGCTTTTGCTCCTTTCAATCACAGTCTGGAACATCAAATCAGGAATAATAATCTTGTGGTGCTTTCATTAGTATATATTTAAGTACAACTTACGAAAGATTAGGATTTTCTTCAGAATTCTTCTCTGACCTGGTTAGACATTTATAGAAGAAACTGCTAAATATGTGTGACCGGTCAGCCAGTTCTCTGGGAGCTTTTTCTAGTAACAGATACCTTCACAAAGAGGGAAAAGATTTGCAGATACTTTATTTCTTACGTTATTTTTTACATTCATTAATTATTCTCTTTTCTTCCAGTAATAATGATGAAAGGAGCCTCTGTTTTTTGAACTGAACTGCCACATTGTGTTTTGGGAAGGAGTGAGCTAAAGACTGTTTTTCTTTACAAAGAACGAAGACAGTCCCATTGTTAAGACTGTACTCAGCCATACCCTATATTGTCCTCATAGTTTCACAGGTGAACAATCCATGCAAATAAGCCCACAAAACCCATTAGACAAAAGCATATTTTAATAAAACTTCCTTTTTTAGGTGCCAGGAAGCAATGTTTTCTTGTTAGAATGACTATTTCTAATGTCTTTTACAACACTGAATAGTTGAAAACCAATATAAAATCAACCTGCATTGTGTGATCTTAAAAACTCTACTCCTTGCTTCTTGATATCAAAAAAATTACCAGAAAAGGAAAAACGAGTGTTCACATGTTTAGGTATTCCAAATTAATCTCCTTACAGGCAATGGGCTGTGATCAACCACTGTGAAACTTACCATATATGTCACTTACTTAAGGTAAAAGTCAATGATCACATCATTGAGGAATTCTCCATATTCTAAACATTCCAGATCTTCTCTTGTAACGCCTAATCCCCCCTTGGCAGGTGGAGGAGGATAAACGATCAAGCTAGAAAGCAAAATATTATAAAGTGAATTTAAGGAACTATATTTCTCATTTCTCCATTAAGGCATTTTCATACTTAGGAACATACCCTAACCCACCCCTGCTCTGAACAAAGGGTGGCCAGCACAAAAAGAACAGATAATGACACCCTGTAGGAAAGTGTCACAGTCTCTAGGCATAGAACTCTGATGCTGAAGCAGCTGATACTAATAATCTACTACTAATAACTAAGAATCCACCAAAAAGGAAAGGAGTTCAATTGTTTGTTCTTTAAGAAAAGCCTTTCCTTTATCATTGCTAATTTAATGATTCTTATGTTCCTGCCCTCTCTTCAACATTCACTGCATATAAAATGTAAGATCCACAGGCAGGGTCTTGTTCAGTAGCAGGCTTTGATCAAAAGAGCCAAGCAGCACCAAAATGGTAAAAATCAGATTGCTTACAAAAAGTTGAAGTGGTCAAAATGGTTACTTTGGATGCATTAAAAGAAACAAATACATTGAGTAGAACAATGCCAGCACTAATTTTTTTCTGCTACTATCATGTTAGATATCTCATGGCCTCCATTATTGTGCATGTGGACATGATAATCAAAAGAATAAATGACATAAAAATGACTGTTTCTAGCAGTGAATCAAAAGTTAAGCCAATTAACATTTGTCTCCTATTTTGATTTCTTCTATGAAAAAATGCTTATATTTTTTCCGCTTGGAGCTACACTTAAACACTGAAGCAACGTATTTTCATCAGTAATTTTGCATTCATGTATCATTTTTCATTGTGAATAACCTGATAATTTACAACATATACATAAGCCAGTAGATATCTTCTTAAAATATCTAGAAGCAAATTATATAAGATCACATATATAACTAAGCATACTTCTGAATAAGTCCTTTGTTTTCTCTCAGTTCTTTCCATTCATTCCTTTGTGTTGCAGAGATAGAAAAGGAGTATCGACCACTATTTTGTCTCTGCAGTAAAGTATAATTCAACTGGGTAAGATCTGATTTTGATTCCTGCCAGAAAGAAAATAAGATATTTTTTTTCAATTTTGTCTTACAGGCATCATTAAATGTATCAAAGGAAAATACAAGTAGGCTATAAAGAATAAGAGCTGTCAGTATCTGGAGAGCTCTGGGGCTCCATCTGGTGGCCACGACCAGAACAGACACTACAATAATTTCAGGATTGTGCTCAGGCCCTGCTGGAGCCCACAGCCTCCAGATGAGCTCCAGCTGGGCAACTGGGGAGAAGAGCTACATAAGAGCAAGCTCTTCCTTTCAATGGTTGTCAGAACAGTTTTGCTTTTGTTGCTAGTTGTGTGGTTAAGCTTCTACACATTGTCTGATGCTTGCTTGACCCAATTCCTGCCTTGTCTTGCTTCACTGCACCTTCCGCTGCTTCTTAATCCTGTCTAGGGGTAGCTATTCCTTACCCTGTTCTGATTGTGACTGTGCTCCTTGCTCTGCTTTGTCTTCCCTATTCTGACCTTTGGCTTGACTTTGACCATGGCTGCTTCCTAGTCTCACTTTAATATACACTACAGTTTCCTGCCTTTGGTCTGTGTCTTGACTGTGACGCTGCCTCTCACCCAGCTACCAGACTCTGGAAAGTGTTTAGCTCCTGCTCTACCTTAGGTCCTGTTGCCTCTGCTAAGATTTCTGCCACCATGCCCCACACCCTGACAGTTTGTTGAGACTACTTTTACACCCTGACCAAGAAACAGAACTTTCTCAGATCTGGACCAAGGCACTACATCTAAACTCATGCAGATTGATGACTTCTTGGCCTTGTTTGATGGAAACCAAGAAGCAGCAGTAATGAGTCCTAGGTCTTTGCCTTTACTGTGGCCAGCAGAGGTTTTATGCATCTGCCTGTCCTACTAAAGCCCAGCACCAGGGAAACAGGCCACCTGGCCATGCTAAGGGGTACTACAAAACCCTGAATGTACTTTGTTGGGCTTTCTGGGAGCCAATCCTCCAGCCAGATGTCACACCTACTAAAGCAAAATTCTGCACTAGAAGCTTTAATGCCTCCTGCAGCTGCCACCAGCTCCTGTCTGGGATTGGCTCAACTGTCTCTGTCAAGGTTCCATACTCACCCTGACCCCCCCAGGGCCACAAATGGGGTTAAAACCCCTTTCCTGAGGAGAGGAGGGGTTGTGACATGAAGCTATGACGTAGCTCTCTCATGTTTCACTCTGCATATGCCTGCAGGACCAGGAGCATGCCTGCAAGGAGTGGAGTCTATGCAATCATTTGCCACAGCTGGCAGCTCTGAAAGCCTCCATAAGATGCTTTCTTGTGCTGCTCAGGTTGGCTACAGTGACATGGACCTTTGTGCAAATGCTCCCGATTCTGCTTCCATTCACTTTGCCTTTGTCTGTGCCTTGACTCTGCCTTCAGCCTGACCCTGCTTGCCAGTTACCTGTTTGTTGTCCTTCTTGACTTCACCCTCTTCCTGCCTTTGTCTCTGGTTCTGCACTGCCTTGTCGGTATCTGGACCATTTGTTCTGACAATGACTTTGCTACTGACCCTGCCATGCCTTGTCAGTATCTGACATCCTTTGTTGCTGACTTCTGCCTTAGCCTTTGGACTTGCAATGGCTTGTTGGATCTCTAACCCTGTGTTGTTTTACTGGTACCTAACTTCAGCCTGTGTTTGGACTTGCTCTGCTTCTGGTCCTCTAGTATCTTGCAAAAACGTTCATCCTTCTCCAGTACCCTGGGGTCCTGGCATTCCTGGCATAGCCACCTGCTGCCTACATCCCAGATCTCACATATTTAACTGCTCTTTAGGAATTTAAAGATTTGTTTGTCCCTCACTAATTTTTTCTTCTAGTCTGCAATATATATGGCAAAATCAGCTCTGCCACTGACCCGTAGCAGAGGTCAGCAACTTCTAGCTCTCCAGTTTTATTATTTATTTCTACTTCTATGCCACTCCATGACCCTCTAGGGTTCTCTAGGAGGCTTACAAATGCTGAAACAAGCAAACAAGTACAATCAATAAAACAGATAAAAACAATAATTAGTAAAATGTTAAACCATCTCATATAATAAAAAATATATAAAACTGTACAGCATGAACACATACAACCACATACATTAACAACCAAAATTAAATAATTAATCAATAACAAAATACAATTTAAATTAACCAAAAGCTTGTTGGAACAAAAAGTTTTTACCTGGCATCTAAACAAGAGCAATATTGACACCAGTCATATGACCCTGGGGAACAAATTCCAGGGTCTGGGTGCCACTATGGAAAATGCCCCCTTCTTAGCCCTTTCCCTCTTGATCTCACTAGGGGGTACTTGGAGGAGGACTTCAGAGGAAGATCTAAGTGGGTGAGTAGGTATATATAGAGGGGTGCTCCCTCAGGTACCCTGGTCTCAAGCTGATAGGGTCTTATATGTCAAAGACAACACTTTGAACTGGGCCTGGACTGGAACAGGGAGCAATGAAGCTGACTAAGGACCGGTGTAATGTCTTCTCACTGGCTGGTCCTTGAAAGCAGCCATGCCATCCTGTTCTGTGTTAGTTGTAATGTTCAGAACTTATTCAAAGGTAGCCCCATATAGAGCACATCACAATAATCCAGGTGAGATTACCTGCAAATGGATCACTGTGGCAAGGCTTCCAGATAGGAACGTAGCTGAAAGATCAGCACAAGCTGAAGAAAGGTGCTCCTGGCCACCAAGCCCACCTGAAAGACCAGGGAGAGCTTGGGATCCAAGAGCACCTCTAAACTACGAACCTTTTCCTTTAGGGTCCTTACCCGTCCAGGCCAGGTTGAAAATTTCCCAATTGGTGTGGGAGTGCCCACCAATGGTGCCTCTGTCTCATCTGGATTCGGCTTCAGTTTATTGGCCCTCATCCAGCCCATTATTCAGGCACCAGTCCAGGACAGCCACCGCCTCACCTGGGTCAGATGAAAAGGTGAGGTAGAGCTGGGTGTTAGCGTGCTGCTGACACTTCAGCCCACACCTCCGGATGACCTCACCAGCAGTTTCATGCAAATGTTAAAGAGCATGGGGGACAAAACAGGGCCCTGCATAACTCCATGGTGCAAAGGCCATTCTGCAGAGCAACAGTCCCTCAGCACTACCATCTGGAATTGGTCATCCAGGCAGGAACGGAACCACTGCAAAGTGGTGCCCCCAATTCCCAACCATTTCAGAAGGATACAACTGATGGAATCAAAAGCGACTGAAAAGTCTAGGAGAATCAACAGGGTCATGCTCCCCTGTCTCTCTCCAGGCAATGATGTTCAGGGTGACCAAGGCAGACTCTGTCCCAAATCCATGCCAAAAACCTGATCAAAATAGGTCTAGATAATCTGCTTCCTTCAGTAGAGCTTGGAGCTGCTGGCCTACCACCTGCTTGATCACCTTGCCCAGGAAGGTGACATTGGCTATTGGTCTAAAGCCAGGCCTGGTGTTTAGGAGTGGTGTTATCACAGTTGCCTTTAAGGGTTAGCACCACTTCCTCTCTCAAGAAGGCATTGACAGCCTCCTGGACCCAAGTGTGAACTCCTTCCATAGATCTCCCAATAAACCATGATAAGCAAGGATCAAGTGGGCAAGTGGTGGCCTGGACTTGTCCAAGCACAATGTCCACGTCATGTCCAGATACTGTACACTCCAATTCCTATCATCCTCCACCACTGGCTATGCCAACAAGGGCTAATGGGAGTTGTAAGCCAAAACATTTGGATGGGAAAAAGTTGCCCTTGCCTACTTTTGACCATGGACGGCTCGTTTACATTTTTCTGCACCAATTTTTCTTCCCCATTGCACTTTGCTTGCTAGCCTTATCAATAAGGATATAAATACCATGTTCAACCTCTGGGGCCTTCCTCCAAGTGCCAACTCTAAATGAAGCACAGAAGGTAGCAACAACAGGAATGACTTTCTCTGTGATGGCGCCCTATCCGTGGAACAACCTCCCCACCGCGGCCTGGCTGGTGCTGAACTGGTCATCTGGTTGGCACCAGGTTAAGCTATACCTTTTCGCTGAGGTCTTAAAGACTTACTTGGCCACCAGGAGCTTGAGGAGTATTACCCATCCCAGAGGTTTTGAACCTTTGTTGCTGTTTGGTTTTAGCTGTTTAAACTGTTATGACATTGTATTTACACCCCACATTTCTTCTTGCAAGGAATCCAAGGCAGAATTCATACCTTCCTCTATTCCATTTTATCCTCACCACCACAACCTGGCCAACAGCCAAGCTTTTCCATATTGTGAGGGGGAAAAAGGAACATTTAAGATATTGCAAAAGTCAAAAGAACTTGTGGGGGAAGATGAGGACATGAAAGCAGCAGCTCTTCATAGCCCACTTTCTGATCCTGAGTATATGAGATGGCTGGCCACCAGACTTCATTGCTCTAACATGGGCAATTATCTGAGTGAATTTGGAGAGTATATGTAGATTGAACTACATTCTGTGTAAAGGTATTGAGTTACATCTGGATTTTGAGTATCAGTCTGCATAACATCCAATAAAGCTATTCCTAACACTCTTATGTTTGCAGTCAAGAAACAGAAACTGGTTTGTAAGGAGGAGGTAGGACTACTGGTATGGGTCATGATCTCTACTGACTGAGAAACAGAAGGCCTGAACTAAGGCTGTTTAACTCATATTTGATGGGGAAGATTTCTATCGTCCAGCAAACAAGAATATGCACTCTCTCCCCAGGCCCAAGGACTGGGCAACATGCTAGTTGATTTTAAACAGAGGAACAAGCTTATATTTTATCATAATAAGCTGGCTAGTCTTTAAAGTATCATAAGATTGTTTTTGTTGCAACAAGCTAATACTCTGGAAAATGTTAGAACTAATGTTAAAAGCTGAGATACAAATGCAGATACTGTTCCATATGGGAAACGGCCATTATCCTTCCACATGCAGGTAAGTCATCTTACTTTGAATAATTTACCTGAGCCACTGGGTCAGTCAGAACCGATGCACTGTCTTTCTGCAACTGCTGCTGAAATGACTCATAACAATCATCCATGAAGGCGCTGTCTTCATACGAAATGTCTTTAACAGCTTGATCCCAAGGTAAGGAGTCAGTGAGGTTGGGAGAGGTATTCTTCTTGCTCACTTCCACCATTATTTTGTTCAGCAGGTTCTGCTCTTCTTCTGTGAGTGGCTGAGACAGCTTAACAAAAATGAATGTCTTACTCCTGGCTGTAAAAAAAAAAGGTAGTGGGTGGGAAAACAATGTTAAGAAATAAAAACCCCAGTGTGTGAGCAGAGATTTTCAGGAAGTGTCACTGAACTGCAATTACACTATCTATTCACTCATTCCTTTTAGGCTCAAGGAACTACAGAATTCACTGAACACCAGAGCAGCCATAGACTGGGAAAATAAATGACAGCAATAGAAAAGTGTGTAAGTGGCTTGTAACCTTTCTGAGACAAGCAATAGCCAGTGTGAGGCTGTCACCCAGAACGATGAAGAATACAGTGTGTGATAGAAAGCCTAGCAGACCATGCCAGGTGGTGTAACCATCCACAAAGCTACCACATACTTTGTTTTGCTTTGAGAAACATGCTCAAGAAACAAGGATCTAAAATTGAGCACTACCAGATTCTCCCTAATTAGTGTGTTGCACTAATGGGCACTATTGTTTTTTCATGTATTAACAGTCACAAACAACCTTATCGGCTAAAAAGCCTACAAAATGATGTATAACAATAAGCACCATGACTGTGTTTAATATGGGTTGTTGTCTATGACCATTTGTTGTACTGTGCAAACCCAGACTGAGTCATGCAGGGTAGGACTCAATTAAGTTTGAGGGCTAGAAGCTACTTGAACAACCCATCATCCGTTTGAGAGATTGTGGTACCCGCAAAGGGTTGTTCTGTTGTCCAAACATGGACAACTGACTCATTGCTAGGGAATAAGCTAGCAACCTGCCACTCCTGTCAACCTTGTCTAAGCATCTATCAGTGTCAGTTGCCCTACAAGTGCCCAAGCCCATATGGCTGTATATGTCCTAGTTCCACCCCGCTGCTGTCAAAATGCCTTTTCCCAAGAAAAGGGAGAGCATATTTTTCACACTTTCCTAAGCACCTAGAGTCTAGGGGGAAAGTGCAAAGTGTGCACCAGCCAGTTGTCCTAGTGCTGGGCTAGATAGGTCTGGTTAGTAGTCCTCACTGAGTCATGATGCTAACTGAGACACAGTCACAGAATCTCAGCCTATCTTACCTCACAGGGTTGCTGTGAGAACCACCTTGGGTTCCTTGCAACAGAAAGAAAGGGAGAGTAAAAATGTAATGTATTATTCATAATAAAAATGTAAAGACTGCATACTTTTAGAGAGACAGCCCTTAATACCATTAGTCAAAAGATGCACCAATTCTGTCCTTTCCTCTTTGTTTTTTAAAGGAAAAGAAAGAGATGGATGCAATGATGGTAAAACATGAGAAGAATATAAATGAAAGATGACTTGCAAAGACACTAGAAAATTCTGTGAATAAGGCAGGACAACTGAACAATAAATGCCTTATTTAGAACCATCCTAAATATCTAGATATTTATTTAGTTTATATTTTATATATTATTTATTACATGCATTTATACCCCGTCCTATTGCTTCAAGCGCTCAGGATGGCTTACAAACTACATAAAAATACAATAAATATAAAACTACTATAAAAACATTAATCATTAAAACAATATAAAACATCACTATAATATCACTGTATTTTAATGCTCTCAAATTAAAATCTAAAATTGGTTATACATGAAGCAGGTAATAAAGCATAACACAGCTATTTAGTGTAATTATGCATTTCTTAGTATACCTACGTCAGTTCCAAATAATTACAAAAGACACGTACCTTGACTGTTTAATACAGACGTTTCCATTTGATTTTCAATTTGTTCTGCATAATCTGATGACAGCCACAGAAAAATGGTAACATTACTCCCTGAAGTTGTAGAATCATTATTTGTCCACAGTCCATACCTTTGTAAGTGCATGGAATCCACTGATAGTTCAATTTTCTTATCTGCAGTAACTGCCGGGAACAAAATTGTAAATATGCAGATGACATGCAAGAATTGATTGATCCTGCAATGACTTCAGAATCATAATTTTCAATGATATAATCACTACAGTTGCAATCCTAACTTCCAGATCTGCTGGCTGGAAGGGATTAGGATGAGACAGAAGAGTCACTTCGCTGATAGAGAAAATTCTCTCAATGTGGGCTAATGTCCACCCCATCGACTTTTGGCATGACTGCGTAAAGGACTATGACTGTAGATCTACTGTTGGCAAAGCCCCTGAAAGAAGATGCTCCACAGGCAGGTTGCAGCAGTCTTACATTTGCCAACAAAGTCCCTCCATTCCACTGAGATACCTGAGGGCTGAGCCTGCTACTTACATCGGCTTGAAGTTGGCTTTTCTCCCATCACTAAAATAATGAATGGGGAATTGAAAAGAGCCCCTGGAATGAAACCATTTGTACCACTTCCTGTCCTGAAAAGAAAGACTCGCTGAACAGCAATATGTTCAACTGAAACATTTGTTAGAATAGAAGCTTGGCCCTGTAGCCTTTGTTGCTTCAGAGTCTCCTCTGTTTTCGAAGTACTCGTTAAGGCAGATCAGACATACCAATATAGTTATAGAAAGACTTATTACTCGTGAATAAACAGGATACACAGAATCTTGAGAAGAATGGGATAGTAACCTAGATTGTCATGTACTGCTTAATCAATGGAATGCTGTACCAGCATCCCTTTAAGAAATGTCAATGGATTTTATGATGCATTCTATTCAGTAAAAATTTCTGTGCCATGTATATTAGATACTATAGCATTAATTCAATAATGGCTAAATGTAGCAGATGCGATACAGTAAATGCTCCTTCACCTATATGTCCTGGCAATGCCTAATAGCAAGCCCCTTTGGGAGGAGGTTATAGTAAGGATAAATTTAACATTGCAAAACCTCTTTAACATTTAGGGATGTAAATGTTTTACTTAAACATTAAATTTCTTTGGAACTTATATAATGAGGCAGCACAATATCTTACCTTCAAATGGGATCTTAATGTACCTGGTTGTAAACTTAAATGGAAGAAGAAACAGAAAATTAATCTTTATAATAGAACTGTTTAAACATATAAGCATATTAGAAACTGAACTGCCAAAAAATAAAGGACGGTATTTTGACAAAACATTTCAAGCTTGATATTCAAGTTTAAAACATAAAATTCCTATTTGCTTAGCAATCTTATAGATGTTTGCTTCAAAATATGTTCAGCTCAAACTATGAATATCCAATAAACTTAACTTCAACTAAATGTCCAGAATCTAACAGAAGCAGATCTCACCGCTTATGGCACAACCACTTTTGAAACTGAGGAAACTTCAAAATGATTCTGTATAACATACAATGAAGCAAGTTTTTATATAACCTTAGCAACCATCTTGTACCTGTTAAGTCTGCCTACATCTCAGAAATTTTAGCAGGAAACATGTACCAGCAATAGTGGACAAGAGCCTACCACTAGAATCAAAGACCAGGTTTGAAAGAGGGTTAGGCTCTCAGAAGGGTCTTCTGTTACTAATCCAGTGCAACCTTCACATTTTCTTGATTGGACAGATGACCCAGAATGTCCTCTTCACAGGCTTCTTTTAACCCACTCCCTGCACACACATTTTAAAAGACAGTTCCTCAGATAGAATGATTACCTTCTTTGGGAATGCATTTTAAGAACTCTCTGAATCTTGCCTCAATCAGTAACAGTAAACTTACTTTAATGCAACCTGTTGCTGTTCCTTTATATTTCCCAATATAAACCTTTTCAGATTTTATTTCTAAGGCAAGTTCTTTTTGTTTACTGAATGTGCTGCAGTCTGTAGAGGAGTGAAGTGTAAGAGATTCAGGTGAAACCTATCGGGAAAAAGATACAAGAGTTAGGTTTGTTCAAATAAAATGATCACTGTATCAAATTAAAACAGAAGTGATAATAGTTTATAGTTCTAAAATGAGGCTTTCTATATACTAAGTTAATATGCACTGTGATAATCAGGTTTTACTATGATCTGCAAAGGAGTCAGGCACTGAATATATGATGGGGCCATTTATATAGTCACTAACCAAAGAAATATTGCATATTTTTAAGTGCTGTGAATTTGTATGAATTTTTAAAAACCATTCTAACTATATTTTATTTTCCCAATATTTGTTAAAATGATTTTAATGGCTTTAATAATTTATATCTGGTTGTTATCTGTTGTTGTGCCTTTCATGTTGGCTTTATATTATCTATGGCTCTGTGGAGTTTTTACACTGGTGTGCTTTTGCTTGTGGGTTGTTAGATTTTATTATTTATATAATAAAACTTTATATTATTTTCGGAACCAGGCAAAAATGTTTTTATTTGCACACTGTTTTAATTGGGTCTTAGCATTGTACTTGTTGTGATTTATTTATTGTTGTAAGCTGTCCTGGGATGTCTCAAAAAGGACGGGGTGCAAATATTGTTAATAATTATTATTATTTATTTTTAGTTGTATTTTTATTGAGTATTTCTGAACTTTGCAACCCACTCAGAGAGCCTTATGGTTATGGGGGTGGGATAAAAATCCAATAAATCACATTTCTTTCTATGCAGGACTTCTGAAAGTTCCACTGAACAATGCAATGAGAACTTGTACATCCATCCTACTGATATATATGAGGCTGATCACTGTACATTATAGTGATGTACGACTTCTAGCAATACATGTACTGCGTCACTACTCTTATATTATACAGAGAGATAAGCTCTTATACCCAGGGCCTCTCATGGGGGCTCAAGCCTCACAGACATAGTGGGTGTCAAGTTTCAATGTGGTGAAGCAGGTCAAGAATGACAACCATTCAGCTATGGGCATAGAACATGGCAAAGGCCTTGCACTTCCCTCATATAAACTGTCATGCTGCTAGAAAACTATATTTTCACAGTAATTTGTGAATTTGTACATCAGAGAAAAGCATTTAAATGAAAAAAGAACAGTTATTATGAATTATTGCATGGTATCTTTCTGCGTTAAGAGCATTAATTTGTTAAATGTAACATTTAAAATAATTATTTTTGCAAGCTTCTTCTGGCATTTCTTCATTATTTATTATACTGGGAGGGCCTAAAAATGGAACTGGACCAAGAACTTCTTGACATCTTAGAAGACCTGCTTAGAGATAATATACAGAGCAAAGATGTATTACTTGCTGTGCTCTGCTTTCGGTTTTGTCCAGCAATAGCTCTTCTGATAAAGAGAGTACAGATTCCTGTTCTCTTTCTTCCTCCTTTGGTTTTTGGTCTTTCTCAGTCTGGAAATAGCTATGAGCATCTTTTGATTCAGAACCTCCTCCTTCTTCATCATCACTAGAAAGGACAACTGAAGCAAGGTAAAAATAAAGTTAAAAGTGATGTAAAGTTTGAGCTCTATAAACTATCTGGTGAATATAACTGATTAAAACTTTACATAAGTATCTTATAAACAAGGACATTAAAATTACATACTTGGCTCAGTTGAATCAGCTGTCTCCTTGTTCCTTTTAGATCTATTCAACGGCTCTTTCAGGCGGAGAATTATATGCACTTTCTGCTTCCTAGCAGAGCTCACAAGTTGTGAAATCTGCTCAGCCTTATTGGTGATAGAATGCTGCTTTCTCTTGGGAGTAGAGTTTGCATCGTTTTCACCAGTGTCTTGATTAATACTGATAAATGTTCCACTGCAATCTGATTTTAAAGTCTGGGGAATATTCTCCTGCTGAGGGTTGTGCAAATCACTCTGCTGAATCCTGTTTGAGCCTATGCAGCCAGGTGACTGAACAGGTTCTGTCTTCTGTTCTTTCTACAAAAGCATACAACGAAACCTTGTTTCTAAGAATCATACTGACCTTGTTGACAACAATTAGTCTTTTCATACACCATGGGCACTATCTGTAATCCGATAGCACTAAAAGAACCCCACCAGATTTTTCCACTGTGCAAGTGTTTGCACACTGTGTTATATGATTTGTTCCAGTGGAGCTCCTGGCTCCAATTTCCTGAAAGTTCTGCAAGTGATGGCACAAAACTTAGTTTGCTTTTCCCCTTGTGCACAGTTATTGGATGGATCGTAAATATAATAAATGTATAAAGTAATAAATAGTTTAGAACTCAGTTTGTACTAGCACAACTTCATTTGCACTAGCAGAATTTTGAATACTGTCCTGAGAAGTACTAATACATTTTCTGGGACAACCATTCCTCCAGGAAGATGCATGAACTAGAAGTGACAAGACAAAGGCTCCAGTCAGAGCTTGGAGGGCAGCAAGATAGATGGAGGTCCCTGAGTCTCAGTATACCTCCAGATGAGAAATCAAGGTACATCAGAGCCTAGAGGCCTACAAGAATGTTCTGTCCCTTCCAATGTAAATCCGTGCCTCCACTCTTGCCATTCCTGTGGAGTTAAGGATCTGGTAGAACAATCAGTGGGACTCTATACCAGGTTTGACAGGCTTACCATCCTGAAAACATAACACAAGAGCCATGCTGGATCAGACCAAAGGCTTTTCTAGTCCCACATACACAGAGGCAAATAGGAGAAAGAGTGGAGGCAAGCAAGCTATCCATCAAAAATGGGAGCCCAGAAATCTAGCCATGATATATGGCAACTGGAACATCACCAGGTGGGGTGCAGTTGGCCTGAGGGAGGGCCTAGGGCAGGGGTGTAGAAAAGGTAGATCTCCAGATGTTTGACTTTAACTCTCATAAGCTCCTATCATCATGGGCAATGGTCAAGAATGCTGGACTGAAGCCCTAAACAAGCTGGATATATATACCTTCTTCTGACCCCTGACCTAGGGAGATCTCAGTAGCACAGATTCTGACCATGCTTGCCTCTTTCCTGGTGAATGTTTTTTACTTTCTTAGGAAAGAAATACTAACTGAGAGGCAAAGAAGGGCATATGCAACAACCAGCCTGACCTTCCAAAAAAGCAGGGTGAATCCCCTGATATATGTGTCTGTTTTGCCCTGGCAGGGGGGCAAGAGGTTTTGGGGATCCTAAGGAAGTAAATATGCCAGCTTCTAGGTTTACTTACAAGGAAACACTTTATTGTTCCAACTAACAAGACACTAGCTAGGTTCCAAAAGTATCCAGCAATAAGTCATTTATACAGCAACCGCTGCAAAGTAGGCTCTCATCAGCTGGAAAGGATGGGGTCAGCAGAGCCTTCTTGAAACAGTGTGAACAAAAGCACAGGGGGAATGGCTAGCTTATACGGATCACATGTTTACAGCAATTATACAGCGCACTATGTTGGGGAGCAACAAATCACTGACAGAGAGGAAAGCACAGACACTGAGTACACCGGGGCCAATACATGCCTAGGTGCAGGGAGTCAGAAAGACACAATAAATGATAAGGGTTCCAGTCTGGCCTTTCAAGGCCCCTAGTCTTGGGGTTTCATTTCCCCTGAGGATGCCAAGACAGTAGAGCATAGCCTGAGCTGGTTAGTCAACAATGCATAAGCTCATCAACTGCTGCCTACTTATCAGCAGGGCCAATAAGGTGTGTTCATCCTCTGTCCATCTATCAAACCAAGAAGGTTTCTCCCTATTTTGGTGGAGCCAGGAAAAGATAACTAAGGTGCTATGTTTTAATTAAAACAGAAAAGGGAACTAGAGCTCATCCAGACCAAGCAAGCCCTGTTTTTTTAGAAGTCAAAGACCCAGGCCTTAATTTGGGGTATAGGCCTGCTCCAGTGGCAGAATGTAAACTGCACCCATCTCCCCCACTTCCAAGGGTGTTCTAGAGAGCCAGACACTGTCCCACAGGGAATGTCAGCAGTGCTCTGGAGAGCCTTGCCACAGTGAAAGTGTGGCCAGTGAAACTCTCTGGAACAGCCACTTACCCTCTGCTTTGCTTTGTGTGCAAAAAATGTGCAAAACTGACTTACATTCGCCAGTGGTGATTTCTGTGGAGAATATGGATTCCACTGATTTGAAAAAACATCACCCCTTCTTTTTCTGCTCTCACTATTTTGAAAGCTTGCTTCTCTCAAACCAGGAGAGAGATTCTTGGAGCCTTTTCTTTCTTTCTCTGGCCGATTTCCTTCTTTGTTCTTTATGCTGCAGTCTGTATTTAAAAGAAAGAAATGAAAAATGTAATAGTTGAAATATAGGCATACTTCAAACACACTTTTTTTACTGCTTTAGATCCAGTACCTTGGGCCGATCTGCATTAGAAAGGGACATTAATAATCATTCATTATTAATAAATAAATAAGTTGTTGTTGTTAGATATTAAAGGGGCATTAAAGGTTAAAAAAAATAAAAGGGTAAAGGTTTCCCCTTGACATTAAAGTTCAGTCATGCCTGACTCTAGAGGGCAGTGCTCATCTCCGTTTCCTAGCTGAGGGAGCCAGCGTTTGTCTGCAGACAGTTTCCGTGGTCATGTGGCCGGCATGACTAAACACCAAAGTGCACGAAACACCTTCCCACCAAAGTGGTACCTTTTTATCTACTTGCATTTATGTTTTCAAACTGCAAGGTTGGCAGGAGATGGGACGGAGCCACGAAAGCTCACTCCGTTGTGCAGATTTGAATCGGCTACCTTTCGATCAACCATCCCAGCAGCACAGCAGTTTAAACCACTGAGTCACCTGCATCCCTAAAGGGGCATTACTCAGAGAGAAATTCCGGTAGCTTACCTACTGGAAATGCTAATTTCCAGGTAAGCAGACATAGGACTGCAATGCTAGTTCTTTTGCATTAGTTCTAATGAAATCTCATTTGGACAATTATCATTCTTCCTTCGCTCTTTTCATCTATACTTTCCAGCTTCTTCCTGAATATGGCATGTTGCTGTTATTGTGGCTGCTGCTGTTGTCAAGTCCTCTCCAGCTTATTGTGACCCTATGAATGAACGACCTCCAAATGCCCTATCCACAACAGCCTTGTTCAGCTGTCCCCCTTTTTTCCTTTTAGCATCTCTAATCTAGGTTTGAATCCTGGAAGAAGTATCTTGTTGTTCCTCTTTTATTGTTCTCTTTTACTTTTTTGTTGGCAAGAGTAATGAGCTTTGTTGTCTCCGTGTAGGAGTCACTGAAAAGTTGCATTCAGGATTCTGACTCTATTTTTGTCACCTTTTGCTTCTTGCCTGTTCTGTTTCTTCTGTTATCCATCTAGGTCATGGGTCCTCAAACTATGGCCCACCATGCCCATTTATCCGACCCGCCATGCCCATCTGGACCCGCCACCTCCCACCTCACCCCGTGCACGGGGAGGCAGCACTTTGCTTGCTCGGAGAAAAAGATCTCCAAGTGAGCAAGCCGCTGCCTCATGCGCCCGCCTCCCGGTACCTGCCCTCCCCCACCCGTGCCTCCCCTCCCCTCGCTGGGCGTGTGCACCCGCCCATGCCTCGCCTCACTTTGCCTCGCCACGTGTCCCGCCTCAGTGCTCACGCGCCACCAGCACCACCTTTCCAGCCCACGCCCAGCACCGGCAGCTTTCAACTGGCCCCCTGGTGGAAAAGTTTGAGGACCCCTGATCTAGGCCCTTTCTTTCTTTTTGCTACAGGAATTGTTTTTAGGCATTCTTGCCAAGGTCGTTGGTTTCATGGCATGTTGAGAAATATTTAAAACCAACCCAGTTCCAAAAAAGATTTAGGAAATAGAAAGATATAACTTTTCTATCTTAGAAAACTGTTTCTTAAGCCGAAACAATTTGCATCTTCAGTTCTTTGATCACAATCATGACAACAAATCAAATTAGCACTCAAAATATAAACATATATTGAAAGAGTTCTGAATCCAACAACAAACCATGGGTTGTTTGTGGATAACAACCCACAGTATTACCATAGCACCACAGCATCAGATAGTGCTATCTGTTACCATGTTCCAACTCATGGGACTACAATGGTAACCTACAACAACTACCCATGATTAACTCATACTCTGGGCTGGCATTACATTTGAACCAAATGTATGACTGGATTTATAAAATGACAGTTAACTAATAATTAGGCTGACCATGAATTTCTGATATGCATTTTGTGCTCCTATGTTGTATTGTTTTTTGTGGAACTTAACTTTCAAAGTAACCATGCTTAAGAAATTTGCATTAGGACTAAAATAGAATAGATGCCCCTGTAATCTGAGGGAATGATTTCAAAGATCAAATTATTAATGAAAAAAGCCTGTGGGAACAAAAGGATTTGCATAAACTGTATTGTAATACTACAGAGATTAAAGACTTTATCTCAGTTTGGACAAAGTAGAACCCTATCTCAGCCAATCCAATTAGTTCAAGTGTTGTAAACAATAAGATAGATTAAATTTCTCAACTACAAACCTTCTAGCATCACATCACATCTTCTTAGAGTCACCAAAGCATTATCACTTTCTGCATCTCTAGATGGTTTCTGGTCATTTGGCCTTCTTTGATACCTGGAAAAAACAAAGCAAATCATTACTCTCCCCTGTATTTCAAGCTTTTATAGATACTGCATAATGCTATAAGTTCTCATCTGACTTTCAGTTTTCATAACACTCATTAAAATTAAATCTAACAAAGAGATCTCAACAAGTCTCAATTGATTTCTTGTCAATGCTCTAAAGTTTTTATCAATTGACTGAGAACTATGAGGACAATTTGGATCATTTATGGTTATTTTAATTATATCCAACCTATTTTTCTTCTGAAGAACTCAAGGCACAGCAACACTGTTAGGGTAGGTTAGGCTGAGAGTCCGTGACTGGCCTAAGGTCTAAAGTGATACAGCCCAGACACAAGTTTTTATCAGGGATAATTAGGGCTATGAATTAGTAAATGTAATATTTTATATGTGTCTTTCCAATTAATGTACAATATGTATCTAAAACATCATTCAAAACATTTGTATGCAATTTTTTAAACATGCAAATAGCATCATAGCAGGCAGGAAGGGAAAAATAACCTTTCCTCCCCTTAGAACAAATCCCACAAAAAAAGAGGCTATTCTTACTGGGAGAAAAAAGCCCAATTGGCACCACATGATGAGACAGTGGGACAGGTAAGAATCCAGAAAGGCATGTGAAGAGGTACCAGCACTTTTCAAGTGGGACCTAGATATGTCATCACAATGTGCTTTTGTGGATCAGTTTTGTGGTTGTGCAAATTGTGGTACCATATGTACAGGGCACACAAAGAAAAGCTGGTTTAGTTACTATATCCAGGCAATCCCTACCTACTTCCAATTTCACTGGTTATATGGAGGTGGTTCATATAACCACAGCCATAACTATGAATTAGCTAAGTATTTATCATATTTTAGTACCATGTTCAAAGCTGCAGTTTTGGATCATAATAGCTGGCATAAAACTTCTTTTAACCAGAATCAACCTGGATACTATGATGAAGAAAATTTATGTCAGCTGTCTCTTTAACATTACTAGTATTTAAATACTTTTTAAGCAGTTTAGATTGTTTAACACTTTTTCTTAATGGAAATTATGTTGTGTTTTATCATCTGTACTGGGCTTGTAATTTTATGAATTGTTGTGAATCACCTAGAAAGCTTTGGCTATTGGAAGATATAGAAATGAAATAAAACAATACTGATGCAAGCATTTTATTCAGAATGACATACCAATAGTCTTATCAACAATAGTACAGCTCAATGTAACTTCTGTAAACTACTTTCTACTCACTGGAGAAGATAAGCATGCTAGGGAAAGTACAAGGGAGAGGAAAAGAAAGAACAAATATAAGATGGATTGACTCCATGAAGCAAGCAACAGCCTTGAATTTAAAAGAGCTGAGCAAGTCTGTAAAGGCCAGGACATAAACTGGAGATTACTTAAGGGAAAATAACATAACAACTCACAACTTTTTATATTATCATGAATTATAATTGGCTGAGACATGTTCATACACATATTCTGAAGGAATAAATAAAAGCAAGAGCTCTGCTCTAGCAGCTCCTTAGACATACACTGGCTCAAATGCAATAGGCCTATGCAATTTTCTTTTTTAAAGAACCCTTAGTACTTTAAAAACTGCAGCAAAAGATAAAACCCTTGTTTGTGCTGAAGCTCCATGTGTGCCTGAGTTCTGGTAGAGCTTTGTTCTAGGCTAGAAAAGAAATTAAATTACTGAGAAACACTGGTTTTTTTAAAAAAATAAAGAGGAAAACTCAGTTTCTTGGGTCTGATTTGTTAGCACTTTTTCAGTGGAATAAAAGAAAAACAATGTTGATTCAACTCAAAAAAATGAGCTTGTTGAACCTAATTTCAAAACATTAGTGGATACTTTTTCTTTACTAACTTCTTTTTCTTCCTCTTAAGTCCCAGATAACTTATTTGCAAGTGCATCTAACCAATATTTCTGAATTAATTGCAAAATTGAAATTAGAAGGTTCATGTACTAATTCTTTATAAATCTTAGTTTGTAAAAGTTAGGCTTTCCATATTCCAGGTGGATGACTGGTTTTCTTTCTAATATTATATATTATATAATTAAGAAAGACTATAGATAACCCAATTCTGGGAATTATTAACAGAACAATTTAAATATCACTGATTCTTAACAAGCATTTAAAAACATAAACAGCCATAGTTTCTTAAATCAGAATGGGGTTGGTGCCGCATGAAGTTGCATTGATAGCCATCTTATTCCTTATGTAAGATTCCTTATGTTGTAGCACTGGCAATTCTGTTGGCAGGCTCTGTAATAGTATGTTTAGGTCTCAGATTAACATGTAAGAATTCCACTGCTGAAGTTTCCTCATTCTCTCATAATATTCTTCTCTTTGTTAATTATCATTTTTGACCCAATGTTGTTTTTGTTATGCCAGCAAACTCTATCAGTGTTGACAAAGGTAGTTTCCATCAACACAATGCAATGTACTGTAGTGCTAGTGCTGAGCAGAAAACTGCCTATTAGATCTGTATTTTTAATTAACAACTGGCCCTAATTGATTTTTTTGCACATTTGTCAAATCTGTCAGAGATCATGTTAAACTACCATACTATCCCTGGTGAGCATCCTCACCACCACTACTCCTACTACATTCTACTACTTCTGAGTAGATAAAAATTCAGGCTGTGTGTCATGACTTAATGAAGCTACCTCTGTAATCTAAGCTGACAAAAGGTGCTTATTCTCACCATCTTACCATCAAAATAAGAACTGGATCCAGGAAGATAGCTAAGATGCAAATCCGCTGCTTCAGGGGAAGTAATTTAATGCTCATTGGGTATATTTCTGCACACAAGTACTTTCAACATTTGCAGATGCATTCCTTTGAGTGTATCTTGTTATGAATACATTTTTAATTAAATTGATAGCTCACCTTTCCCTGAAAAACTAGGCCAAGGGTGGGAAGAAAGTAGATCTCCAGATGTTTAGAGTTTGCCCCTGCTAACAAGGGCTCTGGAGAACTGAAGTTCAGAACATCTGGAGCTCACCTGTAGCCTAGGCTAGTTTACCAACATCATACTTATACAACAAAGGGCAAAGTACTACAGCTATAAACCAATTAAATAATTTTATTTTATTAATAATCTAAAATGAATAAATTACTTTTACAAAAGTAGCCTTATCACCAGTGCCCAATTAAGATGGTGTACAAAGCTACTGACAGTATGACGGATATAACTATGTAATGAACAAGAACTACCTCTGACTGTTGGAAGTAATCAACCTAAATAGGGAATGAAAAGAAAGTACTACAATAACTCAACTAGGAGTAAGTAGTATCAGAAAATAGAGTACACTTGAACCTACTCTTTTAAATTGACTCCTACTAATTAAATGACTAAACTCTCTTTAGTTAATCTGTCAATGAAATCTTGCCAGTAAGTCATGAAAAAAATATCAAATATCTTTAAAGACACTGTACAATTAATCTGCATTCATGCCATGTTTATGTATACATTTACTTATAATCTCTTCTGCTTTGCAGTGATTCCACTCCTACTTGGCTGGCCAATATCAGGTTGTTCCAAGTTTCAGTGATGGCTCTGTGTCATGGATATTATGACATGGAATACCACAGAGTTCTATATTATCCCCCATGCTATTTAACATCTATATGAAACTGCTGGGAGAGGTCATCTGGAGGTTTGGGCTGCAGTGCCATCAGTATGCTGATGACTCTCAGCTCTACCTCTGTTTCATCTGATCCAGGTGTGGTGGTGACTGATCTGAACCAGATGGTCTAGATGAGGGCTAATAAACTGAAGCTTAATCCAGACAAGATGGAGGTGCTGTTGGTAGGTGGAGCCCTTGTCCAGATAGATGAAATCTGCCCTGTCCTGGAGGGGGTTGCATCCCCCCCCAGGATAAAGTGCAGAAGTTGTCTGTGAAACATCACGTGATCAACTTCATCCCTATCAGGACAAGAGCCACCTGGCAACAGTGTTTCACATTCTGGTAATTGTTTTGCCAAGGACAAAAGGTTCTTTTTGGATCCAGAAGCAATGTGCACACAGGTGGATTAAAGTCTAATTTTTTTATTCTAAAACAGGAAAACAGATATAATATGAAAAAGGAAGTACAATACCAAATAAGCTGGCTTCCCTCTATCAGCTGTAGGGAGCCCCCCTTGCAAACAACAAGGAAAAAGCCCCTAATTCTCAGCTTGCGTGTGTCACCCTCCTTGCTTGGCTAGATCTCACACTGGCGCTCCCTCCCCTAAATCTAAGTCAAAACAGTTAACTAGCCACATCTGCTGTTCCCAGCTCTCAGGTGATAAGCTCCAGTGATAAGCTCAGCTGTTTACTTTTCTGCATTCCAATGCTGTACCATCCTAATTAGCAAGCGGCTTGTGGATGGCCTCAACAGTCTCCAAGGTGAGGCCCAGCCAAGGTAGGAATCAGAAGACACTACCTCCTTGGTATACAATAGTCTTTGGGAAATGTTCCTCTATAGTAACCTCTCATTTATATACTATTACAATAGTAAAGAAACTTGAATTAGTTCAAAATGGAGCTGCTTGCTTCCTGATGAGAACTGAGGCATAAGCACATAACCCCAGTCTTATATCATCTGCACTGGCTGCCAATTGAAGCCTGGGCCCACTTTAAGGGGCTTTCTTTGACATATAAAGTCCTAAATGGTTTAGGACTTGGTAATTTGATGGAATGTCTCCTCCCATACACAACAGTCCAGACCTTAAGGTCATGCTCAGAGGTTCTTCTCTGGGAGCCACCTCTAAAGGATATAAGGAAGGTGGCTACTAGGGGAAAGGACTTTTTGGTTGTGGCACCCACTTGTGGAACCAGCTCCCCAGAGAGGTGTACCTGGTGCCAATACTCTACACTTTTCAGTGCCGGGCTGAAACCTTAATTTCTCAATATTTTAATTGCTAAAAAATTATCATTGACATTACATTTTATATAACCTGGGGTATTGTATATTATTTATTGTATTGTTAGTGGTTCTATATTTTATATTGTTATAATTTTGCTCTGGTTTTTATTGTTGTTAGGATGTTGGTTGTTAACATTTTAAATGTTGTATACCATCCAGATAGGCTAAAGGGAACAGTACAAAATGGTTTAAAATAAAGGAATAAGATATAAGTGGTCTGTTAGGGCATAGCCCTTTCAATGATGCTTATATAACAGAACAAGTAAAATGCATTTGAAACAAAGATACAGGCGGTATAAGACAGCAGCACAATTAAAAATATGGGCTGGCTAATTCACATATTAACAGCAGATAGACCTCAGTAAATATTACTCGGCAAGAACAACTCTGTCATTCTAAACCAGTAGCATAGGGAGACATCACAAAAGAAAAAATAGTTACAAAAAAGGATAAGTCTCCTATTGCTATAAGCTACTGCAGAATTTATACAATACAAAGTGACAACTGGAATTCTAGGTCTTCCATGTAACTGACCTAATCATTCAGCTACTTATATTAAACACAGTGATCTGAGTAGATGAATTCTTAATACAATATAGCTCTTTTTCATTCAAACAGAACCTCTCTATTCAGGTTCTGTATTTTTGTGGATGTGAGATTAATACTGAAGCTTTAACTGGTATTTTTTAAAATTTCTTTGGTATTTAGGAAACTCTGAAAAATATAATTTTGAAGAAATATAGGCAGAAGACATGTTGGAATTTTCAAATCCGAGTAGATTCTCAGGACTAAGTTACCCAAATGTGTTACCCAATGTTACCCAAACAGAGCTAAGTCCAATATTACCTGAGTGGTCTTTACTCAAACAGCTGCCCCACCACCACCTGCATGCCCCCAAATCTGTTCCACAGGGGTACATGGGCAGAGGAAATTTGATCTGATCTGTCTGATCTGTCACTTCAAGGAAGGACACCATGGATACAGTTCTCAACTCCCTCAAAACATTTTCCATGTGTATTTCTTCGAAGCACTAATTCCAATACATGGCTATGAATAAAAATAGTACGCTGAAAAATGAGCTAGCAGAGTATGCACACATTTTCATTATTGCATGCAAACAGAGCCATAGTTAGCTTGAATGCAGCCAAAGTTACTTTCAATTTAACTGACTGTAATTAGTGAGTTAAGCAAGTATCTATTTCTCTCTAGTTGAAATAACCAGGCCCTAAAAGTGCTAGTTGGTTGGATTGCTTTAACATTACTTCAAATACTCCTTTATATATTGGTTTCAATGAGATCAGAGTTTTAGTGATAAGAACCAAGAATCATCAAAGCACTGTGCAAATGACATACCTTTTAGGCAAAATGCGGCATTGCTGAGAGCTTTTTTTGCTACATGATTCTAGGCTGGCAAAAGATGAGGTGGGCTGTTCATCTGATTGCAACATGCTAGTATCAGATAGATTAGCATCAGTTAAAAGATGTTCCTGTTTTCTTCCTGTTTTCGTCCTCAGAATATTCGTCAAGATAACTTTGGGTTGCCTGCCATACATATAATAATTAATATTCTGAAACCCATAGAAGAAATGTTTGATTGAATTACGATCTTGTAACTATTTGAGTAAACGTGAATTTTATTAAATGCAACTATTAAGAAACTTATAATAATGAAAACAGATGGCTGCAATTAAGTGATGGGTTCTGAAGGAGAGACTCACATTAAGATTAATAAGATGTTACTGATGGTCTTATCTTTGAAATCTTTGTTGTTCACTTTTAATTTCATTAACTGCCATGCAAAACTGCAGCGTACTTAAGAAAACTGTAGTAAACTAAGAAAATCTACTTTGAACAGTCAAAAAGTTTTCAATGAAAGCAGATCTCCATATTAAAGCAGATCAGTTCTATCAGCAGACCAACCATGTAACAAAAAATAAGTAACAAAATCTAATAGTTTTTTACCATTAAGACCCTGACTGATATTTTTTGCATGTAGAAATCATATCTGGAGAAAAGAAGTGTTCAAGAGTGCAAGACTTCCCATAAAAATCTTTTCTTAGCCAACTCTGAATGTGTGACTACAGTATGTAAACTATGACGGAGCTGACTGAATATGTCAGCCATTGTCCTCCCAGGGTGATCTTTTAGACTAGATAAACTTGGCTGTATTATGGTTTATGGCTACAATTGCTTAAGGCCCACGTATTCCAATAAAACTGCAATGAACAGGGGAATGGGAAAAGATTGCCAATTACGAGGTAGGCACTACTAGGCTTGTTTTTTATTTAAAATACGTTTAGCATACCTAGTCTCTGTATGTCCCATTGCCACTGAGACAGTAATGACACTATTATTTAAGGAGGCATACTTTTTCATTATCTTCACCAGGATGTTCAGTCTAGCAGCAGTGAATGAAGTAGAGTTCTAATCATAGGTTCATTAGTCCTTCCTAACATTATCCACAATTATTAATGTTCTTATTCTCATTCACACGTAAGTGTCATAATGGTGATACATGGCTCACAGTTTAAACTGTTTCAGATGATGATCCATGTTCACCATTTTCTGTGGTTTCTGTTTTCTGGGTACCCTCTGCATGTTTTGGGGAGCCCTTGGGTGAGATTCTCTTAGAGGCCTTTCTTCTTGACTAGCCTCATCTCTTTCTCTTTGCTGTTACTCCTAGATATTTGCTTGCCATCTTCTCAGGCCAGGAAGCTGCTTCCTCTTCTTGATGCTCACTCAATTCTCACTCCCTTGGAAAGGAAAGGTGAACAGGGAACAGAGAGGGGGAGGAATAGCAAGGTCAGGTGGCTTCAGTGGTAGGCATGGGACATGGACCTGAGTAGGTGCCCAACAATGTCAGCCTACTGCCAGCCCTGTTCTGCATTCTTCTCTATATGTTTCATCTATACTGAAGCTCAATCCAGACAAGACGGAGGTCCTGTTGGTTGGCGGATCGGGCTTCGGAGAGGGTGAATTGAACCTTGTCCTGAACGGGGTTGCACTCCCTCTTAGGGACAAGGTCCACAGCTTGGGAGTGCTCCTCGACCCGGAGCTTTCACTGGAAGCTCAGGTAACAGCAGTGGCGAGGAGCGCTTTCCTCCAGCTTCGGCTGATTCATCAGCTGCGCCCCTACCTGGAGTACGACTGCCTCGTGACAGTGACACATGCGCTGGTGACTTCCCGTCTTGACTTCTGTAACGCGCTCTATGTGGGGCTACCCTTGAAGACGGTCCGGATACTTCAGTTGGTTCAAAATAGAGCTGCCAGGCTGCTGACGGGGACTGGGCGGTATGTTCACATGACTCCAGTTCTCCGTCAGCTTCACTGGCTTCCCATTGAAGTCCGGGCCCAATTCAAGGTGTTGGTGATGACCTATAAAGCCCTAAACGGCTTGGGTCCTGGTTACCTGAAGGAGCGCTTACATCCATATATGCCCAGCCGCCCCCTGAGTTCGGTGGGACAGGCCCTTCTCCGGGAGCCCTCTGTGAAAGAAATTAGGAGGGTGGTTACTCAGAGGAGAGCTTTCTCAGCGGTGGCGCCTAAGTTATGGAATGCGCTCCCCAGAGAGGTCCGCCTGGCGCTGTCGTTATTTGTTTTTCAGCGCCAGGCGAAGACCTTTTTATTTAAGCAGCATTTTAAATGTTAATATTATTGAATTTTATCTGGCCAGGGTGGCTTATTTTATATTGTATACTTGTATTTTATTTTAATGTATATATTTTAATTTTTACTTATGATGACCTAACTTATTGTTGTAAGCCGCCCCGAGGCTTCGGTGAATGGGGTGGCATAAAAATGTTTTCATAAATAAATAAATAAATAAATCTAGTCACCATTTTTCATGTTCCTTTGTAGGTTTGAGATATCAAAGAATACTTTCAATGCAAAACAGTGTTGTGTTAAACTACATAGAGAGGAAAGCCCAGGGGTTCAACAAAGGAATAGGCAAGTTGATATTGGTAACATAATTATGTCTTCTTGAAAAAAGAAGAAAAGATTTGGGGCAGGGGTAGTACTAAGAGGAAAAACTTCAACAAGAAAGAAGCGGAAAGACTGGAAACTGATTTCACTTGCTAATGTTAATATATACTGTTGCTTAATGTAAGGGTTCAGTATCTAAGAATCCAAATAGCTTAGCTAGCATTAGTTCCACTGTTATAAAACAATCATTCTTCAGTCTCACAAGTGATGTGGGAGCAGAAATTCCTTCCCAAATGAAAAAAATCCAAAATAGAACTTACAAGGAAGTCTCATGGCATTTTTAGATGTTTAAAAAGGCTAATGACAACAGTGTAACATGAAATACTTATTCATGGAAAATGATCACATGCAATGTCTTTTAATAAAATTTAAAGTTAATATGTCAGAGATTGCCAGACTTAGCAAACATACCTTTTAGATATAAAAAGGCTTTGATGAAGAGGATTTAATATTTGCCATATCTCTACAGTGTCAACAGATGATGAGGGTTGCTGATTTGACTGCAACTTGACAACGTGAGTTAATTTATCATCAGTTATAAGCTGAGTCTTTATGTATTTTCTTCCTATCTCCGTCTTCAGGACATTCGTCAAGATAACTTTGGGTTGCCTGCCATACATATAATAATAATGATAAATAACGATGCCTAAATAAGATACATGAATTCAATAAACCTTCCTGTAATAATCACACTATTTCCATTTTAGATGACCTCAGCCAAGAATATGTACTCTATCTCACTGTTAGGATGAAAGTTAAGGTTCTTTCTACACGAAATATTTCTATTCTTCCTTGAAACAGCTTGGATGGCTTGGCAACTGCAGTCCTCTTAAAATGGTGCTAGTGAATTATGTCGGCAAAGTTTATCAAGGCTTGATTTAGGGATGCCTTGCTGTGTCATATGCAACCACAGTCTTACAGGCTTTATAAGTAACAAAAGTTGACAAGATGTCATGACTGAAAGATTATGAACAGCAATAAAGGAAGGTTCAAGAGCTGATACAGAAGTTCTCTTAGTCACAGAATGATCCTGAGGAAACCAGAGAAATCAGGACATAGGCTTAGAAGAAACTAGCCTTCCTAGAAGGAAACCAGCCAATCCAAAATTTTAGCTGAAAGTCCTCCTATAACCGCAGCTTCAGTTTCTTCTTTTAGGTACAGCTTTGCCACAGTCTCTTGTCCTCTCAGAGTGGCTGTCTTACTTTTTGGTTCTTTCTGAAATAGCCTCAGAAAGTCAGCTGGAGCTTACGGGTATTCACTAATTCTAGACTGGTGTGGTTTTTTTACACCAACTATAAAGATGATTGTCTTAGTCAATCACAAGCCTTCCAACTCAAGACATGATATGAATACTATACAGAAACACAGTAAGGTTTCCTTAGTGGTGTTTATGCCTCTGTCACAATCCCAGGATCTCAATGATGTTCCAGAGAGTTGAGATATACAGGCTGGCTCCATCGGTTTCAAATCTACACACAAAACATTGTCACAGTCTACATGTGATAAAACTAGGTATGCCATTTAGCTAGTTTTCCTAAATGTGTACATGTACAATACCAACAGCATATGTAACAATTTCTGTGTTCTGGAAATTCATCTGCTTCTCATGATTTTTAAAATCAGTGCTATATACATAAAAAGTCAATTCTTTTTCCTACAGAATGTCACTGTCGGCACTCTCATCTTCTAAAAACGTAACTTCACAAAGAAAGCTAACTTCAATGGACACAAATGTGGATACCTGTTTACCACATATTTAAAAACAAATGTATTTCTCTACACCAGTTGGCAACAGAAGCAACTTGGATGATTTAATTAGATTTTGCCACTTTAAACATAACACAAATATAGTATAAAAATAATGCAAACCTGTCAGAACCTAATGAAATCATAGTACTTATAAGGACACATTCTTTGATCTTCCAGTTATACCTATAATCTACATAAAAAGTTGTCAGTTCCAAACATTCTACCGCTTTGCACACCCTTTGAAGCCCAAGACATTGTAACACTGGCTTTACAACACAAGCAAAACACAGGGATCCTTAAGTGTCCCTGTTAAATACAGGCTTGTTTCCCATCACCCTTTGCCTCTAATGGCATTTCATTATCCACTTAAAACTTGCTATATGTCAATGCAAACACATAATTTAAAAAAGAATTAAGTATTAAGGCTCATATGTTCTCTAAAGTTGTTGCAAAGATAAAATAAAACAAAGCTGTTGGTATACATGGACAGCTAATCCATGAATTAATACTATGTGTGTGAGCTAGAATGAGTGAGTCTTTGGCTTATGTATTCCCCGTTCACTTCTCCTATCATGTTTAGTTTCCATTTCTCCTAATCTCAGTTTATTATTGTTCACTGAAGGAAGTAACTCAGTGATTGAGAAACAGACAGGCAAAAAGCCAAGCCATGAAGCCTGTCTGAAGGAATGTGGAGGGGAGAGAAGATAATGATGACCTGAAAGAAAGTGTTCTACTTCCTATCTCATCCTCCCAGTAGTTTTTTGAGCTAGTGGATCGTAGGTCAAGGTGAAATTGGAGAGCAGTGAACTTGTACTTATGAGCACACAGGCATAATAGGTTGATGAATATTAACTCACACACCTTGAATAGACAATGGACTAATTATAATGCAGATATGATGTATGTAAATGTATGTAGTGAGATGAGATGGGAGATATGAAGTAGGCAAACGAAGAGTGTAACCCCCTAGTACCTTGCCCAGTAAGGGAAAAGGGGAGGACTGTGGCAGATGGATTGAGGGGTAAGAGGAGCTGTTTTGTGTGTTTGTACATTGGAGAGATTCTGGTAGAGCGGGCTTTCCCTGTCTATTGCAATAAACGAAGAAATTGTCTCATTTGTAGTCCTGGTTATTTAACTTGAGGAGAAGCATTTTCGCAGCTTTTTGCATAACATGCATGAAGCAAAGAGCACATTTCATAGGAAAAAGCCTGGTTCCTTTCCAAATAAACCAACTTCAATGTTTATTTTTTAAAACATGATCTCTGGTTTGCATAGAATAATCATCAGTTTAAAGAAAGGTGAGGTGAACAAACTGGCTTCTTCCCTGAGTTTGTTCTACTATGTGCAGATAGTGTTAAACCATGCTTAGGATTTTGTGAAAATGTGGCCATACAGTAATGTACACCAAATCCCTGAAGTAGAACAAAACATGCTAAATGAAGCGGAACTGCTTCTAAGGCCTGTGAGTACCATCCCATAAATGCATAACATATCGCATAGCACTGCTATGCCTGGGCAGCACTGCAGAATAGGTTGTTATGCTGCCATTACACTAGAAGTGAACCATCTCAGCTGCCTCTTTGTAGGGTGAAATCCTATGCATGTTGACAAAGAAAGAAGCCCTACAACACCTACATTCCCCAGCCAGAAGATAAAAATGCGTAAGATTGGGCCCTTAGTTAATGTGAATGTTTTGGGGATATTCCGGGGGGCGGGGGAATGACATCCACAACAATAGATTTTAGTATCACAGCTAGGCAGCTTACTTGGTGGAAATGCAAGCACCCACTGCATGGTGATAGATGTGGGAGAGGAAATGCCTTGTTTCAGTTTGGTAGATTCCTTACCAGGAGGGAGTGGTGGAGATAAGGGATGCTGCAGTGAACATTGTAAATGCACACAGCTGCTGCGATATCTGGATATCAAAAGACTGCATTGGTGCTGACACAACTATCCAACACAACAACCATATAGCTACATAGTGCTAAATTCAGCATTCACTATATAGCAGTGAAACATAAGAGTAATTTCCCTCTCCTCCTGTTGCACTGGTCACTGCACCTAGTGAAATACCTCAACACTCACCACTGCAAAGTAGCTTTAACTTGATGGAACACAAGTTACTGAGCTAATCAATCTGAAGCAGACAAACACCAGATTTTATAACAGAGACATCTATTGCTAGGAATAAAAATATCAGGAATAAATCTTTATCATATGACAGCAATCTATTTCTACAAATACAGTTTAACTATCAAACTTTCCTTGGTTTGTATAGCATGAATCATCATTTTACTGACATATAACTGACTGAGGGCCTGCTTAATTTATACCAAGTAACACGGATATGCAGATGTTTACTTGTAAATATGCTTTGAGATTTTGGATATGTAAGAATGTCAAGGTCTAGAACATAAAAAGCTGTTTGAATTATTAGAAACACAATGGTAAAGTTGTATGAATTTATAGCAATATTACTTTACTACAATAGGTGTATCTTATAAATCTAATGTAAAGTAGGATCTTAGATACATTAGAGATAATCTCTTGCATCAAGCACTCTGATCTAGCAATTTTATGGGGATGCTCTGAGACTTAGTACTTCAGATTGACATGCAAGTCTAAAATGGCTGGAATAGTAAACTGATGAGACCAAATGTAATTTTAATAGTGTTCTGTATTTAGATTATTTGCTCATTGCTTTTAGTATGATTGTAACTCAACACAGGTTGGGTAAGGTCAACAATCTAAAAACTCTAAATATTGGTCTCATATAATATCATGACTTTGTAGAGAGCACTTATTTGATTAATTATAGGACGTTCACACACTGCTCCTATTTTAGGCTTACTGGGAGTAAGTCATTTTGAACTCAGTAGGATTTACTACTTGATTCAGGTTGCAATCCTATATGCACTTACCTAACAGCAGTTCCATCAATCCCCTAACAAGATATACTGAACTTCACATGAGTAAAAACAATTAAAGAAAAATGTATACTTTCCTTTTAGATCACAACAAGGCATCACCTGGGAGAGTGGGAAGGTGAAGTTATCAAAGATGGAGCTTACCATCTGCAGATTTCATAAATACTTATACTAAAACTGCAAGTTAATACTTGTTTTGTTATAAGCAGCCCAGATAATTGTTATACAACTGTGTATAAACAGGTGTGTGTTGTGCATGATTAAAATTACAATCTGTTGCCTTTTTATTTCATTTCTATACTGCCCCACAGCTGAAGTTTTCTGGGCAGTTTACACAGTTCATAAAAATAGATGATAGAGATATAATAAAAATATCACAAAATAATAAAAATATTAAAAAGCTCAAAACAGCTAATAAAAACAGATAATACCAAGGAACAATTAAAAAAGAATGACTTTTTGAAACACCTGGTAATCCCCTTGAAGCCCCTGGCTGGCTAAGTCTTCAAAAGCATCAGAAAAGAGAGCCACCTTAACCTGGCACCAAAAAGATAAGATTCAGTACCAGCTGAGCTGCAGTGAAGAGGTTATTCCACAGAGGGGGTCCAACCACTGAGAAAGGCCTCCACCTTGTTGCTACCCTCTATGCTTCCTTTGGACTTGGCACTCAAAGAAAGGCCCCAGAGGTTGAATGTAGTGCCCAGGTAGATTGTGGTTGGTAGAGGTGCTCCGACAGGTACTGTGTTCCTAAGTCATGCAAGGCTTTATCAGTTATAACCAACACATTGAATTGGCACCAGAAATATATAGGCTGTCACTGCATGTGAGCTAGAACTGGACTTATATGTTTGGACCTGCAGGTGGCACCCAATCTATGGAATATGCTCCCCAGAGAGGTCCGCCTGGCGCCCTCGTTATTTGTTTTTCGGCGCCAGGCGAAGACCTTTTTATTTAAACGTCATTTTAATTGTTAACAATATTTACTTATTTATCTGGCCAGGGGGACTTCTTTTCTTTTATAACTTCTTTTATATCGTTTATATTTTTTATTTATTTTATATTATTAACTGTAATTTATATTGTTATTTTTGTATTGTATCGTATTTTATTGTGTTGTAAGCCACCCCGAGGCTTCGGCAAGGGGCGGCATAGAAATGTTCTTCTTCTTCTTCTTATTATTATTATTATTATTATTATTATTATTATTATTATTAATCTGGTTGCCAGACTCTGCACCAGCTGCAACTTCTGAACCACTTTAAATGCCAGTCCCATGTAAAATATAAGAAATTGATTTTAAAAAGTGTGTTTACACCTTCATAGGCCTACAATACCCAAAACAGTATTGGATTAATGTCTTGATTTCTGAAGCAATCTCTGCTTACCCAAATGATGACCCTTCATTAATGCAACGTTTCTCTGAGAGTCTTTTTCTCTTCCAGTCTGGGTAAAACTTCTTATTTCTCGATGTCCACTGAAATGGATGAGTGGGATGCATGAATTTTTAAAAATTAACAACACAAAATGGAAAAGTAGAGAAGGAGGTATGCTTGAAATTGTAAAAAATATATCAAGACAGAAGGGGTAAAAAAGAACTTGCCATGCAGTTTACTGAAATAATACATTCCAGTATAACCAAATAGAAACTTCAACCTCACACTGAAAAAAATCCTTTCTATCTTCACTGAACAACAGCAGTGAAATCTAAATCCCATTAGGTCATAATCTGTCCATGGTAGTGGCCTTCTTTTGAACCACCCCTCTATCCATAGATCACTTTCGTTTTGATCCAGTCAGCCTTCACTGAGATTTATTTGCATAGGAAACCATGGCCAAAGTAAACAGATGAAAATAGCAAATTAAGAGTTCCGCTTCTTTCCTCTTCATGTTTTAATTGTTAGTCTCAATGTATTTCTGAATTACTTGCATTCATAAAAAATAAGCTGTACTTTTTAAAAGAGTTATAGAGTAATTAATTTCCAAAACTTGAGAAATTAATGTGCTCATCCAAGCACAGCTTTTTGCAAACCTTTCTAAGTAGTGTAGAAAGCAAATAGCTTCTATTTACCCCTTGTAATGGATGTTCCCACTGCTGAGTGTCTGCAAGTCTTGACAACGGGGACTGAACACAAACATCTTCTGACTGCGCGTTTGATACCTTCTTTGGTATTCGATACTGAAACAAAACATGACCTTTTCATATTAAGCAGAAGAAAAGGGGAAACAGTATCTAACTACAAACACTAAAGTACAAAAAATAACAAGTTAAGCTTCAGATTTTATTAAATTTATATTTGCATTTAAATACTTTAAGTAAAACCAGTACCAATATTTATTGACAAAATAAATCAACTCAATCTTCATTAGATATAAAATTTTAACTTGCCAAACATGTAAAATGCAATGGCCTTTCTTGTACTGTGATTCAGTCCTTTCAGTTAATCATTACTTTGTTTATTTCTAAACTGTTGCTTTATTTTCATGAATGTTATTCTATCCAAGGTGTTCTATCTTAAGAAAGCTACAGAATATGAGCCAAATTACAAAAATAATGGATATAAATCAAGAGCAAACTTACTTTTTGTTGACTCGAAGATGCTTTTGTTCCACATCCTTCCATGTTTACTGCTGTATAAGACAGGCAGAAAATAACAGCATTCTCTATCATGTTATAATAAGCATTTCCAAAAGAAACTAATTAAGGTTCACAGTACCGATAGGAGACACTATATATTTCCCAAATGTTAAAGTTACACATATCCCTTGTGAATAAAAAGCTTTCTCTGATGATTAGTTTTCCCTCAAACCAGCATATACTTCCAAGGTAACTGCTGATCATAAGGTTGCCAAGGCACAAGGAGCAAACACTGACTAGATCCCTTTGCTACTGTAAGAAAATGAATTGATCAGAATCAGATCTGTTTTATTATGTTAGGCAAATTCCAAGCAAAACAAAGAGAACAGAGCATGCATTGATAAATCTTTTTATTAGAGCATCTATGAAAAAAGGAACAAGAAGAAAAAGGATTTTTCTCTGCCTGATACAAGAATCGAAAAGGCCAGTGTAGTTGCAACTGGTGTGACATCTTCTTACCATGGGTATACCATCAGACTTCTTCACTGAGTGCCCTTCAGATGTGCTACACTGCAACTTCCATCATTCCCAACCAGCACTGACAGTCATAGGTTTAGGCTTGCACATTTCCTCCCTCTCCGCTTTTCTGTATGGATTTCCCACTTCCTGTTAAACTGTCTTATATTTGTGTACATTGGAATTGTGTCTTAAATATGCACATTGGATTTTTATATTGTGTTTTATTGCATTTGTATTTTTATCATTATCTTTTGTATTTGATTATTTGATGTGAACCACTCAGACAGCTTTGGCTATCGAGTGGTATAGAAATAATAAATAAAATCCTTTCTCTTGTTGTACCAAAATACAGCTAGGCTTATGCATTATTTGATCCAAACAAAGTGATGCAGCCTCACCTGCCTGGCTGCCACAGTGCTGCCTTTTGCAGCAGGGTTGGCTAGACTAAGAGAAGGAGGACAAAGACAAGGAGTTACCAACATGCCAGTATCTGTGGTTTAAGGTCAGGAATGGGCCCTTTTGAGCTCCTTGGCCTTTAACAGCTGTCTCTTCATGCTAACCCCGATGCCTTGCCTGGGCCTGATATTTCTTTGCCTCTTACTGCCTCCTTCACTCCTTTTCTACACAGCAGTTGATGTCAGCTAGCCCTTTGAAGGTTGGGCATTGGGATTTTTTGCAGGCCATGTTATGAGGCTGTAATAGCATGTAATTGTAACTGTAATCTTTTTAAAACAAGAGGGAGTTTGAATTGCATTGATTATTTAAACATATTCATATTTAAAATCTATATTATTATTTTTAACCTAGATTTTTTATCCACCCTAGTAACAATTGGTCCTGGATGCTTGATTTAAGTTGGGTATTATCAATAAACTGATACTATACCAGTCTCAATCTCTGGGTAGTCTCTCTTAGTTCCTACTTATGGATGTTAAACAGCATCTGTGATAGAACTCAGGCCTTGTGGAACACATGTCACTCACAGGGAGGTAAACGAATATAACCAGTACTGATTCACTGAGTGTGCTCCAATTCAAAAACAGTGCCACTCTGCTGACAATATCAATTTAAGCTGGATTATCAAAACTGTACAGACAACTATCAAAAGCCACTCAGATGTCCAAATCAAATGTGTCCACGAGAACTTACAATTTGCTTATTACATCATTTGCTGTTGTGGATTACAACCCATTTGTCAGATGCATTTATTATTCTTCCCAGTTGGTTCTTTAAGACAAGGGTAGATAAAAGGCCATGAAATGCTACTGGTACAACCTCATTTTTCCCTTGCAAAATTCAAGATCATCACAATGACCCATTGCAAATACAAACATTTCATAAGCACATAAACCCCGCCCCCAGGGACTTTACTCAGAGTTTGGAATATCATTAAAAAAAAGTCAAAATTCCACAGAGTTATGCAAACTTTTGGGTTCTCCAGAACTTTTCTCTGTGCCTTTATTTTCTATCATCTAGGCTGATAAAAAGTTCTAGAGACCCCAAACATTTGCATATAATTTTGAGAAATCCTTGTTCCAGAGTAGCATACACATACACAGTAAAAGACAGCTACTGCTTGCATATTTACATTCTAAAAGGCCATGACACAGCAAGGGAAAGAGAACAGGGAGAAAAGTGCTGGTGGGGAATTAAATCTTTCAGCTTGACTGATGGAATGGCTCTATTTTCCCCCTTTCATTCTGTCAATAGAGCCTAATGGAATGGCTACTGGCAGTGACGGTTTGCGGAAGCGAAGCCTCCCTCATCTCGACTAAGGCTGGTAATCCGCATATGTGATAAAATAGATTCTGGCGTATTAATTGAACCATTCGCGTTTAAAGTGCTGAAAGTAACCCTCCCTCCGTCTTTGCTGCAACGGAGGCTGCCTTCGTTTGGAAAAAAAACGAAGGCAAGTCAGCAAAATTATCTCGCCCAGTTAGGGGTGCGGTCCTATTTAAGTTTAGACGGACAAGAGTGGCCTATAACACCGATCCCACTGGCTGGAGTATAGTAGGATTAGTAAGCCTCTTTTTCCTGCCGAAATTACACAGGTTTGCATCTTAAATGAACAGCACCACTAAGCGAGTTAAGATTTCGAGAAGGGTTGAAACGCCCACGGCACTGGTGAACCAAATGTAGCCGGCGATTTCTTCCTGAAGCTCCTGCTGTGTGCACATTTAGCGGGAGTAAACCCCCCTTGAACACCGGCAAGATTTCATTCGGAGTAAAACAAGTTTCAGCACAATCCTAGGCCAATCCAAGTAGGGAGAGAAAGAGCGCAAGCTCCACAGGACAAAATGCGATCCACTACCTGCACTGTCCTCTGACAATCTACCTCGTCGCCACCTGGCACGCGAGGACCGAGATGAGCCCACCAATCGTCTCCACTAGCCACTTAAGAGGCGAGCATGGTCGACGCCTTTTAAAGCCCGCAACCTCACCACATCCCGTTCCGGGAATAACATCCCCCCAGAAGGGAGCTGCTCTGCGGGACGGAGGAAATCCGGCACGGAGGCAGGTCTAGCTGCGGCCGGCCCCTCTCCCCCGACCCTCCCTTCCCCGCTCACCTGGCCACAGAGGGCCACGTTACTCCCCACGCCGGGCGTCGCCTTTTTTATCGCAGGCACTGTCGCCGGTAGCTCGGTCGCCCAGCGCTGCCCACTTCCGCGATTTCCGGCACAGGCGCCGCCCCTCGGCTTCTCTTGTCGCTGGGGTTCGTGCTCGGCCAGCCGCGACTGCCTTCCTGGGCGTGCTGGCGGAGGCTTTCGTGGGGCCTCAGGCGTCTGTGTCCGTAGCGGGCGCAGGGACCTCTTGGGTGGCCTCCCCTTCGCTGGTTTAGTGCCCCGGCGAATGCCCGCTGCCCCTCTCTGGCCCAGTCGAAGATGCTTTCAAAACTGTCCCCTTCCCCCAAACATGGGGGCAGTGTTGAGTTCGAGGGCAGACTACAGAGCTGTTCTTGACGCGAGGACTGAATCCCGGCTTGTTTTAAAAAGAAAGCTGAGCGGGACTTAATATTGAGGGTGGAATGTGGAAAGAAAGAAGACAGATGAAGGGATGGGAGTAGATGGAGGCGGGGTTGCTATAGTAGAAGAGAATAATGTTTTGTACTCCTCTAAAAATATGAGCTAGGGAGATTGTATGATAAAGTGTGTCTGTAAGCACTCTTAAATTATAGGTCGTTTGTAAAAGGCTTCTGATCTTTAGAGTTGTCACTGTATTTATACAATTATTTTAAAAGACTTGAGATGTTGATTTACAACTCTTAACAGCTGAATCTGTTCAGACAGCGTCCCAAAGCAGAATACACTGAAGTGTCTAAGAAGCCTTTGCCATTATTTAAAAGCAGCATGAATGTAAGTATGTTCTGATTACAAATATAAAGGTATGCTAATTATATTTCTCCTTTTTTGAGTTAGTCAAAGAAATGCTTCTTATATTAAGTATGTATTCTTCAGAAATATTCTGAAGAAAACATTCCAATTCCCACCCACTTCCCTACAATTCAAATATTCGTACTTTCTAGGTGACTTACTAGGCCAAGTCAAAGGTCATAAAATAATATTCATACATTCAAATTCTCTAACTTTCTTCATCAGGCAAGATGGTAAACAAAGCAAAAAAGCAGGGGAGTGGAAGAAAGCAACTGATATTCTAACCAGGGAGCCTGCATTTGGTTCCAGTCTTAAGTTGGACAGTAAGAGGATGGTGCAAATATTATAATTAAGATGTAGCAGGTAAGAGATAGTTTTATGTTGCACCTCAGACCATCCCAAGAGTTGTTGGACAGGAAAAACAAGACAGTGGTTGATCCTTTTTCAGAAAATAGAAATTTACCCAATAGTTTTCTTCACTCCTAAGCAAAATATAGGTCCCATAATAGGTAGAGGAAAAAATAGTAAATGGAAACTAGATGATTGATTGATTGATTGATTACATTTCTGCACCATCCATTAGCCAGAATGACTCTCTGGGTGGTTTACAATGACATAACAACAGCATATACAGTAAAATGATGGAAATAATCTAACCTATCTTAAAAATAACAAGACAATAAAATCCTAGCATTCAGATTAATCTAAAGGCAGAGTAGGACTAAAATACAAATACATACCATAAAATATCCTTAAAAATTATCTTTACTCTTTTTGATGTGCTGTATTTTAATAGTTGAGACAAGGCGCCAGGCAAACCTCTTTGCGAAATTGATTCCAAAGTCAAGGTGCCAGCTGAAAAGGCCCTTCTCCTTGTAGCCACACTCTTAGTTTCCTTCCAAGAGGGCTCTCTGAGAAAGACCTCAGATGAACTTAAGGTCTGGGTAGGCTCATATAGGAAGAGGTCATCCTTTAGATAACCTGGCTCCAAGCTGTTCAGGGCTTTAAATATTAACACTTTGAATTGGGCCTGGACTTCAACTGGTAACCAATGAAGGTGATAAAGGACTGGCATTAGATGTTCATATTGGCCAGTCTTCATCAGCACACTTGCTGCCCTATTCTGGACCAATTGGAGTTTCCAGACCATCTTCAAAAGCAGCCCTGCATAGATGGAAATGTTATAATCATCTGAATGAGAAGTTACCAGAGCATGGATTGCTGTTGCTAGGTTCTTCCTGTCCAGATAGGGTTGTAGTTGGTGAAATAAAAGGTGTTCTGGGCCACCAAATCCACCTGAAATTCCAGTGATAATTCAGGGTCCAGGAGTTTCCCCAAATGATGAACCTTGTCCTTTAGGGAGAGAGCAACCCTGTCCAGGACAAGTGTAATATCACTTATCTGGACAGAAGATTCCCCCACCAACAGCACCTCTGTCTTGTCTGGATTAACCTTCAGTTTATTGGCCCTCATCCAATCCATTACTAGGCCAAACATTGTTTCAGAACAGGAACTGCCTCACCTGCGTTAAATGAAAAAGAGGTGGAGCTGAGTGTCCTCAACTTACTGCTGTCATATCAGCCAACACCTCCAGATAACCTCCCCCAGCAGTTTCCTGTAGATGTAGACTAGTGTGGGTCGTAAGATAGAGCCCTACAGAACACCTTGGTATAAATGCCATGGTGCTGAGCAATAATCCCCCAGCACTACCTTCTGGAATTGGCCAGTCAAGTAGGAGCAGAGCTACTGCGATGCAGTCCTTCCTACTCCCAACTGAGCTAGCCTACCCAGGAAGATACCATAGCTGATGGTATCAAAAACTACTGAGAGGTCCAGGAGAACCAACATGGTCAAGGCCGTCTTTCTCCTGGCAAAGGTCATCCCACAGTGCAATCAAGGCATTCTCTGCTCTGAACCAGGTCTGAATCCCCAATTGAAATGGATCAAGGTGGTATATTTCATCCAAGTGTGCTTGGAACTGTTCAGTTACTACCTGTGCAAACACCTTGCCCAGGAAGGGAATATTGGCCACCAACCTTTAGTCATTGTTTTCCAGGTCCAGGTTTATTGGTGTTAATTCTCCATGTTGTGCTAAGGTTAAATTTAGCAAATTTCAGGCCTGCATTGCCCTAATTAAAATATCCGGGCTGTGTATGGTTTAGCTGTACTGAAAATGTTAACAACGCCTATAAGAAGAGAACTGCTGTATCTAGGGCAATGAATTTGCTACCCCAGACCTGTTCCTTCTGATGAATTCACTGGTATATCAAAAAGGGGAGGCAAATAAGGAATACACAAAATAAAGAGCAGGTAGTCCCCAGGTTATGAACAACCCATACTTATGAATGAGCAAAACGAGAAGACCTGCCTCATCCTTGAGCGGCAAGCAGACACCCGCAGGCAGCAAGCGTTTGGCAGTGAAGGAAGGAAGGAAGGGAAGAATAGGAAGGAAGGAGAGATAGGGAAGGAAGAGGTGGGTGGGGGAAGCAGTGTTGGCAAGCAGTGAAGTCAGAACTAAAAAGTGACTCTAACCCCTTCCAGCAGCACAATCAAACCCTGACTGTGTAGCACCAGGGCCATCCTCTCCAACACTAGTTCCATCTCCATCATCATTCAGTTAATGTTAGGCTTAATGTTAGTTCAAGAAGTGTTAACTTTTAATAATCTTTTAACTATTTTTTCTCTATCTAAACTGTTTTAAGAACTGTACTGCCTACCTGCACACATACATACATAGTCTCTCTCTTATCTGCAGTTAATTTATTGTTACTGCATTATTATCATTATTAAAATGATTGTGTTTAAGATGTTTTAGCATATATGGAAGTATTGTTTTATATACTTTCTATATACGTTATCCGACCTACATACAAATTCAACTCAAGGATGTTCTTAGGAACAGAACTTCGGTAACCCTGGAACTACCTGTACATTAAATATCCTAAGAACAAGTTATCTCACTATAGGAGACAGTAACAAACAAATGAATATGCAATAAGAATGTGCATGGCACCAGTCAGCTGTATTCAGATACAGCCTTATTTTTAGTCACTTCAGTAATTTTCTAATATATGTACCCTATCCTTTATTTCATACTGAACAGACTAACTTCCTGTGGTCATCTCATGTACAAGAATACAAAGTTTATTGCTAAGGTACAATTGTTACAGAAATTAGCTTAATGTGTCTTTTTCTGTCACATTTCTTGATAGTGCAAAGCACAGCTACCCTACAGATATAACCCCAGTGTAAACTGATCTAATTGTTCTTCTTACTACTATTAAGTGACATTGGTGGCTGTAATTATACAATCTTGAGAATGATCTGAAGGTGTCTGAAGTGGGAAGCTTTGTGGGTTTGAGCCCAGCCATTTGAAAAGCAATTATAAACCAAATACCACACTGAACTACATGCAGGACAAGCAGGACAGATCCTTGTCTATGATTCAACAAAGCTAATCACTTCTAAGTAGCACTGATTTTAATGGGAAACTGAAGGAAGGGCTTGCTTAACTCCTTCCAAGTGAAATCAACAAAATTGAAATCACTAAATTTGGTCGGATGTTGCCAATACCGCCGAAGTGGTAGGTAGAAGTGTTCTGTTCAAAGAACTTAATTATGTGCTTAAGATGTTACATGTCTGACATGTTTTGCCTATCTATTTTATTTACAGTGGTTAGAAATTAATGGAGATCTGAACTTCAGAAAATTAATAAATGGCTTAGAGTGTCCAGAAAGTCTAAAATATGACTTTAACAAAAACGGTGAGCTTAGGCACATAGATACCAATCAACCTTTTATTTTTCATTACCAAAACTCCTATGATAGTAATCACAAACGTTACAAAATTCTTGGACACTTAATTACTCAATATGTTTATGAGATCCTAGAAAAGGCTTGCAAGTTGCAGAAGATCCACATCCCAATAGATGCTCCAGGCAATGAATTTCATAGTTCGTTTTTTATGAGTGAGAATGCAATAACTAACTGCCCAGCTACAGTTGTCCTTCTTCAAGACCGAGGGCCCTTTCGTGCAGGTCAGTGGGGGCAGAAGACTATAATTCATGAAGGCCTCCAACATGGATCCCAAGTACCATTCATTACAATGGCTCTACAGTGCTCTTGGGGGGTGATCGTTTTAAACCCCAATGACAATTTCACTGATCCAAAGACAGAATCAGAACGTTTAAACCTCTCTGAGAAAGAAGACACCACTTGTCCTCTACAGACAATTCCAAAGCGAGATAGCTGTACTCCTGAAGAGCATACAACCTATGTTTGGGACCACTTCATTTCAAAGACCCCAACTAGAAATGTAGCTTTCATTGTCCATGGCTATGGGGGATTGGTCTTTGTCAACTTACTCATGCAGAGAACTTTGGAAGTGATGGACAAAGTGTATGCTGTTGCGTTTGTTGATTCCACGCACCATACTGTGCACCAGACACAAAGAGATTCACAGGTGCAGGCATGGATATGGAAGCACTGCCGAAAGTGGGTATCAGATTGTAAACCATTAGATAAGTCAGCTGGTTGTTTTGTGAAAAGGGATTGCCCAACTGTCTCTACAGGAACTGAAAAGTACAGCCTGGCCCCTTCTTCTAGTCTGCAGTCCATTTTCAAATACCTTAAGAATGCATTGAAAACAGGCACGAAAGAATGTTTCATTCGTTCACCCATTGCAACAAGGAGCAAAAAAAATCTGAAAAAAATAAGTATATGACTTTTTTCTTTAATCAGTAAAGTGCATTAGATGCTTATGTTTGCTTCTGAGACATATTTCATCCAAATACGGAGCAATTCCTTTTACTGTTGATGCTTTGAAAAGTCTAATTTTAATTAGTTTGTCTTATTTCAATTTCTGAAAAGTGTGAATGCTGAAATTCCTTAAGTGTTGTTTGTTTGTTTTTTTACAGTTTTACAAAAAGTCCGGTTTATGGCAAAGCTCATCCTTTACTTTGAAAAAAATAAATCTCATACTATCAAATAAAATCCTGAATATGGATTATTTAACCAAGTCCTTCAGCCTCCCCATTGCATCACTGTAGTTTGACTTAATACCAGGGTGGATGTGATTCAAATCAAATCAATTTTAATCACAATTTAAAACACTAGTCAGTAAGGTAAGATTTAAATCATGGTTTTCCACATAATTTGCATGCATGCCTGCCTTACCCATAGGTAGAGCAACTGCATTAAAATATTTCCAAACTGGGTATCTTTTACATCTTTAGAAGTTTTCTCCTCCAGGAATAATATGCTAAACCTCAGGTGATACACAAAAAGATCCAAAGACTTGTGCCTCCTCACACTTAGCTTCTTCTGCAGATCTATTGTTAAACTTAGATTTAAGAGGTAAGGGATGATTCTGTTGTACACAGATTTGCCAAAGGAGCAAGGGAATTAAGATCTTTTTCTCAACTTGGAATGTTTATTTTGTAACATTTTTGCTGTGAAGAAGAGGCATGGGATCTCTGCAGACACAAATTCAGTTTTGTAAATGTGGAGAGAATTTGTTTTGATAACTGTAAAACCAAGCATCCATGATAATATCTTCCACGTAGAAAAATTGCCCAATAATCTTACAAAAGCCTCTGAAAGAGCATGACATTGTGAATGGATTTACCAAAAAAATTTAAACATTGCCTGAATATACAGTCTCATGCTACATAATTAAAAACTAATCCTTATTTCATGATGAATAACCTTTAATATATCTTAAATAGGAAACTCTTTAATACATTTTTGCACAAAAAGTTTGTTTTTAACAATCCAGTTCAAATAAAAATCCAAAATTTCATTTAAAAACATTGATATTTATCCACCCTGTTCAGTACAGTTAAATTTGACATTGAATATTTTCAGATTTTGGGGGGGGGGAGTAAAGCAATCCTATATAATAAGCTAATGCCTTATCATTCAGAAGTGAATCTCCCATTGAATGTCTGAAACCAGCACATTATTTTTCAAGATTAGTATTCAAAATTATTAATTCGATCATTGGAACACAAGGGCAGATACTGATACCAATTAATGATATATGACAATTTTTTAAAGATTGCTATAGAGTGATATGGTTTCTATAGGTGTATTGATGCATAGTTCCAGAGCATTTATTAGAATCAGGGTTTGTTTACTCTGCAGCAAACTCCTTGGCAACAGCCCAAGTATATTAAGTTCTAACCTAAGCAAGTAAGAATAATGATTCACCAACTTTTTCCTGTACAAAGCTTTATCTAATAAGGAACTAATGACAGAATATCTGTCTCTTGATGGCGACCAACATGATCCTGAAGATGAAGTTAAACTCAATCCCTTTCCTGTAGTTTCAAATGTGTTAAACATCTAAAAAGTTGGGATAAATCAGTCTCGGGATATCCATATTCCAGTTCTGTGGCTTTTAAATGTCTTGGTAGAGTAGGTCATACTTGGGAATATTTTTTGGATCAATTGGACTACGTACAATAAGTTTTCCACGCATTGCGCCACGGTAAATTACTTCAATCAAATCTATGAAGTCTTGTTTTGTTTTGAAACTTCCCACAAACTTGGTATGATCTGGAGAACTAATTAGAAGAGAAAAGGGGTGCAAAGTAAATGATCATTGCAATTAAAAATAGAAGTTAAAATTTTGAAAGTTATAATTCAAAGTCTGAACCCTAAAAAAACTTATCACAAAACTGTTAGCATTCTAAAGTTCCAGAGTCCACACAGACTTGTTGGATCAGAACAGTGGTTTACTCTCAGGCTGATGCCTCCAGGAGGCCTGCACACTGGGTTATTATCCAAGAATTTGACCTAATCCCCCTTGGTAGCCATTTAAGTCAGCAGCTGTTGTTATATCTTGTGCCAGAGAGTTCTATTACATGCCAGGCTATTTCACTGAGTGACCCAAATTCCAGTGTTAAGGGAAGAACAATGGCTCTCCACTCACTTTTTCTACACCATGTAATCCTATGCAAATTTAGACAGAAAAAAGGCTCACAATTCCCAGCATTTCCAGAGAACTATGCGTTTTTCTATCTAAACCTGCATAGGCTTGCACCTTTAGTTTCTCATTTCCTTCAGTTACTTTCTTCAAAAAGTCCTTAAACACAAATATCTTATTGGACTGATGTTCTCTCCAATCACACCAACTTCTAAAATGATATCCTAGCTACATATTTGATGGTACTGTGATAGTCACAGAAACAGACTATCATTGCTGTTCTTCAGAACTTTGAAATGGCATAAATACTCCAATATGAAAAAGTGTGAAGAAACTGTAATACTTAAAATATATTCGAAGTGTTTGCATAGTAAATGAAGGCCATGTCAAGAACAGCTAGCATTCTATCAAAACATTAAGAAGTTCCATTGTTTGTAATGGGACTTTTTCTGAAAGTGCATACTTGGGATTATAAGCTTAGTTTCCTTGCATTCTGAGATATGAAGAACTCTTACATGCATTATGAGAACAACTGAAGTATGTAATTATGTCACTTAAGTGCTGAAAATCAGACAATGGAGTGATGTATACATAGAAGTCAGGAAATGGTACAAATTCTTTCCACTATAATATTTTCCATCCTCCTGCAGTTGCAAGTCATCAGTATATACCTGTTCCTAAGAATCTTAGCATGTCTTTGACCTTGGTCCATTTATGCAACTTGCCAGCATCATAGTTTCTGTGATATTGTCTTACGTGAACTAAGAAAACGTGTATCAAACAGAGTAACCTTCACATAGGTTACATGCAAACCAACTTACCCATAATCGACTTTCATGTGCTGACCATTGAAAAAAAAGACAGTTGATGGAATATAGCTGATATCAAAATACTGGGTGTACACTGGCACCTTGTTTATATCCACCAAGTAAATTGTAGCCATTTTACTTAAGTCGTGAGATGTTTTTGAAAGCTGCAGAGAAGCAAAAGTTGTAAAGTGATATTAAAGGGTAGGAAATACATTGCTGAACAATTGAGGCAGGTTAAAACATTTAAGAATATGACCATAACTGAAGCCATTACTCATTCAAATTTATTTGGAGTGGTGGGGATGACATGAAGGAATGTTTAATCTCTACAAGGGGTCACTGCCTGCACAGTTTTGTGCTGCCAGAAACAATAGCAAGGTTGGAGTGATTATGACTTTAGTCTGAATCAATATACCTAAAGGACCACTGTCTGCCATAAAATTAGTAGTTCTGTGCAGGCTGCACATACCATAAGCTGCTATTATCATATGCATGGTTGACAGGAACATGGAGGCAGGAACTGAGAGCCAGCTGTTCCTGTCTCTTGGTTTTCTGATGCCAAGTTGAAATCTTTTCGTTCCACGATTTTGTCAAGTTGGCTTACGAGTTTTTATCACTTTGTTCCTCATTTTTGTGCATATTCATCTGTTGGTTTGGCCAATATTTTAGTATTGCATTATGTTCTAAAAAGGTGCATTCACTGCTTTGAGAGTTTTGGGTGAGACAGAATGGCAGGATAGACATATTTAAAATACAAAATATCAAAAACATATTGGACACCTTTGTGGTTCTACTTGCTTTGCATTTTCCAGGATGGTATTTATATGTAAAGGCACATATCTTTTCCCCAGCATATTTCTATTTGAAGTGTATGTGTATTTACTTAAAGTAATTATCATTGGCTGGGTTCAGACATAACAACCCACAATGGAAATCACAGCCTGCTATATGGTTTCCATACTTCATCATGCTTTGTCTTCATGTCTGAACCCAGAAACCATGCACCTGTTTGGTTTCTGTGTTTCTTCCACAGAGTACTGTGCCAAGAGTGGCTGTGCTTGTCCCTGACCAGGGCTGCCTCACAACTGCTGAGTTGCAGCCAGCAGTGCTCTGATGGCAGCTTTGTGCTTTCCCCACTTTTTCTGTGGGCTGTCTTTGGATGCCTACCTGCTGCTTCAGAATTTCAGGGGCAGCAGGGCATCACACTGCGCCACCTCCAGCAGCAGCAACCTTGGGTGGTTGTGCCTAGCAGTTGTGTCTGTTGCTGCAGGTTGCTCAGGTGCCTGAAAACTGCCCAGCGTGTTGCATGGAAACCATTCCCCCAAATGAACCCAGCATTCAGGTAGGCTATCATGCTGCACAGTTCTGAGAAGTGCTCCCAGGAGAAATTACATAGGAGCCTTAATTACAGGTGGGACTATTTCTTTAACAGTGGCATGAATATGTGATAATGTGTAGCACAGGATGTCCAAGACTTTTTCATTTCCTTTTTATACTTAATTTTACTTTTTAAAAACTTTCCAAGAACTCTCTCCCTCAATAGGTAGTTACAAAATGTTATGTAATGATGAAGAATTAGCCCTATAATTCATTTTGTTTGTGGATCCTCCCTTTCCTTTTCCCTTTTGTATCACATCTATTCAATATAAAAGCACAGGCATGAACAGGAACTATACTGTTCTCTTAATCTTTGCATAGCAGTTTAAATAAAGTTGATATGCTTTTAAAAGAATAACTCACCACCATTACCTGTCCTTTGGAATATCCTTCAAATCCCAATATCCTACCGCGAATATATGTGTAACCCAGATAACGGTACATTTCTCCCCTCCCATTTACCTGTTCTTCTCTGTTTCCCTTCTACCTATTTTTAGATTACAAACGTTTAGGATTAGGCATAATCAAACCTATCCTTTGTAAAATACCAAGAGCATAAATGACATTTTATAAACAGCCTTTTTTTTTTAAGCTATGGCAGCTGGGGAAGTGTCTACTCTTCATGGCTCCGATAGCCAGATTCTAATAAAAGCAAAAGATGCGAATGAAAGAAGCAAACCCCTTGCTCACAATATCGTCCAGCTGCATGCAGACAAGATCCTCATCTCTGCCAAAACGAAGGACGAGGACTTTTTCTGCCACGCTTTTAACCGCATCGTCCACCTCTCTTTTGCTGGACAATTTGGGGAGCAGGAAGCTCATCGCGACTGGCAACTCCTCGCTTACTAGAACCCCCTACAAGCAGCACAAGCTCTTGCCTCGAAACGCATGCGCACAAACTTAACTGTCGCGTTAAGAAGGAAGTTCATGAAGAGCGTCGCCGGTCAGCCCTAATCTGATTGACTTGGAAGTTCGCCAATCAAGAGGCAGCTATCGTCTAGTTCTTTCCATGTATTTACAGTTTGTCGGAAATCTGCCACAGTTAGTGGAACTATAATGTCGAAGCTCTGAGAAAGTAGTATATCCGTTTCCGGGGGGAGTGTGATTCGGGACGTACCAGGCATGTGCGCTGAGGAAGAGAGCGCTACTCCGATAGCCGACCCGAGCGTTAAGGCTCACGATTGTTCCAACGTGGGGGAAAGGAACGGGAGCGATTGTAAGTAAAGCATTAATGGTTTGACAAGTTAAATTACGAACTTGAAACTCCTGGAAAAGGGCTATCTGTTTTACGAAGCAGTAAATTTCTTGCTAAAGGATGACGAATATTTTATGATGCAAGCTTTTATATATGTTTTTGTAAGTTAAGCAGCTATTCTAAGTTATCGTTCTATGACCCTGAAGTTGTGAAAATACACTACTGAAATAGACTACACTATCACCTTTAGATTAAGGAATGGCAAACGTTTTTACACACCGCCAACACGCTAAGGCAACTTTCCGACACTGATATTTAGAGGTCATAGGCCAGCAGGTATGGTGCTTGGCCATGCTGATTGCAGGGGAGTGGGCTTATAGGAACTGTAAGTACTTGGAGAGAACATCATGTCGGGAAAATCTGAACTAAGGAATGTGCCAAGTGAGTGTGGGATGAGAACAGAAACAACTTAGGTCTATAGGGCATTCAGACGGTGCTTGAACGGATTCTGAAAAAAGGTAGAGAACTGACTGCTCTCTGCAGGAAATGCTGTAGCAAAGTGTTCTGCTAGGCATCCGCTAGAGAACAAGAATCTGTTGGAATGCTTATCTTGTAAGCCCTGATTGGCCCACCTAGCTAAGTATTGTGTACACTGACAGGCAACAGCCCTCTGTTTCAGACAGAGGGTTTTTCAGCCCTACCCTGAAATTCTGAAGAATTGAATCTGGGTCTAGATGTGCTCTTCCATTGAATTGTGACCATTCCTTTTCCCTAGCAGAGTGGGTGGGGAAAGCAAAGCATCATCATAAAAAAAGATGTGTGTGTGTGTGTGTGAAAGGCTGTGTGTGTGAAAGGCTGACCTGCAAGCTTATCCTTAAAGGAATTAACTGAACCTCTAATTCTATCAATCTATAGAACTACAAAATTAATATTTAAAAACAAAGTTGAAGATACAGTTAAATTAATTCTTACAATACCACATCCCCTACCACCAGGCCCAATGATATATGTTCCAAATCAAAAAGAAGAGGAAAAAACCTTAAACAGTTCAAGACATTCCCCCTCTTCCAAAACTTTAATGATTCTTTCAAAGGCTTGAATCCTTTCCCCCTTTAAAAACCATGCTCAATAAACACACCCCAAATATCATTGGACTGATTTTTCTTTATATGCCCTTTTCTCACTTTAATCTCACATGTTAATTTGTCATTAATAGCTATACTCCAAACTTCTCTATACCAATCAGATAATTAGTAATTATATTTTACTTTCCAATTCTTAGCTATAATATAATAGGAGTGCTTTCCTACGGCTTGACTGGTCCATCAGCTGTGTCCTTACCTGGATGAACACTGCCTTGCAATGGTGATTCATGCTGTCGTAACCTCCTGGTTGGATTATTGTAATGCACTCTATGTGGGGCTGCCCTTGAAAATGGTCTGGATACTTCAGCTGGTACAGAATATTGCTGCCAGAATGCTGATAGGGACCAGTCATTACTCTCACATAACGCCAGTCCTCTACCAACTACACTGGCTTCCAGTTGAAGTCCGGGTCCAATTCAAGGTGCTGGTTTTAACCTATAAAGTTCTGAACGGCTTGGGACCAGGATACCTGAAGAAATGCCTCTTCCCTTATATGCCCGCACACCCCTTAAGATCTGTGGGAGAGGCTGTGCTCCAGAAAATCTCCCTGAAAGAGGTAAAAAGTACATCTACCTGGAGCAGGGCCTTCTCTGCGGTGGCACTCAGATTGTGGAATGCGTTCCCCGGAGAGGTACACCTGGCACCGAGTTTATGTTCTTTTTGGCGCCAGGTAAAAACCTTTTTATTTAATCGCTATTTTTAAAAAAATCGTAGTTTAATTGTTTTGAACAGTCACTTTGATTTTGTCTTTTATGTAAATTATTGAATGATGTTATTTATATATGTGATTTTATTGTATCTCAATTTTATGGATTGTGAACCGTCCTGAGATGCCAAGGCATAAGGGACGGCATGCAAAAGTTTTAAATAAGTAAATAAAAATAATTAATCTGGCTGCAGTTATTAATTTTGTTTCTAATTCTTTATTATTGCAGCTCCATTGTTTTTGATCACATACTGAAAGTAATGCAATTCCAGGGCATATATCTATATTCAGACTTAGTATTTTACTACCTTCTTTAAAAACCTCTTTCCAAAATTTCATTACATATTCATATTCCCAGCACATGTGGACATAAGTAGCCACTTCACACTCTTTATAGAGGGAAGATGGGGATTGGCCCTCCATCTTACCCATCTGAAGTTAGACCATTGTCTTCAACCTTGAAGGGGGCATGTCTAGAGGCAATAGGATTGTTCCCTTATAAGGTAAAATTATATACTTTAATTGAGTATATAGATTAAGCAGCACACATGTTTATTTTTATTCCTGGCCTTTATGATCATTAAAATTAAAAGCAGTTTCCATTTTGCTTGTTTTTGCTAATACTATATTATATTTTTGTTGTCTATATGATTGCAGATAATTGTTGGACACCAGATTTCCAAATATAAACCTATTGAATATGTCCCTATTGAATATTATCAGATCATCTGTTTTCCAAGTAGCGGTACAAGATGGGATAAAAAGGAGGTTATCTTTAATGATGCCCAGCAAGGCCATTTCTTGTAGAACATTTGTTTTGTCTACTTGGTGGAACAAAAATACCTCACCAGATGCCACAGAAAAAATAGATTTGGATGGATGGAAACAGGTCATGCGATCAGGATTGCAGGAAGATGCCCATAAAGGGGCATTGGAGACTGAAGAAGACAATAAAAGATCATTGGAGACCAAAGAAGATAGTAAAAGAGCATTGGAGACTGAAGAAGACTCCCATGTAGCTGCTACTAGGGAACTTATTGAAATGTGGAGGCTTTTAGGTAAAAACGTTCCAGAAAATATCAGTGAGGAACAGTTAAAGAACTTAATGGAATGTCCTACTAATTCTTCCAAAAAGAAGTATTTACATTTCTTGGCTGTAAAAGAATGTGTCAAGAAAGCTGAGAAAATAAAGCAGGAAAAAAAAAGAGAAGCAAAGAAAGAGCGAATGGAAAACGCTAAGGAAAATGGTGATTATGAGCTACCAAATACATTTCTCATGAAATTTTGGACCAAGTCGGAGGATAATGTGTACAACTGGAGAGCTGCTCAGTCTATGATCTTTGGTCAGCCTCTGGTGTTTGACATGGACTATGACGCTTGTATGACATATACAGAACTAAAGAATGCAGTGAAGCAACTGCAGGAATCTGAAGGGGTCAATCGTAGAGCAACAGACCCATTTCACCTGCATTACTGTAGTCTCAAGGAAGATAGTCCATTTCACAAGGAGTTAATCAAACATTATGGAGAAGCATGGGACAAGTTGTTTGTGACAGTGACAGAAAAGTCTCATGTTGAAATCTTTCCAAGAGATCAACTTGTCTACTTAACTGCTGATTCTCCCAATGTGATGAAAACTTTTGATCATAATAAAATCTATATAATAGGATCATTAGTTGATAAGTCTATACAGAAAGGAGTTTCTCTTGGTCGTGCAAAACGGCTTGGCTTGGCAACAGCACGACTTCCTTTGGATTTATACTTGCAGTGGGAGCTAGGTAGCAAAAACCTCACTCTGAATCAAATGTTGTGCATCTTACTAACTATTAAAGATACTGGGAACTGGGCGGAAGCTCTGCAGTTTGTTCCAAAAAGGAAACATGCAGGTTTTGTGGACACCATGTCGCATGAGATCAACACAAGAAGGAAAGCAAAAATGTATGAGAGACTAGCTGGACAAGAACAATCATGCAGACCATTTGCAGGGAATTCCTTGAGGTGGGAAAAACAGAAAAAATGGTGGGAAGATGTATCTTAATAGCATATTAGTTATGCATTGTTGATTGATACAAATTTCCTTGTAAATAAACATTTAGTCCAAACCATTGTTTCATTGTTTAAGCATGTCTCTAGCATTTGAAAGTCATACTGATAAGTAATTTGTGGCTAATATTCCTATGGAAATCAGTGGGACAGTTTCATCAGGATCAGGCTTGGTGTTCTTCAGTATTCAATGAAGGAATGATATCTAGGCACTTAAGAACCCACTGATATCAAAATGTGACCATAGCTTGCACTCCTGCAGTACCTTATTGCTTGTAAGGAAACCAAAACTATCTGTATCCAGCTGCCTAATAAAACGTTCCCCTCAATACTATTAAAAGGAGGACAGAAAAAGTTGCAGGTCTCATAACTTGGAAAGTACACATTAATGCCTATGGTCTGTCATTATTCCCAAGCTGGCAGGGTAGAACATGTCATTTTCTGCAGCCTCCACTGTACTAACATTTGGTAGATTAGCACTGGGAGAATGGCCCTAGTGCTGTGGAAACCCTGATTCTGCAGCACTAGGGCCATTTTCCCAGTGCTAAAGCCATAAAATAAACTCTGGTTGTGTTAAACGTTCGTCGGACAAGAAGGACTCCAAACTTTTGGTATGTTGCACATATGTTATTCAGGAAATATATGGCTATTGTAACAGCTGTTATTGAAAATAAATTCCAGTGTGTTTACCTTGCAGCTGTAGGGCCTTTTTCTTTAAAAGGAAATAGGGTGAATGATATAATTGTATGAATTTGGTTTTATTATTTAGAACTTTATTTACTAGTAGAATTCAAAGGACCATTTACCAAACAGTAACACAGAACCCTGTTACCACTTGGTAATTTATTTTTGACTTAATGTCTTTTAGTTCCAAGATTTATAGCCTATCTATAAATCAAATCATCTCCAAGAAGACTCACGACAGATCAAATACAAGCAAATGACTTTCAGAAAAATGTGCTGTTGCCTATGCTCCAAAATGACACTTTCAGAGGACAGTTTCCTTCAATATTGCCCAGTCAACATGACCTCAGATCAAATTGTCTCTGCCCCATCTATTTGACAAACTGTGCTGCTTGGCATCACACTGTTCTAACAGTGGGGTTTGTTTGGGGGTGGGGTTTTTGATGTAGAAAAGCAGCTAAAATAGATGCTTGTGTGGGGGTGGGAGAATAATAAAGCATTTAGCTCTGACAGTCTTTTATAGTATGTCACAAAACTAGGCTACTGGGGTGTTAGTTTTGTCACCATGAGGTAGCTTGGTCATCAATATAATTTTGTCAAGTGGTAAGGATAAGATGCAAGTATGTGGTAAATGATTATTTCTACTAGGTTATGTGAATTGTCCTTACAACGACAACAATCAAAACAGTGGCACCAAGAGCTGTGCTGGATCAAACCAGAGGCTGAAGTATTCCAGCACTCTGACCTACCAGGTTCCTACAGGAAAATCATAGCAGAACATTCATGTACTAGCGTCATGTTCCACAGCAACTGGTACCAAAAAGCATAGAACACTTGATACCGAAGTGAATATGTTGCTGTCATGATTAATAGCCATTGATGGTATTTATCTCCACCCACTTGCCATGTGATTGTAAGTCTACCATGTTAGTCTTGTCACCTGTACCAAAATGCTAAGAAATGGCGGGTAGGGTATGGCCACACTGATTTTTCTGAAGAACCTTTGTTTTCCAAAATACAATCTGTAAGAGTATTTTATTAGTGACTTAAGTAGTGACTTTGGGCCACAAGAATAGATGTCATAAGTACAGGTTAGGTGACAAGAGCAGCACTTGTGAAAGGGACCTCAGGGTACTGGTTGACGGCAAGCTAAACATGAGTCAGCAGTGTGATGTGGTGGTCAAGAGGGCGAACACCACCCTTGGTTGCATAGCCAGAAGTGTGGCTTCTAGATCAAGAGAGGTATTACTACCACTCTATACGACTGGTGCACCCACAACTGGAGTATTGTGCTCAGTTTTGGGCCCCTCATTACAGAAAGGATATGGCCAGGTTAGAGTCAGTGCAGCATTGGGCCACAAGGTTGGTGGCCGGTTTGCAGGGGAATGGGTAAGAGGCGAGACTGAGAGAACTGGGTCTCTTCAGCCAGGAGAAGAGGATACTCAGAGGGGATATGTTGGCAACATACAGGTATGTGAGGGGATGTGACATGGAGATGGGTAGAGACCTGTTCTCTCCTGCAGAGGAAGGCAGGACACGCTCCAATGGAGCAAAGCTCAGGGAACCAAGATTCTGTTTAGATGCCAGGAAGCACTTCCTGACAGGACCCCGAGGGTGAACAATGGACTTCCATGAGAGGTAGTTGAGGCCCCATTGGTGAGGGTGTTCAAAGATAGGCTGGACATGCACATGGTGGGCATGTCATGAGCGGAGCCGGCTGGTGTCGGAGGTCAGACTAGATGGCCCAGGAAGCCCCTTCTGACTCGCTGTTTCTTTGTTTCTAAGTAGGTTGGGTTTTGTGAGAGTTGACTCCTCTTTTAGGATTTTGGTGCTTTAAATTTTACTTTAAAACGTAGGGGACCTACTTGGTCTTATTTCAGCATCCTGTTTCCAGAGCCAGATGCAATCAGACGACCTAGCCGCTTTCTCTCAATGTTGCTCTTCAAAGCAACTCTGAGTATGACATTGGCCCCATTCGCTTCTTCTAAGCTACTGGCCCTCAAGGGGTTGAAGACGGTGGGGGGGGGTTTATATATGTCTTGTTTAAGTAACAGACGGTTGAGCAAAACAACTGGGCTGCTGATGAAAGGACTTTCAGCGTAAACGCTCCCAAACCGGAAGTACTTTGGGAAGCAAAAGGTCGCGAGGCGTGCCAAACCTCGCTTCTCTTCTGAGGAGAGCCGCTCTAGCCGCTCCTCTCGTCTCCCGGACGGAGTTAAGAGTGGGAGGCCCCAAGCCGTGCCACGGCGCAGTCGCGGGATGCAGTAGCAGGGTGGAGGTGGGGGAAAATGGCGGACGGCAAGGAAGGCGATGTGAAACTGAAGCGGCCGCGTCTTGATGGAGGTAAACATGCTGCGCCCTTATGCTACTCTGACCCCGAAAAACTGCATGCGAGGCTCTGGTTGCGAATAAAGGGCTGGGTTTGGGCGGGAAAGGGTAGGTGAGAGGCGGGCTGTGTTTCGAGGCTTAAGGCATTCTCTACCACCTCAAGAGCCCTTAGTTTGGCTGGCTCAGTTCTCAAGGATCTTTTATCTGCTTCTAATTGAGTTGGCGCCTTCTCCCAAACCTCTCACGGCCTGGTCACTCTCACGGAAGGATTCTGACGGTTCAATCCGTGCATAAAGTCCCCAAGGGCTAGCCGCAGTACTTGGTTAGCTGGCTGATGCCGTAGTTCCGTGTTGCATCTGGCTAGGAGTCGTATTGCACCTGGGCAGAATTGTGGGAGCGTAGTTATCGAGCCACAAATACCGCTATATCTAGTATTGTGGTGCTGTGGTGTAACCACTTCGGGTTGTGGAGGTTTCTGCCAGTGGTCTCAGCCCCTTAAAGTACTCCACGCAGTTAGGACCCTACAGTTACCGTGATCATGATGAGACGAAAGGTTATGATTTTAAGGGCGGAACAGGGCTACTGCCATATACATGTGAGCTTAACTAGGAGCAAATCCACTGAACTCTTGCTTCTGAATAGGCATATATAGGATTGCACACTAAACACGTTGTACGAAGTGTGATGTAATGGTGGCTTCATTTCTTTTGTGACATCAATTTGGTTTAACACAGTTTTGTTTCAGCTGTGTTATTCCCATTTGTTTAAATATTACTGTAGAATCACTGGAGACATACAGAGACTGAAATCTATTAGATTTGTGCCTTGTAAAGGAGGATGTAACTCACTCAGGTTCTTGATGTAATTTGTTACCTATATAGACAAATCTTTAAAAGGTGAAGGGCAATTTTGTGGGGCTGAGGAAACAATAGAAGCCTTAGTGTTCTAATACTATATGGAAAGATAGTTTAAGTTTGTAATAGCTTTATATAGTAGTTCTCATACAATACAATATTTTCAACCTGTTTTGGTATATAATAGTTCTGTCTTACCCAGGTTGAATATCTATAGAAATTTTAGTTTTGTTAAAAAGTCCATATGTATTTATTTTAGGATGCATTGTTGCATGCCTTACTTCTGTGTACTTTAGAACTATATAGTTGGAAAGGCCTGATGACATCAGGTTTCTTAAAGGTGATTAGCCTAGCCTCTAGAAAGCAGGGCTGGGGCCAGGGGTGGGGGAAGCAAAAGATTGAGAAGTTCAGTTACTTGGCTTTGGTGTTGTGTTGCACATCTGTTTTAAAGGATAAGGAAAGCAACCACATTGTCATTATGACTTAGAGGGACATTGATAACATAGAACTTTAAAGAATACAAGGTTGGTTAAAACTGCCACCACCAACCTCATATTCAACTCTACAAGAATTATAGTGGGGGAAAGAAAAGCTATATTGAAGTTTGTATTATTATACAACATTGAAGGAACATCATTGTCATGCTAGCAGAGGAACTTTCATTACTGGTTTCCTTTCACATATTAATGAGGAAAGGTAAAATAACAATTCTGGCTTGAATTCAAATTATGCTTAGAGAAGACAGACTGAAATCTGTCTGACTTAAGGTTTTTATTTCAGAGGGTTTTCTCTAAGAATGACCAAATCAGGATTCAATCTCTGTTTGTGAAACTAGCATCTATTTACATCAGAATTCTAGTATAGCTGGTAAACATTAACTGCCTCTTCTCTTCTGCCTCTTTACCTTTGAGCCAGGGTTTGCTAGTACCTTGGCCAGAATTTGGGTTTACTGCTGAGACAGAGCCTAAGAAGACATGAATGAATAGTCTCTGAGCATTAGCAAAGTGCGTTTTTTACTTGCACTTTTGTCCAACATAAACTTATGTTACATAACTTTTGTATGACAGTTGAAGATTATTTCCAGTCTAATTGTTGCAGGACAGCTGGACATACTATCACAAAGGCAAATAGCCATCCCAGACTCAAATTATACCTCCTTCTGTAATTGACCCAAAAAGCAAGAGAAAAAGAAAGCAAATAATTCCTTCAAAAGACAATACTGGAGGTGTTTGGGCTATTCTTTGGAATATAGAGCTAAATCAAGAAAGAATTGATTTAGAAAGAAGAAACTTTCAATTCTTAACTGTCCTTAGCTTGCTGTACTTTCGGTAAAACAGCATATCCCAAAAATACAATGTGTGGTGCTGTACTTTATAGAGGGAAGATGTACATCAATGTTAGACCAATACTCTTAAAAAAAAAACAATCAGCATATTGTCCTGCTAGCTGAGTATGAGTGTCTCCTTTTTTGTTCAGAGTAAATAATTGCTCATTTATGTTGTGTTAGTGTATTATGGTATTTGCAGAATTTTCAAACATAAAGATTAAGAAATTATAGCTGCGAGTCAGCCTTTGTATGAAATTCAGATTGCGAATTCTTCTTAAATGGTTCATTATTAAAACTTGCAGTAAATTTAATTGACCCCAGTTAAATTCTTTCAAGAAAGCAATGTCAAATTTTCATAAAGTGCAATCCTATGCATGTCTTGTCAGATGTGAGTCCCATTTAATTCAGTGGTGCTTACAGGCAAGTGAGTAGAGGATCACAACATTAAATCCAAATCACAAATTCAGCCATTTTCACTCAAAATTAACTCACATTAAGTATAGTGGTAAGTATGCTTAATATAACCTTGAGTACAAAATATATGGTTTCTAGTAGAAATCTAGTGAAGTACCTAAAATAATTGAGGTGACAAGAGAAAAAAATTTTAAAGGGAAATTGATAACTAAATAAAATAAATGGGCTTTTGAAGTTACAGGGATTTGTAAAACTTCCTGCTGGTTGAAGTTTAATAACCATTAATTCATTTCTGTGTGATTTTAATTTATGTTACAGAAACTTTATTGCAAACCTTAGTTTTTCTCAGGTGGTTTCTACAAATCTTAAAGTGGTTGGGAGAGACAGAACTTGTCACATAATCACTAGTTGTAACTTGCTTTTTACTTATAATAATTTTCTTTATTCTAAACAGAACTCTGCTGGTAGTTCAGTGTACAGTCCCATGCTGATTATGAAACTATCAAGGATCACAGTTTTCTTATTCTGTCTCCTTTCTCTGCCTGTCCCCCATACCAGGATCAAACCTATGCCATATGTTATTTCTGTTGTAGTGGTGACCAGATATTAATAATACTGTCTTCTCCTTCTTGGACAGAAAGTTCAATATAGATACAAACTTTATCCTTAGAAGTCACACAGCTGATGAGCTGAGCTTCTTAAGAAAACCAAACCAAAACTTTGAGAAGTTGCACACAAAGTAAAGATATAGCTGTATTCAAAAGGAAAACTCCTAAAATCAAGTTTACGAATCCATATTAGTACAGTATCTTGATTTGTCCATTTGTAAAGTTACAGTTCACTGTGAAATGTTTAAAGTGCTCTAAAACTTTAGATCAGGCAAGATGGTGAATAGAGCCAGGAAAGTAAGGCTGTGGGAGGACCAACTGCAGATGTTTAATCCATTGAATCTGGATTTGGTTACTGTCTTGATAAGGAAAGGAGATGGGGATTGCAGGTGTTCAGACTGTGCTCTAGCTGTGAAAGATGGTTTCAGGTTGTACCTGTAAGTAAGGAATAAACAGAACAGTTAACCATAGCAGCCCCACACTTTTGTTGCAGTAGACTAAGGGGTCTCTGGCACCTTAAACACAAACATTATGGTAACATGAACATTTGTGGTTTAGAAACCAATTTTGCAATTTAAGCTGCTGATCTTTAAAGTATCAGAGGAATCTACAGTCTTAATATAGACAAAGTGATAAATATAAATGCAGATTGTTTAAATTATTCCAAAAGGGCATGTGTGGAAAAAACATACTCCATTTTGATCTGAATAACCTTGTAGCTGCTGTAGTGATGTCATGCATCCCTCAAGATTTTCATTTTGATATTTTTGTATGTAACTGAAGATTTTTGTTCTGCATTAGTCAAATGATTGGAGCTCCCTTTACTATATGTCTGTGTCCTTACAGTGTGCTCTGTATAAACAGTTGTGGAGGCGCTGTCACTGTAAGTGCAAAAGTCTCCCCTGCATAACAGTGCTTTATGAGGTTGCTGCTCCCATCAGTCCACTCAGTAAAAATAGCTCATCTTGGTAAGTTGTTTCGACTTCACCAGGACCTGAAGAAGAGGCAGAAAAACCTGTGAAAACTAAGACTGTTTCTTCCAGTAATGGAGGGGAAAGCTCGAGTCGCAGCGTGGAGAAGCGGGCAGCTGATGAAGAAGCTGAAGACTTCTCAACAAAGCCTGCTCCTGCCAAAATGTCCAAGTTTGGATTTGCCATTGGCACACAGATTTCAAAGAAACCACCTACAATATCCATCAAACTTGGAGCAAATGTAAGCAGTTAGAAAGTTTTCTTGTGAATGATAAAATTATAGTGTTCACTTTATCTGTTAAAGGGGAGGTGCTAGTTAATATCAATCTTAATCTTTTATTTCAACATGAATTCATAAATTTGGAATTTACTATCAAAGTTCTAATAATTGCTGGAAATTATTAGTGTATATGGTACTTGGTTGAAACACTGTTAAATTGGCAACTTCTACTTTGATATATGTTATGCTTGTGTGTTGAGTGCCTAATGTGCAGCAAAATAAATAGTTTTTAGTTTGCATTAGATGCATACACTAATGATTATGATATTAATACCTGTACTTTGGTCAAGTAAACAGCATTTTCTTGTACTTGAAAAGGTTTGTACAAAGACTGTAATTGAACAGAAAGAAACAGTGGGGGGAACTGATCAGTCACAATGGAGAGATGTAAACCATGGTATCCCCTCAAGGATCTGTATTGGTACTGGCACTTTTTAATTCATAAATAATTCAGAATTAGGACTGAGCGGAGGAGTGGCAATTTGCTGATGACAGCAAATTATTTAGGAAGGTTTAAAAAAAGCCCACACAGCATGAACTCTGAAAGGATCTCTCTGAACTGGGAAAATGGGCATTAAATTGACAGATTCAGTGTAGTATATGCAAGTATAAAGTAATGTGCATTGGGGTAGGAAAAAAAATCTTTATGTCACATAGACACTGGTGGAATCTAAGATGGGAACTTAGATCTAAGGTATCAGACCAAGAAAGAACTTGGGGTTGTGATAGCTCAATGTTGATCCATTGTATGGCTTCTTTGAAAAAGGCATATTTTGTATTCAGCATAATTGGAAAAGGAATTGAAAATAAAACTGCTAGTATTATAATATGCTTATACAAATCAGTGGTGCAACCACATTTGGACCAAAATGTAGGGTTTTGGTCAAAAAGGGATAGTGCTGAGTTGAAAGATGCAAAATGGGGCAATTAAAACAAGCAAGGGGATGGAGCAGCTTGTCTCTGAGGAAATGTTATAATGCGTAGGATTTTTAGCTTAGAAAATAGACAAGTAATGGGAGACAGGCTAGAGATGTATAAAAATATGCATGATGCAGAGGAAATAGAAGGTTTCTCTCTCATCACTCTAGAAAGTGGGATCATGCCATGAGGCTGTTTCCTGGGAGATTCAGGATAGGTAAAAGTGCTTCACAGTGTGTATATCTTTTAAAGGGGATTGGCAAATGTATGAATAATAAGCATGTTAACAGCATTTAGTCATTATGGCTATTATGCTGCCTCTAGTATCAGAAGCAGCATACTTTTGTAGGCCAGTTGCACACAAGCAGGAGGGAACTGTTGTATTTACACCCTACTTGTAGTCTTCTCATTGACATCTGGTGGGCTACTGTGTTAATAGAATACAGATTAGGCTGATTCAATATGGGTTTTTTTGTGGTGCTCATATTTTAATGACAACACCAGTTAAAAATTCTAATCAATAAAAACTCACAACAGCTTAAAATAATTAAAATATCTAAAGTTTCCAGTGCATAAACACTTGAGAAAGCCCAAACAGTGTTTGTCGGGCCCCCAAATGGTAGCGGAATACGTACATGACATGTCTTCCTACGGAGGGGATTTCAGATGAGAGGCACCACCACCAGAAATGCTCTCTTCCTAGTTGCCACCTGTCTGATAACAGGGAAAAGTCCTAAATATAGAACTTGCCACTCAGGCAGATGAATAAAGGGGAAGAATTCCAGCAAATACCTGGTACTTAAGCTGTTGAGGGCTATTACAGTTATATTTCTGTCTTGTTTTTCAATCAAAAATAAGACTTTCAGATCATATTGACCTTTTTCAAAAACACTTTCTACTCTGCCAAGGTGGAATATGTGGAGACTATTGCTTAACAATATCTAAGGACCCTGATTTTAAGATTTTTGATACTTAGCTTTTAGTTATTGAGACAGGGTTCTTAAGGTAAATTATATTGTATGGGGAGCATTATACATTAAATCACAAACTTGCATTATTTAATGAATTTATATGCCACTACAGTAGAACATTTATGGGTGCTCAGCCCAGCTCACAGTTTAAACTCCTTGCCTCAATAATATGCAGCTTCTGTTCTCTTTCAGAAGCCTAAAGAACCTACTTCAACCCTGGCTCCAAAAACGCTTTCTGTAGCAGCAGTCTTCAATGAAGATGAAGATGTAAGTAATCTCAGAAACAAGAAGTATTGGGTTCTTTGGCTAAAGTAGGTACAGGAAAAGGGGGTTTTAAATGGTCTACAAGTATACCGTAACTAAATTGGTGTAGGTTTAGAGTTATGTAATGGTCTTCTAAAATACAAAATATGTGAAAAGGTCCTTTTCAGGGGTCTAAGCATTTGGTGGTGCAACTGTCTTTGAAATTTGGCATTTCCTCCATCTCATGACTGGAATATATAAGAATCTAAAGTGTTTTTGTAGCCACATTTGATCCCTTCCAAACTTGATAATGGAAAATATCTTTTCAAACTTCTCCTGAAAATAGATCATTCCCACCCTCTGTGGGTTAAAAAAGAGCCTTTTCACATTTCTGAGTGTGTCTTCTAGGTAGGATTGTAGAAATGGAAGAAATACAAATGTTGTGTGTTTGGGTATGGATTGTAGGGAGTGGGTCTGGTTAGGATTTTTTTTTCATGAGAACGAAACGAGCTTTTTATTTGAGGTGTCCAAGAATATAAGGTATGCTGGGGAGTACCAGAAAAACAGCAGAGCCCACCTTGTACCTAGTGCTTCTAGCTATAGAACTGAATTTTGTCTGCTTTCTCCTTAATGCAAGTATAAAATTTTATTGTGAGTTTTATATTGGATAAGGCTTGTAATTTATTGCATTCCGGATACGCCATGCTTCCATTTAATAGACCATTAGCAATTTGACTACAACAATAGAATTTATGGCTGTTTTCTCAATTTCTTTTTTTAATTAGAGTGAACCTGAAGAAATGCCTCCAGAGGCTAAAATGCGTATGAAGAACATTGGAAGGTAGAGTAACTCATTATTTTTTTTTAAGGAAGGTAGAAGAATACATTCTTCATATTGATGGTTTTAGAAATACAGCAGGACCTCTGCTCATAAATGGAATGCTAACTGAAAGTTTTCAAATTGGAAAGGAGACCCATCAAGGATGCCCATTATCTCCACTTTTATTCATCCGGGTATTGGAAGTTCTAGCTAAGAAAATTTGATGGGATCCAGATATAAATGGCTTAAAATAGAGACAAAAATAAAATGAAAAGTTATGCAGATGAGATCGTGCTGACCAGCTTAACCACACAATTATCTATGCAACAAATAGATAAAATTGAAAATATCAGATATTTCACTGGCTATAAAATTAATAAGAAGAGAATTGAAATTATATTGGAAGTTTTTTAATGAAACAAGAAGAGGAATGCATCAAAAACAGCTTGGATAAAGATTCTTCAGGATGGAAGGAGAGAGGAGGCCTTACAGTATCCAATTTGAAACTATACTGCTTTGCATCTGGCCTGATTTGTATTGCAGATTGGATTATAAATGCTAAAGTTAGGCGAGTGAAGTTAGAAATAGCAGATTTTGAAGATGGAATAACTCTTATAGGCTAAGTAGTCATTTTAAAAGGCACTGATATCAAATAATAACCATGCATTAAGAGATGGCCTTATAAAAATGTTCTATTCCATGAAAAAGAATTAGCCCTCCAGTCTTTCTGATGTCCCTAGTCGAAGCATATGGAAAATACTTAAGGAAAAATAATGATTTTATAACTCATCAACATATGATTGATCAACAAGGATGAATCAAATCTTGGCAATGACAAAAAGATGTTGGGAAAAATATACAGTGGTTTGCTTATCACAACTGATTTCAAGACTGAAAGGGGACATACAGTTAGGGGAAGGTATTTTAAGAGATTTGACAGATTTTGAAAAGTTGATTATACAACAGAAGACTTTAGAAACAGTTATTACAGCATGACACTGAAAATCAAGACAAGAAAAGTATAACAATCTGGAAGCAAAATCTTGGAAAAGAAATATCTTGTCAATGGGAAACTGTGTAAGACAGACATTAAATCCACAGCTAGCCAAGCAATAAAAGAAAATTGGTATAAGATGTTATATCAGTGGTATATTACTCCAAAAGATATTGGAAAAATAGATAAAGAACTACAATGGAAAAGGTTGGAAATATGATAGGAAGTCCCATGCATCCTGTTACATGGGGTGGATTTGTGAAACAGTTAAAAGATTTTGGAAATTGATGCATGTGGAAATACAAAAAACCTTTTGCTATGAGTCCTAAGAATATGCTTTTGAATATAATGCCAGAGACTTTTTCAAAGACTATGTCAGAGTTATTTAAATATGACAACTGCAGCAAGAGTTGGATGAGGAACATAACATTTACCACATATCAAGCTCTAGGAGAAAATTGGTATACAAAGTATTTCCGATGGTATATTATCCTGAAAGATCTATAGAGAATGGACAAGAACTATAATGGAAAATGTTGGAAATGCAAAGAGAGTGAACATTTTCTGGTATGCGGTGGACATGTGACAGAATCAAATTTTGGAAGCAGATGCATGCTGAGATGCAAAAAATACTTTAAATTGATTTTCTGATTAATTCCAAGAACATGTTACTGATTATTGTGCCAGAGACTATCCCAAAGATTGTCAAAATTATACAAATGTATAAGCAGCAAGAGTGATAATTGCCTCAAAGTGGAAAGCTGAAGATTGCTTAGTAGTTAAAGACTGGAAAAACAAGCTAGCTGAGTACACAACAATGGCCAAGCTAACTAATTATGTCAACAGAAGATCAGTTGAAGAATTTACTCAAAGATTTATTTTGAACAGTTTAAACTATGGTTAAATGTTTTATACAAATGTTTCTGATTTTATTCACACCAGAGCAATGTTGAGATCTATATCTTAAGTGTAGAAGCTAGATAATTATATGACTGAGAACTGAATGGGTGGGATGGGAGAGTGATAAAGACCTTTCTTTGCTTATTGTAAATGTGCTTAAATGAGGAGTTGCTTGTTGAATCCTTAGAAAGACCCTTGGCTTCTTTTTTTCCTTTTTTCTTTTCTTTGCTGTTCTTATCTATACTCCTTTTCCCCCTGTATTGTATTTCCTGAAAACAAATGAAAAGATTTGCAAAACAAGAAAAAGAAAAAAAAAAGAATTTTCACTTACAGGAAGCACTTTACTTCTCTCTGGCACTTTATGGTACTTCTCTTTCGAGATGAGGTCAACTGCACTTAATTGAAAATGCAATGACTGAGTCAGTGGATATGTGGGCCCTGCTTTATATGGAAAGAAGAAAGCATAATAGTTTTTTCTGCAACAATAAAAATAAAGATTTTTTTTTCTTGGCTGCAGTCAAAAGAGTACACCCCTTGAAACAAATGGGTCTTCAGTTAGGCATAACTAAGTTAATTCCTATTCACTTCAGTGGCTGTACTCTAAATAGTACTAGAGTAGGACAGCTCAGAGGTTCTGGCATCGTGGCCCTGTCCACTGGTTATTCTCATCTCATATCCAGTTCCTTATTCTACTTTGGTTTTGTTTCATGATGATTAACACTGAAGTTTTAGCTTAATTTACTAAGCAGTCTGATACAGTTTGATTATAGGAAACTGCCTTCTGTTTAGTCACATCATTGGTCACATCTCGGTCAGGAAGTCTTGTGCATACCAGGCATCCCCAAACTGGAGCCCCCAGGTGTGTGGGATTACACCTCCTATCATCCCCAGCCAACAAAGCCACAAAGCATATAGAGGGCACTAGTTTGGGGAAGGGTGGTGTGTACTGATAGCAACAGTTCTCCCAAGGCTTCTAACAGATGCCTTTTCCAGCCTTGACTGAAAATGCCAGAGACTGAGCATGGGACCTCTTGCATGTGCTGTAGCCTCTCTGGGCCTTCAGTGGTATAATGAATATGTCAACATTCTTACTATTCTTTCTTGATGCGTTTGTAGTGAGATTCTTAACTGTCTTGTACACTATGTGGTGACAGAAAACATACAAGTCCACTGTTAAGTGTTTGAATCATTAACAATGAGAACTGCCACCAATTGGTGCTTTATAGTAGGATGGGCTACTACTTCAGTACATGTTTTTTATTATGAGAAGAATTCTAGAAAGATATCTTTGAGACTGAATGGTAACACTAGAAATAAACAATTTGGTATGTTTTTACTTTTCTGTACTACTGAGGGTACCTGATGTGACTATATGCTTAACAATCTTAGTTGTGTACATTAAGGCCTCAAAACCATGAATATGAAACTGTTAAAGTTAACCATTAGCTTATGTTCATTTATCACAGGGATACTCCAACTTCAGCAGGACCAAATTCTTTCAACAAAGGAAAGCATGGGTTTTCTGACAACCAGAAGCTATGGGAAAGGAACATAAAATCCCACCTTGGAAATGTCCGTGAACAAGAAGACTAGCTGTGTATTGAGATCTGGGAGTTGGGGAGATGCAAGGGTATGATATTAAAGGAACAGTTTCCTTTTTAAAGAGTGGTATAAGGCTATTTTGGGTGCCACTTTTAAATGTTCCTAGTGGTGCACAAAAATAAGTTTAAAAGTAGAGGTAATTTATGTTTTGTATACAGATTTCAAAGCATTTGCTAATTTTGTAGCTTCGTGCAATTAATTTCACAAGGTTATGGAAAATAAAAGACATTGGAAGTGGTACCTTTTTAAAGAATTTTCCTTTTACAACTATTCTTATATAAAGACAGAGAAAAGGTTACTGTCTCTTTAATCAGTTTAAGTTAAAAGCTGCTACATTCATGCTTCCAGCAACTCCTCTGTAATGAGTTAATTGTTTGTCTTCTTATATAGAGGAGGAATTCCAATATACAGAAAGCCTTGCTCGACTGTTTGTCATTCTAGTCAGCATAAAACCTGTAAATGAGACAGTGTAATGCAAAAGTCGTTAGGGGCAATCCAGTGCATGTTTAGACAAAAGTCCTACAACGCTCGGTCTACCACCCTTTTTAGGACTTCTGTTAGTGTGAACATGCATTGGATTACATGCTTCGTATGTTTAAATCTTGACAAACTAGGACTTTTGACTGTGGTAGCTTAGCTCTATAATCCTGTTTTCAAACTTTGTGTAATCTGTTAGAAATGGGTCTTGCGTGTGTATAAATATTAGAAAAAGTCTAACAAAGATTCATAACAAAGGTAAATTGTTATTTTGACATTTTCTTAATTATAAGTCTTGACCAGTACTTGTTAATGTTTCTTTGTCAACTTGAAAGAGTCATGCAGTTACCAACACAAAAGCATTACCAAAAGGATGGCTGTAACTTCTATCATGTTTTAGTTTGATTTCAGTATTTTCCATCATCCCTTAAGAGGAATAGAAGCCACACTCAAATAAACCAGTAGATGCTTACTGAGCAGCAGAAATTAGAAACGTGCTTCCATATTTTGGTGGTTTTAAACCTTACTTTATATATTAGAACTTTTAATTTTAATTAAGGGATACTATCAGGTTTAAAGGTAACTATATAGCCCACATTAATACAACAATTAAATAGTACCTAGTAGAATATACATGTAGCTTTTCAATTTATCTGTGGCTGATTTACACTTTGTATTGCTGGAACAGCATTGATAGGTAATTTTTTTCTTTTAGTAGTAGTGTTTTATATTAGATGCTGTTGATTCTGTTAGCCCTAATGTTCCTAAAACCTTATAAAGACACTTGGGGTCTTTTCAGCGGGATTTATGTTATCTAGTAACTTTGAGGATTAGGTAGTAGCAGCTGTGACAGATGAAGCTAGTGGAAATAAACACTTTTGAAACTGTGGGTCTAAACAGTTGATACTGTCTGGTAAAACTGCAGCTTTTCAACTGTATAGTTAGATTGTATATCATGAACACACTTCAGATCACCTACTGATTTTTTGTCAACTTCGTTGTGCTAAAGGTGAGAGTAGTTAGTGAAAAAAATACATCTAAGTTTTCTTTATAAATTATAGAAAAGGTTTGACCATGTAGACCTTTGTGTTTTAAGTTTTAAACATTTTTGTATTTTGGTATTTGTATGTGAAATTTTTGTCTGCAGTTAAAACCTGTAACTTATATTTTAAAAGCTTTATTATAAACATAAGAAATGTAAAAGTTATTTCTTTCTCTATAGCTGTAGTTCAGCTACTTGTAAAAGTTTAAGATGTAAAAAAGTTCTTGTCTCATCTTGTTGGCTCCTTATCATTGAAGCCAATGTCAAAAAGCTCTTAACTGACCTTTCTGTAAACAGAAAGTAGCATGTTGCAAACAAGCGTTTACAGACCTAAAAACAAAACTTCAACATATTAGTTAGTGCCTTCCTAAAAGTTTTGGATAATTAGTTGCCTGGAATTTTTGATCTCTGGTCACTTTCTGTTCTATACTCATTTTAATGTGTGTTTATTTTCAGTACCATTTTTTTCTCAAAACCATGAAAAAGTAGCTGCACCCTGTGACTCAAGCCTAAAACTGATAAGTCCTTGAAGTTTCACGGTTGTATTCATAAGAATTTTTCAAAGAAGAAAGGAAGAGTTTTGAGTATTTCCTGGAATTTATTTTAAGTTAGTGAATTAAAAGTAGGAACCAAATTGTATAACCTTTGCTTGAGCCTTGCCTGTTCTGATGTTGAATAATCTTTAGGTATAAATTTTAGCTGCTCAGGCTAGTGCTTAAAGATAAAAACTTGTAAAGTAAAACTAGATTCTTCTGTTGTACTTCAAAGAAAATTGTTTGAATACTTAAGCTTGCCAAGCATACCTAAGTTTACCAACCTCACCAAAATATGAGAACAAATTTAAAAAACTTTGCCTGTGCCACTGTTTCCTTGTGCACACAAAGCATGTTTTCCTTCTGTATCTAAGGCTTATCAGATGAAATTATGAAGGAGCTCTATACTAGGTTATATCCAGACTTAGTTATGCTCTGAGCTGATCAGTAGATCTTCTCATTAGTGGGTTCCATGTTGCTCATGACTAATAGATGTATTGATTTCTGAGGTTCTTCAAGTACGACTGCACCCATCTTGTTGTCTGAATAGTTGCAAATGAAAATGGGATAGGAGTTTCTTAATGTTGCTGTGCACTACTGCAAGGTTTGTATGAACCTTGTATGAACATTGTATGAACTTTACATTCAGTTATATCTTGAAAGCTTTTTGAGGGAAATAAGATATAAGAAACTATAATTACTTATTTTCATTGAATTAGTGACAACATATTTAGCTTAAACCTGCCTTTGTTTTATTTTTTAGCACACAATGCCAGCATTATTTCTACAAAAGACAAAAATTACCATCACTGTCTGGGGACCTTGCTGTCATAACTTACTTTTGATGTAGAAGTGATTATCAAATAAGAACATTTCTCAAACATTTGCTTTTCTTCTCTTACTGGATCCTGACTCTGCTATATGCAGTTACTGGAAATTTTTGGACACATTTCAGCTAATAATTTCATTTCTGTTGGTGGGCCCCAAAAAATTTGCCACTGCATCCACAAGTTGATCTTTAGAATCTCTTCAGTATGCCAGAGTTCCCTGCTAAGTCTGTGGTTATGGAAAAATGGGAATAGGGAATGTTTGGTCATCCGGATAGTTATTTAAAACTCCCATGACCCCTCACTATTGGTTATGCTGTAGGATTTGGTGGAGTTAGTTCAACAACATGTGGAGGACCACATGTTCACTGCTGCTGCTGAAGATAATCTGAAAGCAACTGCTATAAGAGGAATTAAATTATGCTTAGAGAAGGGAGGTTCCTGTGTCAATAGCTGCAGTGTTCTGTCAAATACAATTAAGGTATGGATGTTTGAAGGCAGCTGTGCTGATTGACAGTGATAGAGCGTTGTAGTTCAACATATCTGGAAGGCACTAGGATGAGAAAAAGCTGTTTTAAGAGAGAACTTAATACAAAATAGCTTGTTAACTGTTAAAAACCAACAATTGGAAATAGCAAACAAACAAACTTCTGAGGGTTGGTAAGCAAGAATGAACCATGCTGGGTCAGATATAGTCTGGCATTTTGACCACATAGTGGCCAATTATCCTATTTCATCAAACAGCACGAGCAAAGGTTTTCAATTTAGTGTAGGCACTCCTCTTTCAGGGATCTTAAGTTAATGGTTTGAACCCCCTCGTTTCTTTAGCTTAGTTGTCTTATCTCCAGGTCCGAAATTATGTGCATGCTGCCAGTTCAGTGACCATGCCTTTGATTTGTTATGCATGTTGGAATCTGCATTGTGGAGTTCCCAGCATCTGCCTTAATATTAAATGGCATCTTGTTTCTAGAGAACATACTAAGGAGATGTGAGAAAGTTGTTGCATACTGTGAAGTTGTCTTTGTTCAGATGGAGACTGTAGCCAAGGTGGAAGAAAAGGAGCTAGAAGAAAATCAACTGTAAGGATGTTTCACTGAACACGAAGACCAAAATCATCCACACTGTTGTATTCCTGATCATTGTGCATGGGTGTGAAAGGTGGATGTGAAGAAAGTAGACAGGAAGAAAATGGATGCATTTAGAATAAGGTGCTGGAGGAGAACTTTGTGAATCCCCCAGACTGACAAAGACAATTCATTGCTTTCAGTAATCCAAACAAATGGATTATTGTTACATACTGTCAAGTCATCTCCACATGTGTTAACCCTATGAACAAGCACTTTCCAAAATCTCCTTGCCTTGAAAGTCCTGTTCAGCTCTTGTAAACTCAAGACTGTGGCCTCCTTTATAGAATCAATCCACATCACAGTGGATTTCTTTTCTTCTGCCTTCAACTTTCCCTAGCATCATCTTTTTGCAGGGAATCTTGCTTTGATGTGTCTGAAGTAGGACAACCTTGGTTTTGTTTTGGCTTCCAAAGAAAGCCCTGGCTTGATGTGAACTAGAAACCATTTGTTTGTTTGTCAGTCTGGGGGATTCACAAAGCTCTCCTCCAGCACCCTATTCTAAATGCATCCATTTTCTTCCTGTCTGCTTTCTTCACATCCAACTTTCACATAACTAGCATCAGGAAATTGTGTGGGAGATTAGCTACATAATTCAGGGGATTAGTTTGTAGCTATATATTACAGGATGAGCAGCAGTGCCAACAACATGGAATTGGGGGATTGTATTTTTTCAAGATAGTAGAGCTGTCCATATCTCTGGATATGTCTTTTACATATACTTGCACCCCTTCTTCAACTATCCAAATGTGTTTCTTCTTGAATACTTTCACAAATGCAGTGTCAATTCCCTTACCTAGGACACTCTTCCAATATGTTGACAATGCATGTTCAGGGTTTTTTCAGCTTTCTCCTCCAGTATTCAGTCTGCTACCAAATCATGTTACTTACTCCTTTAAAATAGAAAGGTCTACCCATTCCACAAAAATGTCTTTCATTTCTTGGCTTCTTTGATAGTCTTTCTAGAGCTAACTTACCCTCATGTTCATTACATCTTGATCTAGTATTCTGCTGCTAGCAAGTCATCTTTTGTCTTTGAGACCACGATAAGCCCCTGCAAAACCCCCTACACTGGTCTTACTGGTTCAGTGATCCCTGTTTGCCCTGTTCCTACATTCCAAGACATGCATGCATGCTTTCCCATTCATCCAGCTCCTCCTCTCTGAAGATAAGCTGTCTTTTTACCCTTGGTGCCCCCTTGCTTATGGAAAACACTGATGCTACCTGCCTGCCTTTAAATCTCTTCAAAGCTCACCTTTTCCATTAAGCTTTTGGCATAGCCACCTAGTCTCCAATAGCCTACTTATAACTAAGCTTATTGCAATACTGGCCTATTTTGCTTGACTAAATTTTTGCATTTTCCTTGCTGCTTTGTACATTGCTTCCAGTTGCAATCACTTTGTGTTTGGAAGGACCCCTTCTGTGACCGCAGCTGTCTTGCTGTGAACAAAAGCTGATTCTGTTCACAGAGCAATGACATTGAATGCAAGCTTGTCACCCTTATGCCAATTGCTACATGGTAGACCACGTAAAGTCATTTGTAAAGTATCATCTAGTTGGCTAGTGTTATAACAAGTGTATTTTTAAGTTTTACGCTAAAGAAAGGCTCACTTTACCTGTTTGGATGAAGAGATTTTCAGTGAGAGCCCAGGGATGCAGGCTCCTGACATGTGGAAACTTACATGCAAACAACTGCTTGTCCATAGACTTTTTCATATGCTTTACGATGCATTGGTCATGCTGCCTGGCCATTATTGGAGGCCAGTGCTGGCCAATGCCAGCAGCATATCTGCTCTTCCATTATTTTTTTTGAGTAGAGGAATAAAGTCACTCATTTTTATATATTTACACAAACACAAACTTATAAACCTGAGCTTAAAGTTCCATTACAAAATGGCTTCTTTTCTTTCAGCAGAAACTGTTTCAAAAAGAAAACATCCACAATTTTTATACTAGAATACGATTGAAAAATAGACAAATTACATGTCTTGGCTCACCATAACTAATATGACAACAGCATTCTTTAGCCTTTGTTTATTAAAAACAAAGTGAGGCAAAGCTTGCACCCATGAAAGTTAATACCTGTTGTCACATATCGCAATTAGAACTGGAATTCTAGCACTCATTAGAAAGTGTGAACCTGACAAGAGGTACAGTAATTTTTCTCAAATGTTTAGAAACAACTATTGCATTAAGAGTCCAATGAATTGCCTCCTAGTGTTAAGCACCATTCCTTAACTGTGTTGAGATGCTCCCACTGATAACTGGTCAAACACCCAAAGGCTTGTTATCTGGACTACTGCACATTTTCTCAATAGATGTTAAGGAGCTGATTCCAGAGGGGAGAGCAGAAGTCTGAAACAAAGCACAGTAGCTAAGTCACTGCTCCCGCTGCATGTACCCTGACCTACTCTTTTACATACAAGTTAGTGATGGAAGCAGTCCCATCAAGCAGAAAAACTGCACTAGATTGCACTCAATATAAATTTGTAAAGTTCCATAGTAGACAAATAGTTTTCTTGTATTTTGGTGGCCTAATCAAAGTATTACACAAAGTTTACACATACAATTTTGTCATCCAGTGTGATAATCCCCATACCATGTAGCTTGACAGTGGACAACACACCACTTATTCACAATCTACAAAAAATATTCTATCACCCTATTATGGTTTCAAAGAAATGGTTCTGTGAAAATGTTTTAGAGATTCTGAATTAATATTTTTGTTTAAAGAAACAGACCTTATCTAATGTGACTAAAATACATAGGACTAGAGTTTAATGGGGAATAATTTATAGCACCATATATACTATAAACAATGCTCCATTAGATGAAATCCAAAATCACATGAGTGAACTTTTACTTGCACTAACAGGACTTTCCACACATTCCTCAACCTTCCACAACAGATTTTAATTTTACATAGGTGGTTGCAATGGGGGAGATGGCTCTCCTCTGTTCCGTTCTGGAAGCTCTTCCACTGTAGGACAGACTACTTAGATGAAGTTTAATAAACAAGAGAATTAGAATCCTAGAGTGTAGTTTTTCATCTTACTATAATGGGCCAGATTTGATTCCTCTCAAATAAGAACCTTATTAAGACAAACACAGGCTTTATTTAATTGTCTAAAGATAGTGTATTTTACAAAAGTTAGGACACTAAAACCACATGGAAGACAAAACTTGTAAGTTTTGAAAATAACTACTCTTTGATTTTTCTATATACAATACATGTGCCTTAGTTCCTTCTTGGTTTAAAGTTTTTGTAAATAAAGCATGGCTTAACCAGTAACGTATTTACTAGTCTTGATATGCACTTTGGAAGTATTTCAAGATATGGAAAAAATTACCTAAAAATTTATACCCATTAATATGAACAATTCACCTGCAAGTCTGCTTATAACTTAATACAGTTAAAAGTAATGTAGAGTTGTACTTGATGACAATGTAAATATTATGGAAATAGTTTTCTTATGGAAGCCTTAAAATTGTAGCTCTAAACATTCATGTTTAAAGTTGTGCAGATTTAACCAAATAAACATGTCAGAGCCAGACTGACCATCTTACAATAATTCCCATGAATACAATAGTCATGATAACATCCATTTATCAACTTACAGATCACACCATTTATTCTGCTTCTCTATAAACTTCAAAAATAGATGAATTTAAAATGACTAGTACATCTCTTTAGTATACCAAACTACCCTAAAGAGCAAAATAATTATATAAAAGCAAACTCTTGTAAAAGGAATCAAAAACTACATATCTACCTTACTATCACGGAAGACTTTATTTTTGTTTTACTAAGTGATTACAACTGATGCAGTAGTCTTAGCACAAGTTCATGGCTTATCTTACGGGTGTCATCAATTTTAGTTTTACATACAGAAGTTGGTTTTACATATTCAAGAAACTAAGAATGGGGTGCTGGAATTGCAGCTATATTTTAAAGTCCAATCAGTACTTCAATAATTGCATGCTGCTTCACCCAGATCATCAGCTTGTGCATTAATAAACATTGGTATTCAGTCCTGATCAGAAACATGTTCTACCTCTACTTCTACTGTCTGAATAGCTTCTGTAACCTCAGCTATCTTCTGTCCCTGTTGTTGTGCCAATACATAATTGACAACCTGCATGATACTTTGGTCAGAAAGTGTGGAAACAGTTGTACACTCTTCAGTAGCTGCAACAGCTTCAAGTGTTTCTTCAGTCACTACTACAGTCTCAATTTCTTCAGTACAAACTTCTGTTTCTTGTTCTGGCATATCAGACGTTAAAATACTGATGGCATGTTCAACTTGTGTCCCCTGATTATGAAACTGAAGTGTGTCTTTTTCCAGCATAATCTTACAAGGTACATAATCCCGGTGGAACTTGGTCATGTGCTTCCTTAAGGTACGGGCATCTATGTAAGCTTCATTGCATACTGGACAAACATAAGGCCTTTCTCCAGTATGTGATCTCACATGGCGTTTTAGAGAACGTGCATCAGCCCAGGCCACTCCACATGTCAGACACTCAAAAGGCTTAACACCTATTTAAAAATATAAAACAAAGAAGTTACCAAACTTCAAAAGCTCAACAAAATTATCATTGGTAGGATTCCCACATCGTATGTTCAGATTGTCAGAATACAATGCAGGACTCATTTCAAAGGTCCTTTCTTGTGGATTCACATTTTCATTTACCCTTGGGAACAACTTTGAGTGTTTCATTTGATGTTTCAACAAAGTTTATTAACATTACAGTACAAATAAAAATACACTTTCTGAAAAGATGTACTAAGTTTAAATATATTTTAAAGACACTGCAGTCTGATACAAAAATGCAACAAATTTGTATGGAGATCAGGCAGTAAGGAGAGTCTAGATTCTGTTTGATTTTTTGATCATTGAACTTTGTACAGACATACTATTTATGTCTAGTTCATTATTTTTACTGTCTTCTAACACTAACTGCAACACATTCTCCTTCAAATTTAATGACTTGTAATTTCTACAGCAAACCTTAGGTTTTCATTTCTTTAAACAGAGTGCTAATAATTATTTCATGTCTATACCACTCATAGACAATTTTTAAAAATCAAACATGTTACATTTACCTTCATGGTTGTTCATGTGTCTTCTGTATTCCCGAAGCTGAGTAAATTTTCTCCCACAGTGTTTACAAATGCGTTCCAAATTTTGCTTCGCTCTCCCTTTCTTCCCATGAGTGGCTTTCTTGACATGCCTTCTGTACAAAGCTTTCTCATAGAATTCTTTACCACATACATTGCACCTTAAAAAATTAAAGACAACCTGAATATTGAAGACCTAACAGTATGTTTCATTACAGTGATGCTTTCACAGTACAAGTTTTATTTTGGTATTTTAATAACCTACAAGAGCCTTGTCCAACTTGGTGCTTTCCAGTTGTATAAGACTGCAGCTCCCAAAATCACAAGCTACCACAGCCAACGCCATGCTAGCTAAGACACCAGATTGGGAAAGGCTGGGCTACAGTAATGAAAAAGTTTTAAGATTGTTGTAATTCTTGAAAATGAAGAAAAGTAAAGTTAGATGATTCAGTGGCAAAAAGCTGTAAAGTTTTCCAAAGGACTCATGGCAGTTCCTTTTTCTAATTGAGAATTAGGCACTTTATATATTTGGACTGCTTTAAATACCTTTCACCCAGATCAGATTACCTAGTGAATGCAAAAATTTGGTGTGGAATCAGTGAGCTTATCCTACTCATATGATGCATCTTCTTGATCCCTAAAGATGGGCAACCTGTAAACTGGATAATCATAGGCTCTATTCTATTATATAGGCTTATCTGTTGGAGAAGTTTGGATCTAAAAGGAACCATATCTTTCTGAAGTGGATGTCTTGGGAGTATCCCCAGAGCACTACAAATACAGAAAGGCTCTCTTACATATTAAAAGAGACTCTCAAATAATTGTTGGAACCAAGTTAATAAACAGTTCTATGTTCAAATGTTACCTTAACAACCAATTTACTAGGGGTCTTTTGCAAACCACTATTTTCTCAAACTCATTCTCCTACATGTAATACAAGTATACTATAAAGCCTATCTTACAAGGATGTTTTATGAATTGCTGGTAATATTCATGAGGATTTTGATCATAAACATGTATAACTTAAACACTAAGTATCATGATTATTCCCTTAGAAAGAAGGGGAGGGTTGTAACTACTCAATATTGTATGTAATTTCAAAAGCTCAATTTTAAACACCATGTTTCTATGTTCACAAATACATTTCCCTTGTTTTTGTATTTCTGTATGTCCACTTACAAAAGCACTACCAAGGCTTCACATGCTGAAAGTATTTAAAAGCTATGACTTAACATGAAAATGTAAGGGCCCTGCTGGATCATCCAAAGGGTCCATGTATCCTGCTACTGCACAATGCATTCACATTTTCACTGAGCTACCCACCATGATACTAAGATCATTCATGGCTAGTTACTGTCACTTCTGAGTCTATCAATACATATGTAAAAGGAAGATATTTTTTTGTCCCAACATGCATCACTCATACTTACATTGAAACCAGTTTGCCATTTTGTATCCCATTCACCTCATCTAAAGAAGTGTTTACAGAGTTCTTTGCATTCAGAGTTCTATCATCCTAAAAAAATTGATGCCATCTGCAGCTCAGCTCATCCCACTTCTCTTTCTACCTCCTGATATTTTTTTAATAAATTAAATAGCACTGGAGCCTTGGTGAACACTACTACTTCTCTTCAGTCTGAAAAATGTCTGGTTATTTCTACCCTTCCTGGTTCTGTTACTTTTTTCTGTTGATCTTTGATGTAGCTCTTTAATTTTGATTCATTATTTCATATTTAACACTGCATTTTAGTGTTACAATATAGTTTTAAAATATAAGCTGCTTTTGAAGGTTAGTTTGAAAAGTAGGATATTAATTAAAAATTAACTAGTTACTGATGCATAAGATAACCTGTGCTTATATTCCATGATTGCTAAGTGTTTAAAGAGATTCTGCCAGAAATGTTTTGCAAGTTCCGTAAGGCACTATATCCACCAGTGTCATTCTGCTAGCACAAATAATGTTGCGCTAGGGAAAACTAGGTTTCACCCAATGTGCAAAAGGTGATTCCAATGAAAGTAATGTTTGTGCAATTAGCTGCATAATTCACAGGCACCAGCATAATGAACAATCATTTGCATGGCTGAAAGATTTGACGAGCTGAGTTTGTGTAAGGTCATCATTATGCCCATAAGGCAAGGGTAGTGAATCTGTGGCCCTTCTGATATAGTTGCACTTTGACCACCATCAGCCCCAGTCATTACAGGCAATGGCCAGAGGTGATGGGAGTTGTCACTTATTCCTCAGTGAAGGAAGGCTCAAAGTTAAATACCAGGATGGAAAAGGTCTTGTGACACTGCAAAAATTAAGTTGCAAACCATCAAGATAGTTGTTGCTATGAATCAGGCTGAGTAAAGAAAGAAGGATTATTGAATTCAAGACAGGTTTGCTCCTCCCATGCATCCTTCCATGAACGGAGAATGAAAGCACTGCATAAAGAAAGGTGCAGCTGATTATACACAATTACTTTTAGATGCTGATGAAGCTGAGGCAACAAACAGAATAGCTTTTTAAAAAGGTCATTCCCCTTCTCTGCAACTCAGCAGATCACTTTCATATATCCTATAATGCGAGAGCAGAATAACAAAAAACACAGACTTGGCTAAAAGCTTTCATCTGAGTGTTCATAGCTTAGACTATTTGATTTACCTGTAAGGATCAGTAACAGAATGGGACTTTACATGAGAATACCAGTCTTTCTTCCAACTATAGCACTTCCCACAAAATTGGCACTGAAATGGTTTCACACCAAGATGCTTATTCATATGCTGCCGGAGATCCCGAGATTCATAAAAACTTTTCTCACATCTGTAATGAAATCACATGGGGTTATACAACATATTTCATACAAATTAGTGAAAAGAATCTACTATAGAAGTTTGTTAAGGTATGAATATATCTCATGCAGGAATATTTCATGTCTGAAAAATAATTTCCACTCAATAATAAGACTTATTTTACAATAATATGACACAATTTGCTATGCCACAAAAGTCAGGTGTCTGGCTAATCCTTTATCCTCAGCCTTGGGCACTGCTAATAGCACCTTTGAAGGAGTCACCAACATGACGACCTTGGATACCTTAAAAAATATTTTCTCATTTTTTGTTTTTCAATATATGTACATATATTTATATGAAATGTATACAGCTTTATGGCAATTACACATAGGTTTCAACCAACGTAGTCCAAATATTCAAATAAGAGTCTAGGTGAAGTTGGTTTCTGTATGCCCTCTGTTTCTATATAAAAAGCTAAGTTCCTTGGTCCATGGCCTTAGTCCTTAGTCTCACAAAGTGAGACTTGATCCTTCCAATGTTGCAATTTCAATCTTTTAGCAGTCAAATCAGCACAGAGAATCCATTTCCTTTACCATCTATTCATTTCTATTAGGTCCTCCTCTAATACAAAATTTATCTGTGCAATAACATGCACTCCAAAAGCAGCAAGTTCTGGAGAAAGCCAAAACGTATGTTTAAAAGAAGCATCACCCACAATGCATTACCATCAAGTAGCCAAGTTAAATCCTTTATTAAAGATTCTGGTTTTTAATATACATGAAACAAAAGATTTTGCTGAATATGACACAACCTAAGATCTGTAGATATTCTGTGATGGTGCCTGCAAGCAGATTCTGAAATTCCCAAATGTGCCCACAGGTCAAATTATTTGGGGACTCTTAGATTACTGGAAGAAAGTGGTTGATCTGAAAGCCTAAATCTTTCCCCTGAATGCCTTAGTATGATTTCCATGACTCTTTAAAGAGAATAATTCAACTGTTTTCCTCATGCTTAAAAAGTTATTTATTACCAAAATATAAAAGAATATGCTATAAATAATAAGAGATGACACTATTAGTCTTCCTTTTTGCCCATTTGGGTCATCAGGAGTGAGTCTTTTCTACTGTTCCCATCATCAATGTCAGAGATTGATGGGCCTTCTCCCACAAAAACAGATGAGTAAGAAGAGTGCAAGCTCAACAGCCACAAAATGTTGAGTGTTAGGTGTGGGAGGAAAAGGGATGTCTAGTAGTGGAATATGGTATTTGAGTCCCTTTTACCTTACTACTACTTATTTTAGCTGCTTTATTTTTCTGCAGCTTATTGCTAGAGAGCACAAGAGCAAGGGATAGGGAAGAAGCAGTGAAAGGAAAAAAACTAGATGTAGGTATGGGCAATCCCGATGAGAAAGAAACAACAGCTCTGCTGGCCAAGTGTTGTACACACATCCTGAGGCTACACAGGATGCAAGCAGGTACAGCGCATCTCCTGGCAAGCAAGAAGGGAAGGCAAGGCATACACATGCATTCAGGCTTAGGCAGTAGCACCACAAGGGATGGATATAAACTTGTGGCATCCTAAGGACAGAGGCAAATAAGAGTGCTGCACAAGCTACTGCAGTATATACATTTTTTAAAAAAATCAAACTTATCAAATGAATGTCACAATGGGATAGGTTTGTAAAAATCTCAAAAAGGATATATAACTTCTCAGCAGCCCCTGTTTAAATATGCGCTTGTCAAGAAAAGTATTAGGATGCATCTTTAAAATACTACATTTTAGTAAAGTTGCATAACTGTCCAAATGTATTTATTTCTGTACTTCAAAACTTCGTATTCTGTGTAGATCACTTCATTCCTCCTGGGTTTTTTTCTCATAATCTTTCCTCCGTGTCCTTTCAGTGCACTTGTTTGATCCACAGTGTGACCCAATTCTCATCATCAAGCATAAAACAAGAATGACTGTGAATAGAGTATGCCAATAAGCCATAGTGGTTGTTTTAATTCCCAGAGTGTGCCAGGCACTATTTTCCTAATTGCCCAACTGGGCATGGCTTGTCTTATTCAGTCTATCATCTGAACCTAGGTGGCTAAAGTTTAGAGGGAAATTATCGTCAACTACCTGTACCATAGGGAATGGGTTAGCTGAAGGTTGTCTCCCTGTCCAACTCATGCTGCCTGGCTTCAGATGACAGAACTGTGTCCAGGCAGGTAATTAAGGAAATGACACCCAGCATATGCTGAGAATGAAAACAAGCCACCATGATGTATTTAAACCATGGTGCCTTGTTTGATCATGTTAACTGGTCCAGTGTGCCTATGAACAAGATGCATAAACCTTAATCATTTTAAGCATGATTACTTGGAAGTAAAGCCCAATGATAAATGGGTACAGGATTGCAGCCTAAAAGAAATACTAGCAAAATCACTAGCTTGCATGTTGAAAAGTTACCTAGTTGTTTGTAATGTAATTTTTGAACATATAAACCCCTGCTGTAATTCATAATTTGTATATTCTGTCTGTCCCTATTTCTGCAGTTTTTTTCCCTGATTCTCTCTAAATCTCTTCAATCTTTGTTTAATTCAAGTATCACTGTGAACAAGAATAAAATTTATACCACATTTAAAGACTATGTATAGAAAGAGGCCAGGAAAGAAGATTGTAAAAGTTAACTCCAGTGAGTTGGTGAAAAAGCTACCATGTTTAGGGTTCTCATAACATTCATTGATACTGAACTTTGATGCATACCCTTTTTTCTCACTCCTTTTAATATGCCTTTAGGAAGTGAATGTGTGGAGATATAAATGGTTAACTCTTCCTGAAAATATTTCCCACTGCTTTGAATTTTATAAAAATCCATAGAAGTTCTCCTAACTGAACTGTGCAGCCCCCTCTCATTACTCAATCATCTTTGAAATGTCTGGTGTTTAAACTTGTCCTTGGTATTTCAGCAAATGATACTCGGGTAAGCAAAGATTTTATTTTTTTTATTTATTATTTATTTATTAAAACATTTTTATGCCGCCCCATTCGCCGAAGCCTCGGGGCAGCTTACAACAAATAAGATAGCTAGGAAACTCCCACCATAAGACTGGTGATAGCACAATACATCTGGTCCCTCAGGACACAATAGGGTTGTTGCTTGTTAGTCTAAATGAGAGAAGGGATTTAATATTACTGTTTCTTTTAATTATTATGGAAATATGGAGGTATACAAATAGAGAAAATGAAGAACAAAATGTCTTGATCAAATACTTAACTGTTAGTATGCATGGTAAAAATTGGTCAGTGTCAGATTTTAGGATATGATGCAAAATCCGATGCATGGTACTAAGAAATCAGTCCCATTATATTTTATTGGGCTTACCTTCAGTTAAGTGTGCATAAGCCTGCAGAGTGCAATCCTATGCAGGTTTCAACAGAACATGTCCTGTAACTTCCAGCATTCCCCAGCCAGTCATGTTGGCTGGAGAATGCTATGAGTTGGACCATTTTTGATGTCTAAATATACATAGAATTGTGTCCTTGGGAACATTCTCAGGGTCAGATTACATGGGATAACCACTATTTTCTGGCTTGCCTCAGGCACCAAAAAGGATAGTGAATGTTTGTTTGAAGATTAGGAACTGTGGGGGAGAGGAATGGAATGGAACACCTTGCAACCCTGAACAGGAGAAGGAATTCACATCATAACATTTTGTTGCATATCCCATTTGTAAGAATGCTAAATAAAATTCAACACTGAGAGTGCTATTTATTGATTCCTTTAAATGCTTGAAAAAATTTAACTTACAACAGAACCTTCTTCGATAAAAGTTATTTCCTGATTCATTTTGATCCTTCTTAAGTAATACGGGGTATTTATGTTAATATTTGAGGAGTTTAATAGAAGCCTTTTTAACAATTCTAAAACCATAAAATACTTACTGGTTGCATTGATATCCACGGATTTCAGGTTTTGGTTGGTGTTTCTTTATGTGCTTACTAAGTCCTGAAGCTCTATGGAAAGACTTTCCACAATGTGAACAAAAATATTTTGATTCTCCTGATAAGAAAGAGTAGCATCATCTTTAATAGATATTACCTCATAATTTAACAGATTTATTAAATTCAGCATATAACAGTGATTTTTATGCTCTCAGGAAAGCAATCTATCATGGATGATCAATACCTGACTGTCATCTGAGGAAAGGTAGAGGTCAGAGGCATTAGGAAGGAAGTAACCGAGAAAAATTCACTGGACTGAGCCAATGGGCTGGAGAAAGGGCAGAGGGAGAGTGATGTACTAGAACTTATGACAGTGGTAGCTCAGCCATAATCAGCCACATTCTGGTCTTATGCAGAAGAGTTATTTTGTTCTCTACTTGTTCCCAGTAACTCAAACAGTTTTTTAAAAGAAGGCTAGCTAGTAAAGGAAAACAAATAATTGAACAGGCCAAGAGGAAATAAGAATAATTGAAACATAAGAAATGGGCCTGTAGAAATAGGAGGGGACAGAACATGAGCACTAGATACAAAGAGGATAGCAGGAAGAGATGAAGTAGCTGGGCTGAATCTCAGTAAAGGACAGAGTGAGAAATAATGGCAGAGGTACTTTAAACAGCACTGGAGTGGACCTATGAAAAGGTACACATGGGTAGTCTGGGTTTTCACTAGGTGCTAGGTATATGGGATACTTTTACAGAACTATGAAGCATCAGCATATTGCAAACCGATTACAAATAAAATCTAGATCAGGGGTCTCAAACTCAACTTACCTGGGGGCAGTCTGGGTGAGACTGGTCCGCATCAAGTAGTGGTGGTGGTGGGCTGCTCATCCCGCGCAGTGATGGTGGGCTGCTCATCCCGCGTCGCTCCCAGAGGCCAGCCCGGGTGCTGGCAGAGCTTTGAAGGCCGCAGGGACCCTCCCCCATACCCCGCCCATCCTGGCAATTGACCCACGGGCCGCAAGTTTGAGACCCCTGATCTAGATCGTTCATCTCCACCATGGAAACTCTGCAATTATATTCAACTATATTTAACATACCTCAGTGCAGAGCCTGACTAAGCTGCTGTAACATCAGATAATATTTCTAATTATTAAATTGTTGTAACCACCTGTGGGGGGGAGTGTCAGAAATGTAATAAACATTCATTCTGATTATTGGATAGGAGCAGGGGGTGCTGTGAAAACAAGAAATGACCTCAGTAGAGGAATCTCTCCTATCACAAAATACTAGAAACAGAAGAGATATATGGAAATGGATTAGATTGAAGAAGTACAGGCCTGTATTAGAAGCAAATGGGAGGTGAATGCTTCTGGTGGAAAGAGGTTATGAGAAAATAAAGCATTATTTTCCCCTAGGAGCAACCCACAGAAACAATAATTATGATATGCACTACCAATAAATATGAAACAGTAATACTTAAGTTCATATACTTGTTCAGAGTAGCCAGTAACATTGTCAATTATTACAATTACATCCCAACTTTCTTCTCTTGCAAGGACCCAAGGTGGCTATGGTGTTGTCTTCTCCTAACCCTTACAACAAACTTGTGAAGTAGGTCAACAGAATCAATGACTGGCCCAAAGTCACCCAGTGAGCTTAATATTCAAGTGGAGGCTAGAACTTGAATCTCCAGAGCTCCAATCCAACACTCTAAGCACTATGCCACACTCTGAATGCTACATTTCAATTAGAAATTGCTTGCCAAACATTTGGCTGCAGTTTGTTTAGTATATTCAGTTCCTGAAAACTGACTGTATATCCTTGCATTAGATGAAATAGGAATGAGTCTGTCACTTACCTGTGTGAATGCTTATATGCTCTTGGAGGCTTCTTTTTGTGACAAAGGACTTATCACACAATTCACACTTGAACTGTTTCTGTGCCTCATGGAGTGCAAGGTGCATCTTTAAACCATGTTTGTATGTAAATGACTTTCCACAAACCTATATAAAACAAAATTGTTAGACAATGTCAGTGTTCTTCCAGACAGAAGCATATTAGGACAAAGGAAACTTTGCTATATACGCTTCCACAGCATGGTCAGGAACAACTTTTTTCCAATACTGACAGTATTATAACAAAGCCAAGTAGATTGTTTTGGAAGGAAGGAAACTTTGAACCAGAAGCACTTTAACATTCCAATTCAGAGAAGAAAACCTAAGTAAGAAAACACAAACCCAAGAGCACTTGAGGTATCTATGGTATTTTAAGAATAGCACAATGTGAATTCTAAGTGATAATGATCCACTCTTTGGAAATCCACTAAAGCTATCAATCTTAATTTTAAATCTGAAATGGCAAAATGGCAAAAATGCTGCATTTGTCAACCAGCTAAACCCCAACACCAATGCTATACCTCCAAATGTAATACATTTTATAAGCATACAAAAGGAAGCCAAAGGCAAACTCACTTGTGCATGATCAACATGTTACCTGCAAACGTACTAAAAGAATGGTTTTGTTTTTACTGGAGGCAATGCTAGAAATTCCAGGGGTCTTCAGATTTCAAGTTAAATCGGTGGAAAAAAGATGGCCAATGATATCGATAAATCCATCTTTTAAATAGTGTAGAATACATATTCTAAGCTACAAACTGGGTTCCACAGCTTAATGCTAGAGCGAGGTGTAGCCTACAATAAAAGCAAAATTTCCACACATTTTACCTCTCAACTTCAGAAGCCAACTGGCTAAACACAGCATAAATCTAGGAGTTTCCTTCCTCCCCCCAACAGGCCTTTTCGAACCTAAAATTGTTGCAGAATCCCACAAACTCTTGAAGGTTACAGATTGAAGGAGAAATTCAATCTATCAGCATGTCCATTTTCTGCTGGCAGAAGGAGAATGCTGGATACAGTCCAATAAACTATTAACTTCTGTTACTTTCAGAGCAGAACTGAGCTAATATTTACTTATTTATTAAATTTCTTCCCCACCTATTAGGCAGGATGACTCTCTGGGCATCTAATATCAGTCCAAGCTTTAAGCTACATGGCCCAGATATTGCCAAGCATTACATCAAAAAGGTGACAAAAATCAAGTGTTACTTTTTTTTTTTACCTTACATGCATGTGGCTTTACACCTGTATGTTTCAACATATGGATTCTCAGAGAGTAGAGTTTAGGTAAACTTCTTCCACATATATCACAAATAAATTCGCGTTTAGTTCTGCCCTTTACAGTTCCACCACTTTCTTCTATGCTAGCAGTTGCAATGGTCACTTCATTTTTTCGGGTATGGCGAACCAGGTGAGCTCGCAGTGAGGCACCATACTGAAACTCTTTTTTGCAAAGCTAAGGAAACAAAAACATGTGTTGATTTCTCACAGAACATCTGTTACAGTTTAGCACAAATAAAATTACACCAGTATTTATGTTTCAATTTTTCTAGATGCAGGAGTTGCTCCCATGTTTGTGTATCTTACATGTACATGGAAGGAATGGATAGCAACATGTAGATCTAGCTTGCAGAGAGATCTGTGCAATGTGGAATTCTAAAGGTCTGTCCCAGTTAAGGGAAATTTGCAGTTCACAACCCAGAATGACTATCACATTTGCCATGTAATAATCCAAGTTCTGGAAACTTACAATTCTGTAAGATGATCCAACTGAAAGATGGAAACTATGGATAAGTAGTTTAAGTTGGGATTCTAAGCTTCTTTAAAAACCACTCTGAGAGATTATCAAAACATTAGAGATCAATTAGAGTAGTAGAAGAATCAAAAAGCTTCCTAAAAAGAAAGGCAATGCACCTTTCCAGATTACGGTTTAGGGGACAATAGTGGGCTGCATAAAAGTAGAACACCACAAATTTTTAAAAGTAGTACAAAGACTAGCAGTATTATTATTAGGAGTATTTTAAGAGCAGCTTACTGGACATTTATAATTTTTCGTCCTTTCATGCTTCAATGTGTGCATTATAAGAGCATAACGTCTCTGAAAAACCATTCCACATTCATTGCATTTGTGCTGAGCTTCTGTCTCACTGTGTTCTATAGTCTCTCTTTTGGGCTGCTTCATCTTCTTGCCTCTTTGCACCAGCTTCATGGCAACCTAATAGAAAAATAGCTAATTTAAATTAGTATTACATAGCCAGGAAACAGGAACATCAATGACATGAGAACAACAAAGGAGGTGCATTACATAGAGGCACATTATTTCCAAAATATATCTCAGAAGTTCTATATAAGGAACATGAGGTAGACATATTTGGTATTTCTCATAAAATCCACCCACTCAAATGAATTGAGACACACTTTAATACATCTGATAAAGCACAGAAGTACACTAACAGTCACCTAAGAATGAAGCTGTCATTAATGCTTTTTGCTGACACAATACATGCTATCAAACCACTCTGCAAGTAGTTGATATATTGGCAGTACTTCTACTTTTATGTGACTATTATGCATTAATTCTGGGGTGCTTCAGCATTACTACAATTATCCTCTTCAAATAATGAGTTAACTTTCAAATGTAACTAAGACAAACCAAATAGAGGCCTGTTCTCATGTGAAACATTGTGTAAGCTATACAGATCAATTGAAAGGGGGAGGATGTTGCTTCCAAAGGCTCAAAGCATAGCCAATAAGTATATACAGTCAACATCAATCAGCCACCTTGTTACTGTGACTGAAAGATTTAGGGCCATACCCTGGTGTTTTAATGTCATAGTGGGAAGAGACAGTAGAGTGATTGTACCTCCTGGGAATTTGTTCATATTCAATATTGATAAATGCTTAAACTATAAGACCTTCAAAGCCGTTATGTGAATACACAGTAATGTTATTGTAAACTTTGGACTAAGATTTAGAGCAGACTTTCCCTACCTGCTGGATAGCCGATTTGGGGACTGGTTTTCTATTCTGTAGTTTCTTCTCGATACCCTTGTGTAATCTGATGTAGCCACCCTCGCTAACAGAACGCTGGCGAAGCTTGCTTTTATATGTATCATCTTGACTGGAAATGGAAGTCTCCACCTGTGGCTGAGGAACACTCTGTGCTTTACATGGCCTGCCACGTTTGCGCTTAAGTCCTTCCTGGGAATCTTCAGCAACACCATCCGCATTTGCTTCACTGCTCATATTCTGTTCACCACTTATATTTTCATCATGATCACTTTCTGCCTGAGTGCTGACAACTTCTTGTTCTGCTGCTGGAGGCTCAGTCTGCACCTCAGTCTGATTTGTTTCACATTCAACTGTTTGACCTTTTTCCTCATTTTCACTTGTTTCGATATTAGGAGAATGGGTTGGTGGCTCTGGAGGGTTGTCCACAGAAGGCTTGGAAGCAGGCTGCAGGTCAGCCTCTGATGTAGTCATCTCTTCAACTTCAGTGCCTGAACAGGTTCCATTTACAGTTGTTACTGTATCTTCTGTAGGCAAAGACTGCTCAGTCCTTTCCACAGAGTTTACTTCATTTTCATTTTGTTCTAACATATTCTGAGCCACCTCTACTACCTGTACATCTCCCTTCTGATACACTGTGATTTGCTTATCTTCCATCTGTTTGTGCACAGTTTCACAGATTTCCAGGACTTCTGTCATTAGGAGATGCTGAGCCAATTCAGCTACTGCTGCCATGTTACAGAAATCAAAAGTTAATTCTGAGGTGTAGGCAAATTCCAGCAAAGGTAGGAAGCTGGCCTTTCGAAATCCTATACCAAATAAGAAGAAAGATTTTAAGAGATGACCCCAATTTAAAGATAAATGACTGCTTTTAATACTTATCAGCTAATTGTAATAGTAACTATATGCACAATGTGATCAGAGGCAATTTTTGTTTGCAAGAACACACTCTCAGAACATTCAAGAGCAAATAAATTCTCCAAAATAAAGCATTGCAGGTAGAGAGATGGAGTGTATTCTGGGGAGTGGCGCAGGGAGGAGCCTGGCACCACCAATATGCAACAGATCCCGGCATCTCCCTCCAAAGTGCCTCAGTTAATCAGTCTGAATTGAACAGGTTTTATATACCATCCAATACTAGAGTCTCTGGATGGCTTCCTTCAGAAGATTGCATCCTTCTTGCTAGGACCATGTGATGTCCATGCATTCAAGATGACACATGTAGCAATTCAGTCACTGTGTTCAAATATAATTTTGAACAATTGCAAACTTATACTATGTCCCCCATTCTTTGGCTATTTTGAAAAAAAAATAGGAAGATAATTGATTTGTGTGATTTAGTTCTTTTTAGTTTCTTTATTCCTGGCTCCCATTATCTCTACGTATAGCTAAATGTTATATTAAATATACACTGATTGCACTAATAAGTGTGCTTTAGACACTGCTATGTGAAGGATCTAGTATTGATTCTCCCGTGCACTCTGGAGACTAAAGACCTAGTACTGGCTCCCACTGATCCTGGGATCAATTGATTACTATAGTGCATGTGCAATTGTGCTATTGCAGTCAGAAGACACACTTATGAATGTTCTAGTTTGTCTATGTGAAAGGCCAGCAGAAATTAAGGAAGAAATTCTTGAGATGGCATGTCATTGTGTGGAAACATGGGTGCCACTGTGTCTAACAGCAACTCTGCTAGATGAAACCATGTAATCCAGCATACTGCTTCCCACAGAGGTCAATGTTATAGGCCTACCATCAAGGCCCCAGTAGTTAGATAGCTCTGGTTTACTGGGAGTGAACAGCATTACTGATTAATACTACCCAAAAATTTCTTGCTTGGCTTTTCCTGCCAGCTGGAGGGCTACAAAGCCACTAACTCCATCTGTAAATTATACTGGTGTTCAAACTGGACATTTTGGCTTGTTTGGGGACAGAAAAACCAGAATCCCCAAACAGATATCATGACAAACTAACCATAGATGAAGGTTCCATAGTATGTTTACAACAGGTAGGAAGAGTCAAGCAAGAGCTACTGGGCAGTGTGCATGAGCATGCTGCTTGATCCTAATAAACCAGAGTTTTCTAGAAAGCTTGCATATCAGGACATTGCAAGTGGCTCAGAGTTTTATTGTTTTGTTGTTGTGTGCATGCAGCAAGTTTATTTATTTATTTAAAACTTTTATACCCCATCCTATACATAAAAGTCTCAGGATGGTCCAACAACAAAGGCATAGCACAGTTTGATTTGGTTACTTTGACCAATTTTAATTGCAGGAAAGTGGCTGTTTTTAAGTTATTGCAAGCTGTTAAGGGAAGGTTTCTTGCTGTGATCTGTGGGGGCAAATATATTAGCTAATTAAAATAAAGCCAACCGGTTAGAGAAATTTGTCTAACTAAATTAGCTGCCTGTCACTATAAGAAGGCTTGCTTAATAATGAAACTAGATACCCAAGCATCTCAAATTGGGTTTTTTGGGGGCGGGGGTGGGGAGACAGGGAGGGGAGATAAGCTATTGCACAGTCTTACAAAAAGTGAATTGTCTGTTTCTTATTCAGATAAGGAATCCGGAATAGTCTACAAATGTAATAAATGCATGGTCTTTATGGTTTGGTTACCTGAAAGATCCACCACAGCCTCATGACTTGAAACCGCTCCCTTTTCGATAAAGAGTTCTCTGAAGTACTCACTGTTGGCTGCCAAAATAGATTTGTGTGCTTTGTACACCTCTCCTTCAATAAGCAAAGTAACATCACAGAACTGATTTGAAAGCCTCTGCTGATTCAGTTGGTTCAAGACTGACTGAAAATGCTTTGGGGAAGACTGTTTCACAAGCCCTTTACTATCAACCTAGAATTAAAAAGTAGAGTATTTTAACAAAACATATATAAGGATTAAAAATCCCATCTTCAACTCATTTATGGCAATAGGTAATACAGGCATAAAGTAAATCTTCAGTGCCAGATTATATGAAAAGTTACTTACAAATACAAGCTCATGTTTGGCTATTGGCTTCTTTTTCACAGGTTTTGGTGATGCTGCAGGGAGTGATGCTGAATTACTTATTTCATCATCTGTTTCATTACTGTCTTCATGAGATACTGTGTCTAATCCTAGTTCTTCCAGTATTTCAGAAGGATCTGACAAAGATCTGGAACGATCTAATTTTTCCTGACATTTACTACATTCTTTAATATAATCTTTAACTTGTTTTAGAATACCTAAAGAAAGATACAAAAATCCACTGAGTTTAGCATTTCATTCATGCAGAAAAGGAGAACATTGTTTTTACTTTTCAGAAAATACCCAGCAGTTATTCAAATCAACAGACTGTCTTTTATTTAAATAATAATCCCTGCTTTCTACTGGAGCAGCATGGAAATACAATAAACCATCCAACCAAACATGCCTGCCCACTCCCTTGCTGCTTAATTTCTTGTGTGTACTTACTAATAAGTATTCTTATTAGTAAATATCTAATTTCACAGACTAAATCCATATGCTGAATCATGGCAATAGTACACTTTGTACAAATATGAACATGGTTCATATAAGAAAATGTTAAACCCCCTACCACCCTTCAGTTATCAAAATAAAGGGTTTATTTTAAAACTGGGCTTTTTGACAAGGATATAGAGATTTGATGGTTACATAGCTTCTTGTGCAACTGTTAAAGATCAACCCCACCACACCCCAAAGAAATTACAAAAATCTTTGATCACATTTCTAGTGCCTAAAAATTATTTTTTAAAGTGGCAAACTAGTGATGATCACTGAAATATGCCACTTGGACACTTTGTGCAACTGTCACTGGCAGAGATCATGAAAATATTGTGAAAGAAGAAAAGGAGGGGGAAAAACCTCCAGCATCACCTAAAAAGTAGTTCTTTCTGAAGCAGGAAAACCAAGCCAGTAACGGTCACTCCGAAGTGTTTCTTGGGCATTACTGGAACAGCTGCCACTGATGGTAGCCTGGGTGTGCTTGGGAAAAACCGCAGTAGTTTTTGTTGCTTTTGCTGAATGCCTTGCTTGCTGCTTCCCTTGACCAATAATTGGTTTAGTTGTCTGTGGTCAGGTGATACCAAAACCCATTGGGGGGTTCCACAATCCCTTGAACAAGCTATGGGTTGTTAGGGTGTCTTGCTGCCCTCAAACAAACCCTCTACAGGAATCAGTCCAGTTTCCCACAACATGACAAACCACTGTGCAGCAAATTGTCATGCAAACTAAGCCATATTGGTTATTGTTTTACACCCTCTTGATTTTGTTTCAGCAGATAAAGCTTTATATTGCTAGAAAAAGTCAAAGGCAGAAGAAGACAAAGAAGACCAAATATGGGATGGTCTGTCAACATCAGGGAAACCACAGACTTAGTCTGGAAGAAATCAGCAGGGCTGTCACACAGAACATTTTGGAGGGCTTTCATTCATAGAGTCACCATAAGTTGGAGATGGCTTGACACACATAACAACAAGGGTATATATACGTTAATAATAAATGCTAGTACCACTCTAATTATGGAGCACACTTTCAAGGGTTGTCAGTGTCAGTTCTGGTCGCAAAACAAGCACTCAGATGGAAACAGTCTGGGTTTGCAAAACATGACAATACATATCATAACTAGTCACTCATGATGGGTTTTCATGTCACTGACTTGCTTTTGCTTCCTCCTTCCCCATCTCAGTTAAATGCTTCTAAAGATAAGTTCTAAAGAATAATATACCAGACATAAGGTTTTAATATAATATTTTAGGACATAATTCCATGCAAGTTTAGTCAGAAAACTGTCCTACATCTGCCAGCCAACTCCTCTTAATAACTTTTTGGTAGATCACTAATGGATCTTTGAAGACTCTCTTAAATGCTCCTCTCACCAATAGTTATATAATCAAAGGAAGACATTCCAGACTCCATGTCTCTTTATCTGTTTTCAAGAGAAAGAGTTACCTGAACTATCCTGCATGTGTCTATTTGGTCTGAATAACTATACCAAAAAAGAGAGTAATTTTTAAAGGAGGCATACCCTTAATTTATTCAGAAGTAAGTGAAAATCTGAATGGAATATCCAAATACTCAAGATCAGCTTTCTCATCTGGAAACAGCAGCTTCCACTGAAATCAACAGAACCTCTGAAAATGCAGAGATAGGAGTAGGATTCTGGTATATATTGACAGGTAGTTTTTTGGATACCAGAAATGCCCTATATAAACATCAAATAGTGTATCTAAAAACATGATTCTCTCCTTGGCTACAGTGCTGTAGACCAGATGCCCCTGCCCTTGTGAGACTAGGGGCTACATTCAGAATTTTGAGAATATTCTTTGGGTGCTCTAACAAAATGACTGCTCAGTCACAAAAAGGGGTGCTTTTGTAGGGGTGCACAGTTAGCCCACACTTATTTTGCAACTATTTTGCAATTTTGCAAACTAGCAAAGCTAAAAGAAACATAACATAGCTGATAAGTACAAGGAAGTGCCTCCAAACCACAAAATCACTCTTCTGAATCCAGTTTTCTATTCCAACACCCATTTAATAAAACTCAAACAGATGAAACTAAGAAACAATCTGGTCAAGAAACTGAGTACAGAGGTGAGATAGGAAATATCCCAAATCCTGATAGTAACTTTGTCCTCAAAAAGAACAAAGAACCTATTTTAACAGGATACAACTTGGTGATATTCAAGACACACAGAGCACAGACAAAACACTGTCACTCCCTAGCATGCCTTCTAGCATACCCCCTAGTCCTCCAGGATGCTCCCCATTATGATCTTCTCTTTTTCTGGGTGACTGGGCACATTACCAAATAGTGGGTTTCAGCCACCAATCACTTTTATTTTCAAAGAATGACTCTTGGGACAATGTTGGGCCCAAAGTCATTCCTAGAAATAAATACAGTACTTCAAATCCAGTTGTTTTGCAGTACACCAGCCTCCTAGTTATTTTTTTAATGAGAAAATATCACAAAAAATTAAAAGCAATCATGAGGGGCAGAACACCTGGAAGGTGCTGTGGGAGATATGCATAAAGTTGGGGACCTCAGCTACACAAATTTACTTGCAAGAAAGTCACTTAACACCTTGGGGCTTCCTTCCTAAAGTATGTACTCAGTCGTTTGATTTTAGACTTCTATATTGTTCCCCAAACAGGCTAAACATGCAGAATGTATTTTAATTGATTTTTCAAATTACCAAGTTTAGCAGCTTAACCCAATCTTGAGTAGCTCACTAAAGTAAGTGTCCTCCTGTTGTGAACACTGGAAGACCACTAAGTCTACTCTGCTTTACAAGAGTTGGGTAGATATAATAACCCCACTGTTTTCGAGGGCTTACGCAACTGTGCATAAAATAAGTCTGGTGTATGCATATTTGCAAAGAAGCAAGCTGCACTGATTTCAGTCGGAATTTCGGGGGAGCGAAAGAGGCCCTCTCTTGCAAGTGCAAGGGACACGGGCAATTCCCCCCTCCTCCCGCTGTCTGTCAGAATCCCCGATGATCGCGCCGTCCGCCTAGACCCTGGGCGGCGCTCCTCCAAGGCTGGCGCTGGCGGGGGTGTGGCGGGCGAGTCGCGTGTCACTGCGCCGCTGCGAGGCACCTTCGCCCTCGGAAGAAGGGACAGGGCGGGCGGCCGGGCTGGCTCCCTCGGTCACAGCCCAGCCCGCTCATTACCTCCTCCCATCCCTTTCTCACCCTTTGCTCACCTCGCCACCAGTATCGCCTGGAGAGGCGTTGCCATGTCTGCAGGCGGGTCCGATGGGAGCCGTCCGGCTCCAGGTGGGCGGCCCGGATGAGGCGGGCGCGGCGCTCGGCCTGCAGCACCACCTCGAGCTCGGCGAAGCGCTGTTGGTCCCGCTGCCGGCGCTGGTAGTACAGGGTGCCGCCGCGCACCACGTAGCAAGCGGCCGCCTTGCGGATCTTGCGCTTGGCGTTGCCTTCGGTGCCCGGTGCGTAAGGCTCGCGCTCGTTGGTCAAGTAGCGCAGGATGGCCAAGTAGCTCTCCTCGCTCGACATGGCTGGCCAGAGGCAGGAAAGCCGGGGCGGGAAACGATTCCCCTTTCTCTCTCTCTTCCCCCTCCTCCCTCAGCGAAGGAGGGAGACCGGGGGTCGCTCCGCCGTTGAAGAGGAGTACTTGCGCTCCCTCGGGGATGAAAAGGGCGGGGAGAACACTCCTGAAGAGAAGGCGGACTAGGGGGAAGGAAGGCGTTGCGGGGGGAGCTCCTGTCACAGGTATCAGGAAGAAAGCGAATCTGAGTCGGGAATAGGAAAAGGGAAAAAGGAGCCGAGAGTGGTTGGGAAGGGCAACCAAAAGAAGAGAAAGGGGAAAAATATAAACCCTAGCCGTCAGGTCTAGAAAGAGCCGGACCCCAGGGGGTGGAACTGGAGTTTCGCAGTCCGCGGCGACGGGTGGGAGGAAGAAGCTCGGGCAGCAGGATCAACGGAAAGACAAAATGGCTGCTGCACAAGCGGAAGTGAGGTTTGAGAAGATGTAGCCTAGCCCTCCGTGCTGATTAGAGAGGGAAGTGGTTTAGGAGAGCGTCGCCATGTTGCAACCGGGCAAAACAGCCAGGGTGAGCTCGGTTTAGAGGCAGTTGTGTGGTAGGAGACGATAGCGTGGGGGTTTATTGCACCATCTTTGATGAGGGAAAAATAGCTTTTTCTTATAATTATACTTATTTTCAATCAGCGTTCTTCTCTACCTAGCCAGTTTTCAGATTGCAATTTTATTTTTAGGTTATTTATTGAGACTACTCTGAAGTCACGTAAAGCATCAAAACAACTTCATTCAATCTGACCCCCAATTCTGGAGTTCTGCTCTCAGAAAAACAGATTTTGCCATCCTGTTACCAAATTCAGCCAGTCAACAGCTAGGGCAAACCCGGGTGGACCCCAGACCCAAGTCAAAAGGAGCCTGAGCCGAGACTTAGAGCCAAAGCAGCTTTCTTCTAGTACACTATAGAATGGAGACAAAAAGGGACATTCAGCCCAAAGCAGTGTCTCAAAAGTTGCACCCCTGTACATGTGTTTTATATCCTAGGTAACCAATTAGGTCACCTAATACACAACTAATGTATCGATACATCAATGTATGCACCCCCCCCCATGTTGGAGAAAGAGTCCTTTCTTCTGTCAAGGACCAGACATTTCCCATGTCTATTTCTTATCTGCTCAAGATTCACACAGGCTTGCCATGTTCTTACTCCCTGCACATTTGCAACTTTCATGGCAGCTATAACCAGTTTCCACTGTCCCTTTGATTACTGTATTCGAGGTCAGGCTAGGGTGTTAGCTGTGGGTTACACAAAGTTCATTTAGTTCTAATCCACCCTCCCTTCTGGGACAGTCTAACTGTGATGTTTTTACTATGTGGCCATCCTGTGGCCAACTACTTTTGGGGCCTTCCTTTGGCCAATTACTTTTGGGGTGTTCTGGGATGCTGCAATTGGCAACAATCCCACCCCACTGCCCTGCCATAAACACATCAAAAGGCGCCTCAGTGTCTGGTGATGAAGAACAAACAACCCACTTCATTAGCGGGTAACTGTCAAAGTGTAATCTCTGTGTTTTATAGGCTTGCCAGAGTGCCTCCCTAACCCTGTAAAGTTCACACATGTAACCTTTCTGTTTACTTAACTTGGCCAGCCTGTTCAAGGTAACTTTAATTTAGAAGGCCTGTCAAAGGTATCTAATGAGAGTGAAATGTAACTTTTTTTATGATGCTGTAATGTGTATCCAATCACTTTCATATCCATATCAAAGTATCCAATCACCTTCCTGTGTATTGTATTCACTCCCCTTTTGTGTATTCTATGTAACCCTAATGGAATTAGCATTGGGTGCTACTGTCTTGGGCACCCATGGATCCGTGTGTTGAATTGTAAATAAACCTAATTGCCATCGCAAGAAACTGATCATTTGAGCCTTAATTGCGGGATTTCAGTGTGACAGTTCCCTTCACAGATTAATCTACAAGCTGTTGTTAATGCTTGTATGGTTTTAATGTGCCATCAAGTCATCTCCGATTTATGATGACTGTGAACGAAAGAGAAGGTGGCAACGATACACAGAACTAAGGAACACAGGAAGGGCTATGCTGGATCAGACCATCTAGTCCAGTGCTTCCTACACGTGATGGCAAACCAGCTGCCCACAAGTCGCTCAAGGAGGATGGTTTTGCAAGATGTCCATCTGTGCAAGCTTCTCAGCAAGTGGTGTATGCAGCCATGCCACCTCTGACAAAGGAAGTAACACATTGGCAGCAAGGCTAGCCACTGACAGCCTCTTCTTCCATGAATCTGACCCTTTTAGAGCCATCCAGATTGGCAGCCATCACCACTTCCTGTTGCAGCGAATTCCATACTTCAACTATAGGTTGTGTGACAGAGTATCTCTTTTTGTCTGTCCTAAACCTTCCACCGATCAGCAACATGGGATGTCCCTGTGTGCCAGCGTTATGTCTCCCTACGTTCTCCCTGCACCATGCATTTTAAACACCTCTATCATTTCTCCTCTTACTCTCCTTTTTTTTCTAAGCTAAACAGTCCCAGTTGTTGTAGCTGCTCCTCACAAGGGAGTTGCTCCAGCCTGCCAATCATTTTTGTTGCCCTTCTCTGTACTTTTTCCATCACAATAATATCTTTATTCAGGTGATGCAACCAGAACTGAACACAATATTCTAAGTGTGGTTGTACCAAGAATGATATGAAATCAAGTATAACAGAAGTAAGATTTTTGTAGTTTTATTTTTTTATTCTATTCCTAATTATGCCTAGCATGGTATTTGCATTTTTCACTGCAGCTGCATGCTGGACCCACATTTTCAGAGCTGTCCATGACTATACCTTTCTCTTGCTCAGTCCCTGCTATCTCAGATCCCATCAACATATACTTGAAGTTGGGATTTTTTGTTCCAACATTTATTACGTTACATTTGTTTACACTAAACTACATTTGCTATTTTGATGTCAATTCTCCCAGCTTGGAGAGATCCCTTGAGCTCCTCATTGTCCCTTATGGTTTCAACCATACCACAGACTCCTTTGAAAAGGAATCCTATGAGGAAGGATGTGCCATATTACTAAAGTGAAAAGCTGTTCTGAAAGAAAGTGGAAGGAAAAAAGCACCAGAATAGAGTACAGTAGAACTATTCTGCAGCGACTGAATCTGTTCAAATCATAACAGGAACATGCCAGCAAATGAGGAAAACAAAACAATATCCCACAGACTGGAAGCATTGAAAGTCCATTCCAGTCCACAAGAAATGAGATGCAAAAGAGTACAGCAACCATAGGACCATTGCACTAATTTCCTGTGTAAGCACAGTGATGCTCAAGGTGTGCAAGAATATTACTCTTTATTGAGAAATGCCTGATGTTCAGGCTGGATTCCAAAAAGGAAGAGTCACTCAAAATCATCTTGCAAATATTTGATAGCTCCTGGAATGCACCAAAGAATTTCAGAAGATTAGTTTGTGCTTCATAGATTACAGCAAAGCCTCTTGTGTATCAAGAGAAGATATGGATGGTCCTGAAAAAATGTGTGCACCTTATCACTTCATTGTTCTGAAGTGTAACCTTCATCATGAACAAGAAGCTACTGTTAGGACAAAATTTGGAGAAACAGAATAGTTTCCTATAGGGTTCTTTTTATCACCTTATCTGGTAATTTGTATGCAGAACATTTCATAAGGAAAGCTGAATTACAATCAGAGGAAGGAGTGAAGATGGGTGGAAGACACGTCAATAAGATATGTGAATGATACCAAATTACTGGGAGAATGCTGCAATGACCTGAAATGAGTCCTGATGAAAGTGAATGAAGTGCAAAAGCAGGACTGCAGCTGATCATTGAGACAACAAAAATGATTACAAAAAATGATAGAACTTTACTGTTAGCAATGAAAAATTGATGTACCTTGGTTCAAGTCCTCAATTCAAAGGGAGACTGCAGCCAAGAAATTAGATGACATATTTGGAAGGAAAGCAATGAAGGAAGCAGAAAAGATCAACTGTGAAGGACATTGCACTGGAGACCAAGGTCAAGATTACTCACACCATTATATTCCTGATCATTATGCATGGGTGTGAAAACTGGACAGTGAAGGAAGCTGACAGGAAGAAAATTAATGCATTCAAAACCTGGTGCTAGAGGAGAGCTTTGCGAATGCTCTGCATCCAACAGGCAGGTGAACAAGTGGGTCCTAGATCAAATCAAGCAAGAACTTTCCTTGGAAGAAATGAGAAACCCAAGGCTGTCATACTTTGGACACATAAAGCAAAACTCATAGGGTCACCCTAAATCAAGTAGTTGATGTCACATAAGAGCAATGGATTAAAGTCCTCCAAAATTTCCTGTCCTTGACAGCCCTGCTCAGCTCCTGTAGATTCCAGGCTGTGGCTTCCTTTATGGAGTCAATCCATCATATATGGTCTTGCCTTCAACTTTCACTAGCATGATTGTCTTCTCCAGTTTTGCCTTCTCATGATGTGCCCAGTATGAAAGCCTCAGTTTTGTCATCTCTGCTTCTAAGGAAAGCTCTGTCCTGAGTGGATCTAGGACCAACTTGCTTGTCAGTCCAGGTATTTGCATTTGTCTTCCAGTACATTTGGAATGCATCAATTCTCTTCACTCTCCAGATTTCACACCAATACCAAGTGACTGGGAATACAATAGTGTAGATGATTTTGGCCTTGGTTGTGTTCTTAATTGCAAATAAAGCATTGTCACATGCTTGCCAAAGGCTCTTTAATTTCAGTGGAACTTGCTTCAGGCAGTTATTAGTGTTTCCTCCTTTTCCCAGTTCATCCCTTTTTCTTTTTATGTAATGCGTTTGAACTTACACAGAGGGACCCTTGAAGGTTGTTTTGATGTTACAATAAGCCATTCTGGGAAGATTTCTAGCTGAAGAGCAAGGCAATGTTTTAAATACATGTAAATGAACACCTTATTTCTAAACCTGAGAACGTGCTTTATTTTGTCGTCTAGAACATAGTCTACAAGTCAGTGTTAACAGTATAAATACTACCACATCTAGCCTGCAGACTTTCAAAAGCGTCTGTATGATTCTAGGAAGGTCAAATCTATGGATGAATATATCCCAGACAAGTGAACTTACATACTTGAACCTTGGGCTGCACATTCAATCTATATTCCTTAATAATGTTTTTAAAATAGATTTCTTTCAGGTTTATATGGTGGGCATGTCGTGAGTGGAGCCAGCTGGTGCCGGAGGTCAGACTAGATGGCCCAGGAAGCCCCTTCTGACTCGTGCTGTTTCTGTTTCTATATAATTAGCTGCTGGGTTGACACTAAAGATAACTTCCAATATGAGTTTAACTGTTGTATCTTTTGCCCATGCATAATGACTGTTAAGAAATTTACGTCTAATTTTACCAGAAACTCATTTAGAATGGGAGTAGTGTATTCTAAGTTTTTATTCCAAATGGAGTGTAGAAAGTGCCTTTCTTAGAAGTGGGTGTACACCAACACTGTCAACAGTTAATCCTAAAGGAAATCCTGTTCTTTAGGACAGATACTGAAACTAAAGCTCAAATACCTTGGCCACATAATGGGAGGGAAGGACTCGCTGGAAAATACCCTGATGCAGGAAAAGATTGAAGGCAAAAGGAGAAGGGGCGGCAGAGAATGAGATGGTGAGATAGTGTCACTGATGCAATGAACATGAATTTGGGTGAACGCCAGGAAATATGAAGGACAGGAAAGCCTAGAATGCTATGGTCAATGGGGTTGTGAAGAGTCAGGCATGACTGTCTGCCTGAACACCACCACCACTGTACACAAAGACTTATTTTAGACTGTATTTGTTATTCAGATATAAGGCTTGAAGAGAACCAGAATTACATGTGCTCACTGTGTGGGGAAAAAGGTCTTGCACAATACAGAATTGATCTTTACTGGATTTACCCTGAAATTGGGAGCGTATGTGTAATTTCAAGTACATTAACAGAAGATACATCTGAACCACTCCAAAATATTTCACTTGAAACAGGGCAATAGTTGTGATGGTAAAGCACTGGTTCACAAACTGGCTGATAGCAAAGGTAGTATGAATACTGATGGAGTTTCCAGTCTTTTCTCAATTCTTATATATTCCTGTGAAAAATGATAAGTAGCCTAGTAGATCAAGGATTCAAGCAGGTTAGACATGATGAAGTAAAACTGATTTTGTTTCAGGATTGATCCATCAAAATATATCTTACCATCTTTTTGCTGCTTTATACTGGTTGTTAACCATTGCATTTTTAAGAGATTTGGAACAAAACTCATGTATAGAACATGTTTTGTTAACAGCTAGTTTGCATAAAATGCTGAAGTTATATTATCTAAATTGTTTCTTTGATGTTAACCATTACTTAACTGTATATCCGTTGAACATTTAAAAAAAGAAAACTGCACTAAATTTCTAGAGAGAGACACTAAGAAATAGACAAGTTTTAAGCCAAATGTTTATTTGGTGTAAACAAAACACAAATCAGCGTTTTCCACCAACACGAGGAGCAGTGACTTTTACAGGCTTCACAATTTTTTGCTTTGGCGCAGCCTTTGCAGGTGCCTGCAAACATAAGATGAGATAGCAATAAGAACATGCTACTTATTCTCAAGTTGTCACTGTAAACTAGGCCAATGATTCGGAAAGATTAAAATGGACTTCCCTTGGTGGAATATCAAGTTGAATGGAAACAGGCACTCATTCCTGACTCCTCCTCAGGAACATCTCAACAGGACCATGAGGAAGAGCATCCCAAATTCTCATCTCGTTCCCAGCCAAAGAACACATACAAGGATGTTTACTGCACCCTTCCAACAGGCAGCTCTGAATAACCATGCAATCATCTAACTTTCAGTCAAAACTTGGCATATTAACCTTTCTATGGCTCCTGTATGGCTATACTTCTCTGAATGCTGATTTGGGCCGAGTGGGAAGCAGAACTAAGTGCTACTTGTCACTCTACTTGTATACTGCACTTGTATTGGTGCATCTCCCAACATACTTGAAATTCCAAATTAAGAAAAATCATGGGTATTCTTAACAGTCTACTTAGAATACACCCCCAGTGAATGCAATGCAAGCTAGTGTTATGTAATGGTCAGAATTCTGGACTTAGCATCCCTACTAATGCCACATTGCTTGCTAAGGTAACCTTGGGCTGGACTCACTCTCACCACCTAACATACCTCACAGGGTTGGTTAAGGAACAAGATTTGATTACTCCCATGTATAGAATGTTCAACCTGGGGAAATGATGGGATACTCATTCTTAATAATGCAGGCCACTGCATAAGGTTTTGCAAGTTAATCCAAACGGTCATTTGCCCAAGAGACTGGGCACACAGGAAATGCTATAATTAACTGGTACAACTGGGTTTAAAAATATGAAAAAATTAAAAATATAAGTTTCTTATGTTTTAGTCAGATTTTGAGTGATATTACCTTTGTTGTGGAGGGCACAGTTTTCTTAGTTGCCTGCTTGGCCTTCTTTGCTTCCTTGGCAGCCCTGTAAATGATAAACTTAATTTGTTGCTTCTTCTAAAACATAAGAACAACTAGACCTGGTCTACACATACAGCAGAATAAAATATATAATGGACTGGACATTCTCGACTGCAGGAAGGGTTTCAATGTTTTCCTGCAAATGGAACATTCATAGCTGGTTAAGTGCGGCTATGGCATCTCTGTCCCAGCTTAAGGGCACATTTAAATCTGGAACTCCTGACTAGCAATCTGAAGATTTGCAACCCATTCTATGCATATTATCTTGCATGTGAAGGCCACATCAAAGGTAACAGTTGGCTTTTCTAATTTGTAGTGTTTTCTCTAAGCCATCATCAAGAATGAAAACAAACATTACAACACAGTACTATTTTTTATGTCTGAAACCCTGTGTGTAGTTGTGAAGCACAACTCTTCAAGTTACAAATGTAAATGTTCACAAACCTGCTTGCCATGGTGAACATCCCACTCCCTCCTGCTAACAGACTAGCATAAGCCCCAGTCATACTGAATGTGAGCCTAGGGACAACCCTGCAGGGATGCTGAACTATTGTAGCTGTGCTTCAGAACACATCACTGCAGAGATCATTTCTAATGCATAAGCACAGGAGGAGGGCTTGGGCTGTTTAGTATGTCAAATGTTCACTGGAAGCAGTCCCAAGTAAGGATGTATGAGGAATCTGCTCTGGGTGGAAAATCTGCCAGATTTCCCGGTTTTGGCTTCCCGGAGTCCGAGTTCTTCGCAAGCACACCAGGGTTTGTGGGACACTTGTCAGGAATTGAGCCCCATACCCTGCACAAGAAGCACCATTTTTTCATGCCAGCTGCTGCCAACTCCAGAGAAAAGGTTGGCTGCCTGGTATGATGCCTGGGGAAGGTTGCTGGTTATGCAGCTGGCAGTCCACGAATGCTTATGGAATTCTTCCAGGCTTGGTTCACTTCCTTTGAGAGGGACAAACATCAGAAATCTGATGGATAGGCATGAACAGGACTCTGGAAAGGTTTGGCATATTCCTACTCCCAAGTCCCTTGAAACTAGTGTCACATGGATGAGTTCTGGCCCTTGCCCTTGGGGGAGGGAATCAGGATAATTCAGGGTGAAACTGGAGATAAGACGTCACAGTTGGCTAATGGGCTAGCCCAAATTCTTATTAAGGCCAGCCAACATTTGTGGATCTTGTATTAAAGATATATACTCAATCCAAGTGTCCCTTTTTAATATTCAGCCAATTATTACAATACAACTAGAAAACAATGGAATTCTTGTAAAAAACAAAATAAAACAAAACCAGAAAAAAGTAGTAATTATTCACCTAATTGCCTGCTCCCTTTGGGCCTTACGCACTTCAGGCTTCTGATTTCTCTTGGCCATTATTTCAGCCAAAGAAGCACCTGTGATTGCCCTCTGGCCCTTGACAGCACGGCGTGTACGTTTCTTTTGTACTTCTTCCTAAACAATCAAGAAAGGAATGTTAATGAAAAAATATTTGCAATGCAGCAGTTGAAATGATGTAGTAGGCATATCTACCTCATTTCATAACCTCAACAGAAGATATGCATCATAACCTAAACAGAAGATATGCAGAAGTCCAATTTCTATACTTTAAAGTAATCACTGAATAAGAATTATTGCTATCATTTCATATTTAGGTTAACCTAAATATGCCGCAATCATTAGTCTCCTGTCCTTTTACAACATGCACTGTAAGCTATCTCTAAACTTTATTTTTAAAGTTTCTAATATATCATTTTTGATCACTTTAAGTTCAACTAGAAGAATTACCTATCTTAAATTTCCACTATGAAACTTACACAAACACATCCTCACCTCTTACATCTATCCTCCACAAAAACGTGATGATGTTGCTAAATGAGGTTGCTAATCAGTCAAAAAACTAAAGCCAAGCAGCAAAGAAATAATAGCTCATGTGCAACTGGGTAAGTCTTACTTTGCTATTTGACTTTAGTTTTGGGGGAAATTATGTTAATAGCCCCTAGACAGTGTCTGAGGATCCATAGGATTTTTCAGATTCCCAACTCTAAGATCAGAGACTCCACTCTGAACTCTGAGTTAGAAACAGAACTCTGCTCCTGCCCCTTTGCAACTAGAAGGGAAATAATCAGACCAGCTGTTCTTTAAGGGACCTTGGAAATGGGTAAAAGGATCAGATAGAAGATTATACTTGGGAGACTAGGAATCTAGAGGAAATGTAAAGGGGGATTGCTCTGCTGCATCTCCTGCTTTACACTGGATGTACGCAGTAAGCCTCCAAGTGTGGGAGCTTACAAGAACACACAGGAAAGGTTATAATGGATCAGACCAAAGCTCCATCTAGTCCAACGTTCCATACACATGGTGGCAACCAGTTACCCACAGGATCACCAAGTGAGATGAGTGCAAGACCTCCATCTGCCCAAGCTCATCACCTGGTGTTATGCAGGCACGCCACCTCTAGTGCAAAAGGTACACATATCAGGGTACCTGTAAGCATTACTAGCTAAGTCTGTTCCCCTAATCATGTTAGGTCTTTAATTTAACTAGTCACTTTGAACTATTCAGTAAAACTATGGTACAAGTTACATGTAAATAAATTTTTTAAAAGAGTTAAAGCTTTTTTGGCAGAAATGAAAATAACTTATGCTGTTGAATCAGCTAAGTATTATTTCTGGCAAAACAAAGTTGTTTTGAATGTGAATCTGTTAATTCCATTTCAATCTGAATAAAGTGGATGCCCAGTATGGAACAAGTCACAATATCATCTTATTTTTAGATACTGGGATATTCTTCCTGCAGCTTTTAGATTGCAATCTGGTATTAACTTACCAGTCAATAGGACTTACTTATGAATAGACAAGTGTGGAATTACGCTGCAAAACACTGCTTTTCTGCCTGCCTTTTCCTTTAGTTAGCAAAATGTTTACTGAAACAAATAGTTATGTTTCTTGAAGGATTCTCTACTGCACACACTTGTGAGATGCACTTGAGCTCACTCCTTTCCACCATGGTGCCCTCCAAATATATCAGACAGCAACTCCTATAATTACTAGACAGCATGGAATTGGCCATGTACACTATAAATGATTGACAATCCTGCCTAACATGTTTAAAGGGCATCGAATTACAGAAGATACTTCAATGGCTATCAGCCTCACCATCTCTTAAAAAAAAAGCACTGAATAAGACTATGATTTCATTACCTTACATATTTGCATTACATTCAATGCTGAAAAAATCTTTACATCAGTAGTCATAGAAGAGCTTAAACCCCCCACTCCAAAACAGATTGTGAAAGGCTACAGGCAGACACTGCTTAAGAGATCATGCTATTTCAAACTACTGTGCTTAGCAGACTGATAAATATTGAAGTACCAAGTCAAACTGGTGTTTTCAACTAAGCATTGCATGACCATATTCAACAGTGCAGTTTTAAGCGTGTTAACTCAAAATATGTTGCACACAGTTTATTTTTGGTAAATTGCTTTATGTATCAATAGTGGATTGTCCATGAGCTACATATGACCCTCGGCAATGCCTTCTGTGCCACTCCCATTGCACTTTCTCTAGCCACCCGGCTGCCCAGACACCAGCTGAGGCCAGGCAACAGCTTGTTGTTTTCCTGCTGTTATTTGCAGTGGAGAACAGCAGTCCTAAACTGAAATCTGAAGGGTGAGATTTGCCATCTCCCCTTCAGTGCTTCTCAGCAGTGTTGGGAGTTTCCCAGCTCACCTGTAGCAATGAGTTAACAATGATCTTGAAAAAAATTGTTGGGAAGAAGGGCGAGGTTAAAGCCTTTCTGACCTATCTCAAGTAGAATTTCTGATGGAGAGGGGGAGAAGATAAAGCTTCTTTAACCAAATTTCTAGTGGTCATCAAGATTACCGTTTCCTCACTGTTATTGGCAATGAGTAAACAGCAACCTTCTTGAAGACTGCTGCAGCAGGACACACAACCTTCTCTCTGTTCACCAATATGAGACTGCTCATGACCATATGTGGCCCCTAGGAACAAAATGCTGCCCAGCACTGGTATGAGCAATCACTTCACAATTTCAGAAACCCAACGCACAATCTGTAACATACTTACCGACTGCCCTTTCTTGTGTTTCCGCCTGTACAGAACAGTCCAATTGATTTGACGGGGGTTTCTCTTGGAAAGGAATGCAGACTCACATTTTGCATTCAGGAACTGAAAAACCTAGAATAGTAAATCCATTTTAAAGCATTTCAATCATAAGATACAATACTATTTATTTGCAGATGTATCTGCAACTTATACAACTTATATAAACATACATATATAACTTATCTGTAACTTATACTAAAGCCTTCTGGAGACTTGAATGTAGGAAGAATCGTATTGAATAAGATGAAGGGTATCATCTAGTCCTGTATTCTGTCCATGAGAAATCCACAAGCAGGATTTGAGTACAACAGCACTCTCCTGTCCAAGTTAACCAACGATTGGTATACACAGACATACGATCTCAGATACTGCTGGTAGCAAAACAGCCATCAGCACAAGTAGGCACTTGATAGCTGCCTTCCCCATGAATGTAAATCCCTTTAATCACTTTTAAAGTCAACCAAAGCAGTGGCCTTAGCTACATCTTGTGGAACTGAAGTCCATATTTTCACTATGTGCTGTGTGAAACAAAATTCCTTTTATACCCCAAGTCTCCTACTGATCAATTTAATAGGATGATTCTGTGCACTAGTAACACTTTGTTAAATGAGCACTCTATAGGTCAAACTTCTTTTTAGCCATTTCTTAACTATCCAGTTTTATGAGATGCCACTATTGCCACGGCCCTATTTAGGGTAGGAGGAGAGATAAAAGCAATCTATGATGCTGCTGTGTATTATTTCTGCCATTCAAGCATTTCCTTCTAGAACTACTGTGGAAGACACTCCTCATCAACACTCAACAATTCCACATATAGTAGTAAAGTCATACCTTTACCTAGACTAATGATCCCAACACAATCATACAATAAAAAGATCCTGTAGTTCAGTGACATGCACATTTAAACAACCTTCAGCTATAGCATCACCCATTGACAGACATCAAGGCTCTGCTTAAAATCCTCTTAAAGAGATTTTACCACCTTCTGAGACCATCTAAACCACTGTCAAACAGCTCACGCCATCAATACACACTTTCTATTGTTTAGGGGAAATTCACTTTGAACTCTTCTGACAGAACTACAGTCCTAGCACATTGCCTTCGCTAAAACTGTCCAGCCAACAGAACGAAAAAGAGTATTTTCGTTCAAGTGCGCCTTTAAAACCCATCCACTGCCACTTTCCCGTATCTGTAAGTTAATGAAATGTAAGGCACTGTAAAAAACTTGAGACCCGAAGGAAACGCTAAGTCCCTTCTATTTTCAAAATTTATATTCCAGCCCTTCCTTTTCTGGCACCTTACCTTGCCGTCCGTACGCGCATAGCGTCGTCCGTGACCCGGGTAGATCTTGTACCCGCTGAAGCTGCACAACTCGACCCTGCATTGTGAGAAACGCAGAACGAGAAAGAAGAAAGGTTTAGCCAGACGACGAAAACCAATCCCAACCATTCCAGGCGGCCATCCTGGCGGATGGCATCCGATTAGATCCCGACCCCCGGTCTTACTTCATAATGGCGGCAGTATGAGCTCCCTCATAGGCAACTCCACCGGCAAAGAGAAAGAGAGGCTCATGGGAAACCAAATTCTATACTCGCGCGGTGCACGATGGGCACATCCGCTGTACTGATGCATCATGGGAAGCGCTGCTTTTTCTTTAGCACCTGCTTTATTCTTAAAATGCGCAAAAAATGATACTCGTAATGCTAGGATGTCCTTAAATTCTCCTATTTTCATCTAAATATATATTTTTTTCGAATCGGTTGTGATCATCCAATCAGCGTTTAGTGCCGCTGCCGTTGCCTAGTGTTGTAAGCAAGCGGGAAGTATGGCGGCGGCAGCAGTTGCGGGGACATCAACGAAGAAGACTGAGACCGTCAAAACAGCCATGGGCGGTAGGAAGATCGGCGTGGGGGGTTCTCGATAGATGTATTCACACATTGGAGGTGTAGAGAGTTGTAGCTTAATTGGGGGGACCTGATTAACGAATATTTAGATATATGTATCCTCGACTGTTATTAGGGTGCTGCGCGGGGTTTTATGGGGTTTGTAGTCTGTATTGCAATATATTTAGTTAGTGTTTTAAGTTAATGTCAGGATTGGACTACAAATCCCGAAGGACCCTTCGTATGGCTCTCTCTTTCTCTTTTCTGTAACGGGCATAATACATTCTAACTGCCCTATGCAGTTTGAAGAGGATCTGGACGCTCTGCAGTGTTTTCATTAGTGCGAACATGTAGTCAGAAGAAAGCAAGCCCACTTTGTCTCCAAGCCTTTCTTTTTCTAAGGCCTCTTCATACATGCACATAAAATGGATGTCTAATGGCAGGTGCCGTCGGCCATATAGTACATAAAACAATAGTTTGGAAGTACTGCTTTGATTCATTCCTAGTGTTGAGCTAATATTGTGAACTGTGTTCTGGTATTATCAGCATTTAGCTAAGAGTGGGAGACGGGTTTTATCACAAGGTGTTTGGCAGCACTTGAGCTCTTGTTAGTATTTGTATTCAGAATGCCACAGCCGAGTAGTGGAGCATCCAGTTTTTATTATTCATTACATTTCTATACTGCTCATAGCCAAAGCTCTCTGGGCAGTTTAAAATATTAAGTCACCCATCCAGATTGCAACCAGGCCTGACCCTGCTTAGCTTCCAAGATTAGACAGGATCAAGTAGTTGTAAAAAAAAAAAAAAAAACAAACAAAGCATCATGTGGCAGCTTAAATAGATAAGGCATGATCAGATGTATGCTTAGTCTGAAGGAAAAAAAAATCCATAAAACTTCCAGTATTCCCTAGGCAGCCATGGTGGTTGAGGCATGCTGGAGTTTGTGGAACACTTTTTTTATCCTGTTAAAAAGCACACAGAAGGCCACCATAAGACTCTGCTCATATGTTATCTGCTATCCCCAGCCTTGTGCCCTTAGATGTATACTTTAACTTGCTGGGGGGTGCTGGCAGCTATTATGCTTGGCTAGAGAATGCTGGAAGTTGTAAGACTTTTTTCTGTCTCAACTAGCCAAAAATTGTGTTTTCTGCACATGCTTTCATGAGATGTAGTCAAGTACCTGACGTGTTATGGAGAGTTTCAGATTTTTTACAGTATATTTGAGGGTGGGAGTTACATGTATACTGTATAAAGACTTGAGATTCTTCATGATCATGCTGTCCAAGCAGATTAGTTTTTTTTTGATAATTGAATGAAGTTATTTTTTATGATCAAATGTGTTTAAAGACAAACACAAAAGAAGAATAAGTTGGGTGAAAATTCACAACCTTAAAGATCTATTTTGACATTATTGCTATAGATGCTGTTTGTTATGGATGTTTACTTAAAACATCTCTAAACAGAAGAAAATGTTTTAATTTACTAAGTCTGTGTACCTTGCTTTCTAAATTTGTTATGTTAATTCCTGTTCATTCCCCCCCACCCCCAATAGGTTCATTAATTAATTGGTCAGGTCAAGGCTTACAAAAATTGGGGCCAGCATTATCCTGTGATGCAGAAACACATACTTTGATTCTGGATAAAAACCAGTTAACTAAATTGGAACATCTCGAGAACTGCAAGAATCTGATGCAGGTTAGTTGCATGTATCTGTGATTTTAAAAATGCTATGTGTATTAATTTATTCTTGTTTTACAGTTCCAGGAAAAAATCTTGGAAAACATGAATACAGTGGTATCTCGGCTCACGAATGCCTCAGTTCACGACTGAATCGGGTTGTGAACAGAAATTTCATAAAAATTTTGGCGCAGGTTGCGAACTCTGCATCAGGTGACGATTGTGAGCACACCTGCCTTCCCTGCACGGGTGCGATTGCGGTCGTGCTGGGGGGAGGGGGAGATGGCCACGATTGCACTTGCGTTCCCTGCCCACCCGCGCCTGCCTCCCCCTCCCCCCAGCATGCCCACCTCCCCCCCCCCAGAGTGCCCACGATCGCACCTGTCTCCCCCCACACAATCGCAGGGGGGAGGAGATGGCCGTGATCTTTGTTGTTCTTTGTCACTTTGCTTCAAATTTTTGTGGCAAAAAAAAATAGTTGCAGAATGGATTAACCTTATTTACCTTGACCCTTATGGAGAAATTTGACTTGGCTCATGACCAATTTGGGTCACGACCAGAGTCCTGGAACGGATTAAGTTCGTGAGCCAAGGTACTACTGTAGTGTGTCCTTGTTTGCTTCACTGATCAGATTAAAGGGAGTTGCATCCTGTGTGGCAGCATGCAAATGCTTGCCTGATTGTCATGCCGCCTTCCAACTGATGAATGCCCCAAGGTTAGCTCTGAATTGACAAATCCAGATCCTTGGTGGCATATTTGATTCAATTCAAATTGCCTGGCCTTGCTTTCTCTCAAGGAAACAGACCAAGACATTATGGCTCCGTGGAGGGGTTTCACTGGAGGCATGTAGTAGACCCCAATGGCTACTCTCATGTCCCTGCCAGTGCTGGTGGGGGGAATCCTGCATGAGCGATCTTGCTGTTCTGGCATTAGCAGAGGGGTGTGTGTGTGTGTGTGTAAATAATGACAGACATACAAAGTGTCACATACATTCATGCTTTTTTCCTTCTTATGTATATTTTAGTTCTAAGTTAATTCCCCAATTGTGTCATGAGTTTTTGAAAAATATGGAAACATTCCTTATTTGACTCAAGGTTTTTATTATTGTTTGGTACTTTGTAGTTGTCAGTAGCCAACAATCGGTTGGTGCGGATGATGGGTGTAGCGAAATTAACTCAGCTTCGAGTATTAAATCTCCCTCACAACAGTATTGGCTATGTAGAAGGGTTGAAGGACCTGGTGCACTTGGAATGGCTGAATCTGGCAGGAAATAACTTAAAGGTAACATTTCTTAACATTTTTTTCCTGTAATGTAAAAATAACTGGGTAACTGTCAAATTTTTGTGTTAGATCTACTTGAGGTAATAAACCACCTACTTGAGGTAATAAACAATCTTACTGCGATTTAATGTCTAGGGAATAGCAAAGGTCATTGTTTGGAATACAGTGCTAGATGAACAGTTTTAGATTTTCTAGTTTCAAGCAATAGTAAAAATTGGGGACTATTTACAACTAGTTGTATGCAATTAATGACTGGGGAATTAGTAATGTATATAGGCCTGACTACACCATGTTTCATAAGGTCCTATTTTTCTAGTGTAATGTACCATCAGTTTTCTGAATCTCTGCTTTATTAATTGTTATCTATAGAATCATCTCTGGAAATATGCTCCAGGTGCATACTTTATTAAAATGTTATAGCAGCATAGATATTCATACAACTTGTGAATTTAACCTGTGTAGGAGTTCAATCTGCAAACTGTTTTCATTGAGTCTAATGCGCTAGTGGTGAAGGACACCATGTTACACTATTCCACCTAGATAACTATCCAGTTTTGCCTTGAATGTCTCTAAAGTGAGAGAGCCCATGACTTCTCTTGGTAACTGGTTCCACTGTCATATTCCTGTAACTGAGGAAATTTTTCCTGGTATCTAGCCTGCATCTGGTGTGATTCAGTTTAGGTTTGTTGTTTTGTTTCTTACACTCAGGAAGGAGTGAGAAGAGATCTTTTCCTTCCTCTTTGTGACAGCCTTTGAGGTACTTCTAGAGTGCGATCATATCCGTTCATAGTCTTCTCTTCTTGAGGCTTAACATGCCCAGTTCTTTCAGTCTCTCTTTGTAGGGCTTAGTGATCCAGACCATGGATCATCTTTGTTCCCCTCATCTGAACCCTTTCTAGTTTTTCTGAATCTTTTTAAAACTTGGGTGCCCAGAACTGAACACAGTATTCCAGGTGAGGTCTGAGTAGTGCAGAGTAAAGGGGAACTTGTACTTCTCTTGTTCTGGAAATGTTGCTTCTATTTATGCATCCCAAAAGAGCATTTGCCCTTTTTTGTGGTTGCATCACATTACAGGCTCATATTTAGCTTGTTGTCTACAAGATCACCAAGGTCTTTGTCTTTTTCAGAGCTCTTGAGCCAGCTATTCCCCATCTTGTATTGCATTTGGTCCCCCCCCACCCCCCAATCTTTGCAAATCTACTGCAAAACAGGGCATTTGTCCCTGCTGAATCTTAATCTGTTGCTTTCCACCCAGCATTCTGTATATAGAACAGCAAAAATACTAACAGGATTCATTCCATATTTCTGAACTGATCTCTGGAGTCAGAGTAATGGGTTGGATGGAGATTAATCAATTGAAGGTTAATCCAGACAAGAGAGAAATTTGAGCTATGCTGACACATGCCTTGCTTAGATCACAACTGGATTATTGCAATATACTAAGTGGGGTTGCCTTTGGAAAGTATCCAGAAATTTCAGCTTGTTCAAAATACTGTGGTAGGATGCTGATTGGGACTTGGAATCAAAAGCGTGTCACACCAGTGCTAAAACAACTGCACTGTCTTCCTATGTGTTTTAGGTCCAATATGAAGTCTTGCTTTTGACATTTAGAGCACTGTACAGTTCAAGATCAGAATATCTCAATAACTGCTTCCGTTCATATGAGCCTACCCACATAGTGTATCCGTTCTGAACTCACCCTTAATTGGAATGAGGGAAAGGTATCCTCTGTTGTCATGCCTAGATTCTAGAGTTCCCCTTTCATGGAGATGTCTTGCACTCCCTTCTTAATAAGTTTGCTGTTGTAGCATGAAAAGGCTGACTTTATCACTTGGTCTATGTTGTTATTATGGTTTCTTATTGCTACCATTTCCACTGTTTTTAATTTCTTCACCTGCTTTTTTGTTTAGTTATTGCACTTTTTAATTACTGTTTTCATTTTTTGTTTCTTAGCCACGTTAACCTTTTATAATGAAAAGTAAAATTTAAATATTTTAAATTATGATGTTAATGTTAAATTTTAAACTTGAATTTCCTCTGAATTTTTCCCAGCTTAAAAACATCTCTTGGTCTTTGTTGTTGTAAATGGAAACCCATTGATACTTTCAGAAATGAGGAGACAACTTGCCATTGTTTCTGGAGATACTCTGTTAGAGCCTGATAACATCTACATACCTCATTTTGTTTATACATCTGTGTCTATCCCTATACATCTGCTGCCTCCTTATTTGCCTCATTTCTTCTTCTAGCTCTATTACACTATTCCTGCTTTAAAAATTCTAAATTATTTAACTCTCTTAAAAAGAGGTGTGCATGCTTCAAGGTACCTGAATAAACTTTGTTTTTTGTTAGAACCCCAAAGTCTAGCACTTGGAGTGAGCTATAAACCAATGGATCAGGGAAACATGCGCTTAGTAGAATTAAGAAACAGATGGCCTTTGAGCTCAGGGCTCAGACTTAGAATTTGTTTTGAGTATTAGGAACTGAACACAAAAATGCAGTCCTGGTTTCTCCCCCTGCAAACACACACTTCTTCATTTTGGCAGCCTAGTTTAGATGGGAGGGAGTCTTTTTGTTGCTGCTTTTAAACAATTGGGAATCAGAAATCTTTGCAAATCTACTGCAAAACACCCAAAGATCTACCTATAGATGTGATTTACCTTTTCTCTACCCCCCCCTTCAAGTAATGCAACCAGAGTAAAGTCGACTAGTTATCACCCTCTCATAATTTGTTCCTGTAACTAAGTTCCATTTTTCAAGTAAGCATTTTTTTATTTTGTGGAATTTATACCACCTGATATCTCACCTAGCTACCTTACCTCAACAGGAAAATGCATTGTTAGTGATTGTTAGCATAGTTCTGCTAGGAGTTGCACAATTACTACTACAACAGTTATCACAACTATCACAGGCAACTCCTATCCTAGAAATTGAATACTTCATCTGAGACTTGCATGTGGATGAAAATGGAGTTTTCATTACCAATTCTGATGCTTGCAGAATGATGTGATTGGATACAATCCATTATACTAGTTTGATGATAAATTCTGCAAACAAGATATATAGGCGATACAATCTTTTTCTAAAGATGGTTGCTTCAGAAACATATATGTAATAATTTTAGTATGTTTCATAATGAAAAATACTTTTCTTTTTCTATAGACTATAGATCAGATCAACAGCTGTACATCTCTTCAACATCTTGATTTGTCAGACAACAATATATCTCAAATAGGAGACATTTCCAAGCTGTTATCTTTAAAGGTGAATGTTGTTTGGTTGTTTGGACTGGATTGGGTTTTTTTTAAAAATTGAGAGAGCTATTCATTAACAAAACTACAATTGTATATGAATTTACTTGGAGTAAGTCTCAAGAAGTAAGTGTGGCTTCCTTAGGAGGCATTCATATGACTGCAACATAAAGCTATTTCAACTGTAATGCCAGGTTTTTTTTTTATAACAAATACTATTGAAACATTGGTTGGTATGTAAGAACATGAGAAGATCTATGCTGTATGAGACCAAGGGCCATCTAGGCTAGTATTCTTGCCTACACCCTGGTCAACCAGCTGCCTCTAGAACTCATAAGTAGAACATGAATGCAAGAACACCATCCCACACATGTTATCCTGCAACTGGCATACATAGGCATACTGCCTCTGGTGCTGGATGTATCGTAGAGCTGTCATGACTAGTAGCCATTTGTAATAATGGATGAGAGGATAGAACGGATTGGTTATTCTTAAAATCAGCGTGGTCCATTTATTCCAATGGAAATAAGGTGTGACTGACACTCTATGTCTAACTTATTTTGTTTCACTTAAATGATATAGAAATATGTTTTTGCATGTGACCAAAAAGAATCGATGTCAGCCATTTAGCATTTTCTGTGTTCTACAACTGTTATTTTCCAAAAGCATGTTTTGATGATTAAGATAATAATCTTCATTTTTAATATTTCAAAGCCCCTAATGTGTTATTGAAACAATTATTACATACTGCATTTTCCTCCCCTTCACCTGTGCTTCCAGACTCTGCTGCTGCATGGAAATATTATAACGTCATTGCGTACAACACCTGCATGTTTACCTCAAGGTTTAGCTATTCTTTCATTGGCAGAAAATGAAATCAGAGACTTGAATGAGGTAAGAATAACATTTCTCAACAAAAATTGATATTTTGATTAATACAGCAATCCTATCCTGGGAGGTAAGTCCCATGAAGGTCAACGGGTCTTACTTTGCATGAGATGGCAACCTGAGTTGGACATCCTGGTGGAGCCACATGCCTCCACAGTCACTTGGAGCTAAACTATCTACTCTATTGGCACCCAGTATGTGGAATAATCTTCCCCTTGAAATTAGAGGTGCTCCAAGACATTTTTAAATTTTGAGGCAGGTGTTGAAGGACCTATCTTTTTATGCAAGCCTTCTTTATGTAGTGTAATGTAGTCTGTCATCTTATGTGGAGTTATATATGGCATGTATTGGTCTTTATTTTCATGATTTTATTCATGTGTATACCACTTCAAAATCTTCAGGGTTAGATAGCTTATAATCACTAGCAAATAAGTAAATGTATTTTTTTGGAAAAAGTAATGTTTAACTTGTGATTGTATTTTAGCTTTTTTTAGTTTCCTTCATATAGCCATAAAGATCATTATCAGTTAAACAATTACTCCAGAATGGGATAAGGCAATCTGTGGAGCAAGTTATTATAATAACTTTACATTCCTTTGTGAATGTGTAATATAATAACTTTACATTCCCTAACCCTAAAATGTACTACTTGCTATACAAAAAATTAAAAAATATGACAGTCCCTGTTTTCAGGCTTGCAATCTAATGGATACTGGTTATAAAGAAGAAGGAAGCAGGAAGAAAAAGAAAAATAAGTGAGCCCAGACACCTTTTAGTAAAGTTACATAGTTATTGTAATAACAAGCTTGAATGGAAACAGTTTCAGTTGAAGAGGGGCTGGGTGGCAGCTGATCTTTCTGCCAAGCTGATTAAATGAGCCTTGCGATTTCTCCTCTCCCTATGCAGAGTTGGGTGGAATGACAGGTAATGTATGGTCCTTGAGAGAAAAGAAGAGCAACTGGTCTCTCAGTCAAGCTGGCAGAGTGGGCTCTGCTGTCCCTTTTCTACCTCTGCAAAATGGCAGCTGTTTCCTGCCATGCCAGTATAGTGGGCCATGTTCTCTCTTCTTTCCTCCTACAGGAACCAAGGGGAATGCTCTATATCTGAATACACTAACTATTTGATTAAATCAGTAGCCTTAGGAAACTATATTTAGCACTCTGTTTTAGATCTTCTAATTAGCCAAATATTTTGAATGTGCTTTGCATGACAACGCTGTCAGTATGAAACTAGGTTTTCCGGTGTTTCATGCTGGAACTCTGAATTTTGATCAGAGTTCAGATTTTGAATTAAATATGATCATAAGATTAATGTGAATATTTTGTGTTTAAGAGCTGTTTGGAATTTATGCTTTGGTACATCCAGAGAATGTATGATAATGCATAGTTCCAGTTCTATAGGTTAAGAAGACTTGGTAGGAATTAAATAGTGATATTTTAGAAGCATAATATTCTTAGGATAGAAGATTGGACTAAAGTGGAGAAGTAAGATCCCCCTCCCCAGGTGTTACAAGAACGACTCTTGAGTAATATTGCTTTGAGGATGGGAGAAGAAACAGATTAGGTTTGAACACCCGAACAGAGAGCAAAGAAAAAGATAAATATCAGAAGAAAAGGAAGGAAAAGGGGACAGGAAAGAACTGGTCAGCTCAGAAGCATAATAGAGTAAACCAGAGTGCAGTCAGATCCAGAAGAGATATATTCCTAGCCATATGGCAATTGAATAATCTACTATAACACACTTTTTTCTTTGACCTCACAGTCCCTTTTTTTGTATGTTGCATCTTTCAGAATATAATCTTGAGGGCAGGGACAGTTTAATGTTTTTGTAAGATGCTTGGGATCCTCTTTTGGCTTAAGATTTGGACTAAATGCTTTAAATACAGACATGATGGTAAGCAGTAGCAGCACCTGCTTCAAGCAACTGAGATAAATTTGCAGCCCTATAAAATACAGCAGTCCTTGTCGATCTTTTTCACCCTGTCTTTAAAGTGTAGCATAGTGGTTAGAATGTTGGACTGGGACTTGGGAGATCCAAGTTCTGATCCCACTTAGCCACAAGGCTCCATGATTGATTTTGGGCCAGTATCTGAGTATCAACCCACTTACTTCACACGGATGTTTTAAGGATAACATGGTGAGGAGGAGAACCTTGTAACCCACCTTGGATTTTTTTGCAAGAGGAACAAAGGTGGGATATAAATGTTATGTAGTAATAATGGGTTAAGGGCTGGAAGAATGAGAGCCATGAGGGTAGCTGCTGTAGGGCTTTCTATGTTTACTCACCAATAAGCCAGCAAGAATAATAGCAACCAATAGAAACAGAAATAATTTATTTTCTGTTATATTGAAGTGAATATCTGAAAAGATCCAACTGTTTCATATGTCCCCTAAATTTTGAGACAAAGTTTTTTTTTTAGGTAGCCTGTGAATGGAAAGAAGCAAGTTGATCCCTCCCCCGCAGTTGTATATAAATAAAAAGTGTTTCAAATGTGCTACATTATTAGTCAGCCCATGGAATTAAATTGCTAAATGCAGAAAAAATCTAGTTGTTAAAGTTATTGCTTATTTTTCAGATTTCTTTCTTGGCATCTCTTCCTGAGCTGGAACAATTGTCAATTATGAACAATCCTTGTGTGATGGCCACACCTTCCATCCCAGGGTTTGATTATCGTCCATATATTGTCAGTTGGTGCCTCAGTCTTAAAGTCCTCGATGGCTATGTGATTTCACAGAAAGAGAGGTCAGAAATTAATTACATTGTTTAATGAATCTGGCCAAACTTAAGTAGCATAGTATTCTGCATGTTCGTGCTTTTGCTAAAATGAACCACATTTACAATTCCCTTCACTTTGGTCATTCCACGAGCTGCTGCTATGGTGATGATGATGATGATTACTATACTACTACATCATGTATTTCATAACATAATAGCTGTAGAGTAAACATGGGATCTGACAAGGTAAGACAATAAAGGTGGACTAGGTGATATAGGTGGTAGCTTAGCACATTTTGACTAATGGGGTGGGCTAAAAATCTAACAAATAATGACAGAGATTGGGAGATGCTATATGGTTCTGGAATGTCTGGTCTGTGGAGAAGGCGGCTTAGAGTTGTGTACCATACCTCTAACTACTCGAACCCTCAATTAGTGGAACACGGGATATTAGGTATCCTGTTTAAATTCACTCAGAGGGTACTTTTCAGGCTGGTATGGCAGAAGAGTGAGTGGAAAACGATTGAGCAGGGAAAAGCTATACAAGTGGTGGGTGGAGTCAGGCTGAGTTACGTTTTAGGAGAGTCCACTGGTGCCATTAAGGGCAGACTTTTTGATGTGAGTTTGTATGCTTACGACCTGGACATCCCTCAAATCAGTACCTAGCCAGTCTGACTGATGGTATGGGACAAATGAGTGTGGCAAGCAAAGCATTGCTCCAATTCCAAAGACTACAGCAGGCTGCCTGCCACCCATTTTCATTCAGAACTCCGCCCCCACGACAGTAAGCTCAGTCAGTTAGATGCTGAGGGTTAGGGGTTAAAGGAGGGGGAGAAGGACTAGAAAAAGGCTGGGGGTGGTTAAGTTGTTGAAGGAGTCAGTTTTATTAGCTAGGAAATTGGTTAAGCCGTTAGTTGCTGTTATTTATTAAATGATTATATATTCTGGGGTTTTTTTGCAAATCCGTTATGAACGCATTCTGTTCTGGGTTATTCATGGGTAGCTTATTTCACTTCATGTGCTGACATCAATTTACATAGCCACTTATGTAAGAGGAGAGTCCACCTGCTCCATGTTTCAGTAGGTGGTGACTGTTTACTTTGGGGGATTTTGGGAAAGTCTGGATTCTGTAGTTACGCTAGGAGATGTGCCTAAATGACCTCTGGGGCCAGTAAACCTTGGGTGTCATCATTGGCATTTAAAAATAGATGATTCATTATTTAATTTTGAAGAATCTGCTGACTTAGACGACCGAGACTTGACTGGACAATGCTGGAGATCCTGTATGGTTCTAGCTTTGCCCCAGACTGAGGAGGCTGATCAGACGGGGTGTTGTTATCTATAGAGATACTGTTCTCTGTTGGGATATCCTATGGGTGCAACAGAGGGGTTGTGAATGTGTGCTGTTTTTGTTCAGTGCAAGGGAAGTATCAAACATTATGTTAGCGTTAGTAGTCTGAGCAAGAACTCTTTGTCGTAGTATTTCTGTATTAAACACTTGCTCTGGTGTTGCTCCTGAGTTACAATCCATTTCTTCTTGATTGGGTTTCTGTTTCTTATATGATTGCACAATGCTTTGTGCTCTTTTGTATTTACATTTCATAAATATTTAGTCTGAAAAGTATTTCTGGCAAAGTTGATGACTGTTTGTGTCTTTCCTGTAGCTTGAAAGCAGAATGGCTTTACAGTCAAGGAAAGGGAAGATCATTTCGGCCAGGCCAGCACATCCAGTTAGTACAGTATCTGGCCAGTGTTTGTCCTCTTACAAATATGCTTGGGCTTCAAACAGCAGAGGATGCCAAACTGGAAAAAATACTGCATAAGCAAAGGTGGGAACATTATCTTTTGTTAGCAGTGACTAATCTTAATAAAAGAAGGAATTGTTTCTTGTGGCAAAGGCATCAAAAGACTAACCTGTATAAGTTCGGCAGCTTCAGACACTTCCAACCCTAATTTTTGGAATTGCTCTTCTCCAAGGAGCAGGCAGATATAGAAACTGTCAGGGCATAGTCCTCTGGAGAAGGGAGTATAAGCTTTTGAAGGTAAAGGCTCACAGTCCTCCAGTGCAGAATGGGAGGAATGGTGGAGGCAACCTTCATTGGCCTTCTCCCCCCAGTCTGCATTTTTGCTAGATGGCCATTTTCAGTTGTGTAGTGACAGTGATTGAGAGGGGGAGACTAGGAAGCCAGTGAGGTGTCAGGATACCTTGTATCCTTGCTATTCTAGTCTTCTTCCCTCTGTACAAAATGTCTCATTTAACCCCTGCCTGAGTTTGCTTTTTCAAACTTTGAGAGCAGCCATGTGATTCTTTTCTTACTGGCTGCAAGAAGTTGGAGAAATGGAATTGGAACTTCAATTCCCAGCTCTGAAGTTGGAATGTTGTCTCTGATCTTGAAACTGGGAATATAAAGTATTGTATGTACCTCATATAATGTCTAGAGGCCACGGTTATGTTTCCTCACTCACATGTGCAAATTTTGCTATTATTAAAAAAAGTCTGGTGGTTCTTAGAACCACTGCTCCGGTGTTTTATGTAAATAAAACCACCTTCTAATTTTTGTCTGTAGGTTGCATCAGAGGCAACTGATGTACCAAAATCAAGCTGATGAGCAACCTGTATCATCAACTGTGCCTAAAGAGCTGTCTGTTAGAAGTGAGCCAAACAGCCCTGTCCATGGGTCACAAATAATGACTGGAAGTGGTAAGAGTCATGCACACCATGCTTTCATATTGGTCCTGGTGAAGAGACCTGTTGTTCGTTGAAGTAGTAGTCAGCATTTCCACTGACTTGGGCTCAAAGTGAGAAAAAATTGTGGGGGAGAGGGAGCATGGATATAAATTATGGTAAGACAGAAAGAAGCTAGTAAAGGGAAATTGGATGGACTTATGAAGACTGGCACTCCAATAGATGGTTATGTAATATGAAATAGGGAAACATAAGTAGGTATCTGTAGTCAGATGCTGCCTCATTTGAGAAAGGGGAACAGTTGTAGCTCTTCTCCTTTAGGGAAAAGCAGCAGTTCCCTAGAGATGGATTTCCTTTCTGTTCTTCCCAACCAATACACAACCTGCAAATATATTGAGCAATTGTACTGCTGCCTAGTTTACTTGAATTGCTTTTTATAGTTGTGATAGTGCTGGGTAATCACTAGCTTGTGCTGTTAATGGAAGACCAGCATTTGATTTCTTGCTGCTTCATTATGATTCTTTTCACAGTGATCTATTCTTAGGTTCTGTAACTGGTTAGGTACAGTTGTTCGGTTCCTCACCATCCATGGCAGGTGTTTCCTTGGTAGCATTTCTTGGTTCAGAACCTGTTATCACTCTAGCTATGTGTTTCTGATAACTGAAAGCTCGTGTAGCATAGAGGTCGAAAGTATGATCTGGAAGTCTGGTTCAAACCTCAGTTCATCTATACGCATACTTAGCCATCAGCCACTGTCTTTTATTTCCAGCTGCCAGTTATACAGTGTGAGTACTAACACTGGCTTTTCTTCTAGAATTCTTAGGTGAATTACTGAGATAATACCCATGCAATGTGTGTATATACTGAATATATGCCATTTTTTTGAAAACTTATATCCCATTTGGTTTCTGTAGATTTATGGTGAGATAGGTATGGAATTTCTATAAATGGCAATAACACAATGGATATTCTGTGCATAGAGATACATTGCATGATTTTATGAAAGCTCAGCCAGTGAGGCCCATGCCAGCTGGAGGGCCATAAGGGAATCCACACACCACAGCTGTAAAGCTTTATGTATGATTGTTTCTTTATATGAAGTAAAGTATAAAGGAAATATTTGAAATAGGGGCTAAAATTGTTCCCTAACTGGTGACCCCAGCCATTTAATGCAGCCTACTGACTGAGTCATACTCAGGTGTGATGCAGTGTTGGGAAGAGACTTTTATGAATTTACAGTGTGTCCAAGGGCCATGTGCAGAAGAGCCCATCTTCCCAGCTCAGGTGGGTTTGATCTTTTCCCTTTCCCCATGTCCCTCCTTGCCTTCAGCCAGATGCACACAATCCTGGCTATACAACAATTCATCCAATCGACAGACTGGCTATTATTTAAGGAAACAACTAGAAACTTTGGCTTGTAATAAGATGATGGCTAATAAGAAAGGGGAATCTCAGTAATGCTTTCCTGGGTCCCTCATGCACATAGGAGGTACATCATGTTGACTGCTGTTACTTCTTAGTATTCAACACATATAAAGCAGGAGTGGCCAGCAAACATCCCATGGGCCACCCCTCAACCTAGTGTGGGCCCCACTGGTCATTCTGCTGTCCTGCTGCCAATTTCACTGGCACAACACAACAGAGGAAAGAGCCAAATTTAGTTTTTCAGTCATAGCCATGCTGCCATTGTGCTGAATTAGGTGAAGTAGTGGCAGGAATGCAACCTCCAATCATATTCAAAGGATGGAAATCAGTGCCTGAACCTGCCAGAGTTCCCACCCCTGACATGAAATATTGTCATCTTGTTCTAACTCATTCTTCTTTTCCAGAACGTGTTATCAAGAAAAATACCTGGGTTATGACAAAACCCAATGATGACCATTCTTGTGCAGTTAAGGATATTTGTCCAGCTTCCGTGCAAGCTGAAAGTACTTCTAAGGATCTTTTTCTGGATGACATACAAACTGATGAGGACAAGTTGAACAGTAGTCTTCTGTCCTCAGAATCTACTTTTATGCCTGTTGCTTCTGGGCTCTCTCCAATGTCTCCAAATGCTGCAGAGCTCAGGTTTCATGGAATTTGTATTGATGTAGAAGAGATGGAGGGTGTTGGGGCTAATAAAGAAGATGAAGAAAGACAGGAAAATACTTCTATGGTTTTTGGAGGGCATGCTATCCAGTCAGCAGTGGGTGGGAAAATTCAAAAAGAAGAGCAAGAGGAACGGCTATTTTTCACTTCTAATTTATCAGGACCTACTACTGTTGCTCTACCTGCCTGTATTAGCAGTTTCCATACATCTTCTGAAGACCATTCTGAATCCAGTAACTTCAAACAGTCACAGACACCTGATGAGAAATTAATCAGAACTGCTCCCCCTGCCAGATCTCTGGAAGAACAATCCACTGATACATCTGTTACTTTAATCCAAAAGGAAGATGTACATAAAGAAAGAAACAGAGCAGCCACCAAGCTGCAAGCTTGTTGGAGAGGATTTTACACAAGGAACTACCATCCTAAAGCTAAGGAAGTCCGTTATGAAATTCGACTTCGCAGAATGCAGGATCATATTAAACATTTAACTGATGAAGTAAAAAAGTAAGTTAGCGACCATGAACCACAAACTGTAGTAATGCCATAGAAATTAGATGGCTACAGTTTGTGATTAGATATAATCCCTGATTAAACTACTAACAATAGGTTGGTTTAGATTAAGGCATGCACAACTGTATTAAGAGAAATGGATGTCTCCCCCCTCCTTCCCACAGCAGTCACTCCAGCTGCCTGATTATGCCACACAGAGGCTCAGGAAATCCTGCGGTACTGAGTGAACTGTGGTACTGAGATTCCCCAATGCTGAGCCCTTCCATCAGTAGAAAGCAGCCCCTGAATTCAACTTGGTGTTGCTAGCACAGTGGCAGAATATAGCTGTTGGATCCTCTTCAGTTGATAAGGTTTTATTTATTTTATTTTTTATTTATTAAAACATTTTTATGCCGCCCCATTCGCCGAAGCCTCGGGGCGGCTTACAACAAAAAATTTTAGGTCTTCCTGTTTCCTCTGCATGGGCACAATCGTATAAATGCTTAGAGAAAAACAGGCCCTATAGCATAGTATTGTAAGTGAATGCTATATTTGGGCTAAAATGGAGGAAAACTGGAAAAGAACAGAAGATATAATTGTTCTTTTGAATAATTTACCTCAATGTTTAGTGTACAAAAAGAACCCCAATCTTCATTATTACTGGCAAAAATAAGGGGTTTGCTCATTATTATGATTATTTTAAGCATAGATAAATAGCATGCCTACATGTTGAATTTTAAGGCTAATTTATTTTTACCCACTTCTGCAAATGCAGAGTAAAGTCTATCCTTAGAAGTACTGCAGGAAATTATTTTGTTGTGGATGGATTAGAATCATTTAAAAAACTTTTATGGTTACCATTTATAGATTAAGGAAAGAAAAGGATGAAGAAAAGCTTCAACGACTTGTGCAAGAAGAAGCTGTGAAATTCCTTTGGGACCAGGTAAAAAAAAAGTCACTTTCTGACTTTTTATCGATAAAAGTCAAGACATACAAGGGCATATAGAGAAATATGTGTTGTTTTTTATAGTTGGTCTGACCAATCATTTCCTGTATTAATATTGGTCTTATGTATGAAATTGAATATTTGGCAAGATGTGGTGTGTATATGTATCTCTTTGCGAAATTATAACATTTCCCTATTGTGGTCTTTACAGGTTAGATCTATCCAGGAATGGCAGCTTTCAATAAACCCACATCTGTCTACCATCTGTCAACATGTAACTCCTACATCAAGTATTTTAGATTGCACTGATCTACCTGTGAAGTCATCTGGGTCAAATAAAATACATTCTCCTGTTGATAGTTCAACATGGTTAATTTCAGCTGCTGAGGCATGTCATCGGAATCATTTACCAGAATTTCCTGATTCAGGCTTCCATTCCTGTGTGACTGATCAAAATTGCCTTAATGAATCACAGGGCTCTGAAGAAAAATCGGTAGAAGTAACTGAGAGTGCTCTAGGGAATCCTTTGGAAACAGTCAGACAATGTGAAGATCCTTCAGGGTGCCGTTCTAAAGCTGAGGAGGTCCAACTGTACCATGGGGAATATAGTAAAGACAGCTTCAGCAGTGATCAGGATAGTAGTCTTCTCCAGCAGTATTTAAAATCTGTTGAGCAGCTAGATGAAGCACATAGTAAGACCAATTGTAACAGTGGGACAGAAAGTAGTAGGCCCCATACAGTTGCTTCATCAGAAGACCAGGAAGACTTATGCAGTGCTGTATCAAGCTCTCAAGAGCTACTTCCGTCAGCTCAAGATAGAATTGGTCATACCACAGAAATGTGCAATTTGAATGAAGAAACTGCAGAAGGAAAACAGACAGACTGTGATTCTTCATTCCAGATACTTCCTGTTAGTGTATCTGTGTAGCAGGCATACACTTGTTTAAAAAAGTTAGAAAAAGCCTCATTAATGCTTTTTGTTATTTATACAGGTTTTCTATATTATTTTTTTGGCAGGGGGTTGTGCTTTTTTGCTGTTAGTACAGATTAGGTCGTAAACATTTTTACTAATCTTCTGACCTTTGACTGACACTGTGTTAAGCTGTTAACAAGTAAGGTTCACTTTTATGAACACGATGCACTTATTTTTTTTGTGATTTGAACAGTAACAGGTTTCTATGAAATACAATTTTGAAGATTCTCACTACTTTTCCTATTATCTTAGTCGAATTAAGCAGTTTATTTTGTCCCCGGAAGACAAGGATAGAAACTTACTATAATCCTAATAAACTATGGGAGACATTAACATAGTTGAGAATGTTTGTAATTTGAGAGTTACAGGCAAACAGAACATTCATTGAACAATATTGGTTTACATCCAGATTTAGGCACATTCAGCTGAGCTGCTAGAAATGGATTTCCCTGTCTGCTCTTCTCCACAGCACCCCGTAAACATGGTACACAGAGGGCCAGCCGATGGAGTGGGGTGGTTTGTGGTGCACTGGCTTTGCTTATACATGCTTAAATCTGGATCTGGCCCAGTGCATTTTGACCAACTACTCAAAAGTGTATGCTTAAACTCAGGTACTAAGCCATAGCTTGGATATTTTATTTGCTAGCCTTGCTATATTTACAAATGGTTTTCTTTGCTTTTTAAGGCTTAATAGTCCATTTATCTATAAACCTAACAGGTTTTTACGAACATAGCTGCAGAGTTCTATACAGCGCAATCCTTTGTCGTAAAAGACTGTGGTGCAGTTTTGATTGATTACTTGATTTTTCAGAACTAAACAAAAGCTGCTACAAACATGCTGCAACAGAACCTGCTTCAAGATTCCAAGGGCTAGGACATAATTGTCATCAGCCTCTAGCACTGTGTGCCACTGGCACAAGGCTGACTTGTTTCCCTTGTGCACCTTTCAACAGTACAGGTTTGCTCTGGCAAATCCCTTAAATAACAGCAGGTGAGCTTTCTTTTAAAGCTGAGTCAGAGTTATATGGCTGTTAATTTTTCATAGGATGCTTCTCCAGCTATTCAGATATTAGCCTTGCATGGTGCTGCAGTGACTGAAGTTTAAGACAAATGTGCTTCAATATACCCCAAGAAATTATTGGGATTGTTGTCATTGTCTGTTCAAACTGTCTCCATTAAAATAGCAGGGACACAAGAAAGGCCAATGCTTGCATTTGCTGAAGAGGGATTGGCTTCTAGACAGATAATCCTACTACATTATAGTTACTCATGGGTCTTGGGTTTTCTTGCAGTCATGGAATAACTGTTACGTTTTCCATACATAGCCACTGCTTTTCAATATTATATGTAGTTGCTGTCACTAACATGTAGTTTATTTTCATTAAATTTTGGAACATGGAGATGTGATCATTGCTGACTTGACACCCAATATTGCTTAAGTATAAAATCAAAGTTATAGGCTGTCTTTAGATGAGTAAGTCAATTGTAGAAATTGCCTATGGAGAAATTTTTATGTATATATATTTATATATGGATAAGTGTTTTGTAAAAATACTTACCACTTGAATCCTTACCTTCAGGTTTAGCCTTCTTGCTTTTTGGAATGGAATAGTTTCTGCTGCAATTTTCCATTATGAAAAGCAAGCGAGAATAGATGTGGGTTTAATTGAGGATTTGCTTAAGGAATCTTCAAGACTTATCTCTGTTGTATTTCTCCAAGATTACCTGTTGCATTTTAATATTTGGCAAATATTTATTTTAAACAATGCTGCATAAGCTTAATTTTAGCTGTTTTTATAAGGACAATTTCTGCATATTTTGATGATGAAAAGGGCACATCTGCCTTCTAGTTGGCTTGATAAAACCTGTCTTCCTTCCCAGGGAAATCAGTGGGAGTTTAAAGTTTCAGCATTTTGGTGGCTTGGGGAGTTTTAGAAAGTTATTTCAGGTGCTTTTAGCAACACAGCATTAAAATACGTCCAGTGTGAATAAAAGAAAATTTCTGTTGATCCAAAGTAGTGTGACGCTAAAAGGAATCATGAGTTTTTGACTGATCATGAGCACAGAATTTACTGCTTTGGTGTAGCATGTATAAAAGATTGATTAGATCTGGGTGCAATATGCTACCTGAATGCATCCTCAGGAACACATGACTTGTAAGTGCCATAATTTCACAGGAAAACCACATTTTCAAAAGGAAAAAAGAAAGAACAAACTTCGGAATGATTAGAGTGTTTATCTATGCCAAGGATGAGCATTCATAATAGGATAGGAGAATAGATGATGACCTATCCATCTTTCCACGGCCACATTACCTAAAAGAGGTGTGGCCATGCCATTGTGCCAAGAGCAGGTAGGTTAAGTTGCTCAGCTTGGCTCTACTTGTCCAGTTCATGTGGGAAAGCAAGGAATGAGTTAAGGCCGGTCATGTGGAGATGAATGTGGAACTGCTGCTCTTCCAAACTCCTTGATCAGAAATACCAAGATGACACTTTCCCTTTCTTCCCCTGAAGCCCCTTGTGGTTTCCAAGCTAGGGAAAGGGGTTCTGGGAGGGAAAGGAGCAGAACTCACAGAGGGACTGGGTGGGTAACTTCTGCAGGCCGGAGGCTGCCACCCATAATCTGGCAGGAGAGCTTGAAAAATCATACCCACAAAGGAACCTCTGGTTGAATATATGTTTTAATGAACATTTTTGTTTTTCTTCTGTGCTATGCCTGCATGTAACAACTTAAATGTGACTATGTACAAATATATACTAGTGTGTAGCCTTTCTCATCTTTACCATACTCAGCAGTTCATTCTGTTTAATATATTTAGTTTGTATGGAACACTGTATGAGGCTTTGGTTAGCTTCTGCAGAGTTATGTGTAATTAGTTTGTGTATATATGCAGAAAAAATTGTGGCACTATACAGACTTAGACCTGAAGGAAAGTATTGTTGCTTTTGCCAGGAGGAAGGAAGAGTAAGCTATGGGAATGTTCAGATTAATAAAACAATGCAATTTTAATTGGCTTCTTTTGGACTGCCACCAGATTCTGAAAACATGGTGTTACATGTGTGTTCATTGGTGTGTGAAAGAGAGATGGGTTTGATATGTATATGATTGTTCTAGCTTCTTGAAACCTGAGTCAAACTTATAAAAGGGCAATAACATAGAGTTCATTTTTTCGCAGCTCTACAGCTTCTGCTGCTGACTTGCCACCTGTGCATCCAAAGGCCCCAAGCCAACTACTTTAGCCATTTCATAGTAAAGTTTGAAAAGGGAATTGGGATATACTTCTAGCTTTCTTTCTGCCCCAATGCAACTGACAAATGGGAAAATGAGCAGCTCTTTACCCAACCTCCAACAATGGTGCTGATAGTGATAGTGTGCTGATACAAGTGCTTTCCTCTCTCCCTGCATCTCACATTTTTTAAAATCATGGCAGCATTGGGCCCACTCCAGAAAACATCTTAAATAGTGCATTATGGCTTTTCATTGCCCTGTAAGCAGTCTTATAATTGTTTCTACATTTCAATGTTCTAATCAGGAGTTTTGCTGGCGTTTGCTACTCTCCAGAATAAAATGTATTAGTCTTCAAAGTGCCACAAGACAGATTTTTTTTTTGTATCTTCATCTTTACCCCTCAAAATACCTGAATCTGAGAACATGGTGTACTGGTAATGATGCATTAGCATTGACAAATGGAGTGAGTTGTATGTATGACCTACATAGCCATGTGATGTAATGCTGCTCTTACTGGAATAACTAATAACACTTCCACATCTTCAAAAGGACTGAGGGAAAGTGCTCTTAAGAGGAATTTAATTTTTATACATTTCTGGCTATGAAATGCTTTCACTGCAGTTCACAAAGTTAACACAATTACAAGCTGGATAATTGTAATTTGCTCAATTTTCAGGAGAAAATGGACATGTCATTTGCAGTAGACTTAAAGCGTGATACAACTTTTCTAATGTTTTTCTAAAAGAAGAAAAAATGAAAATAGCTTGCATGCTACAATTTTTGAAAATTTACAGTTGCGAGTAACTTGTCTTGGTGTGACTGAATAAAGATGTTTTCTGAATTATGTGGGTCACTTGTCAGTTTGCAGAATGTGTCTGATTTGTTTTCTTGATAAACAACTTGCTCACATTTCTATCATTGCCTGCACCTTCTGTACCCCATTCTTAAGCTAGAAAGGTTCAAATGTCTTAGTATGAAGCTGTTGTGAAATTGCTCCATTTCCTCTTTTCTGCTGAACCCATCCAAAGCTCAAAGGGGACACAGCACTACCTTTTTCTGTCTTAACATGCCAGAGCCCCCCGTCTCTCCTTCCTGCCCCCAGGAAACTAAGCCACACTTTTATGAAAGCGTAAGGCTGACTATACTGTGCAGGTAAAATTTTCACTGCTAAAAGTACAAGAAATCTGGGAAAACAAGTCCAGACACCATCCACTTACCTCTCCCTGATTATTCAGAAGTAACACAGCAGAGGTATATTTCATTAGGCAACAATGAGCAAGAGAGATCAAGTATTCCCCCCTAGAAGAGCACTGGTGCATTGATACTAAAGTCTCCATTGTTGTGAGGAGGGATCAAATAGGCTGTTTTGCTAAACATACTGCATTCTGATGAGGGACAGCTTAGTTCACATCCCTACTTACTGGCTGACCCTGGGCCAATCACTGGTCATCACTACAGCATAATTCGTAGGACTGCAATGTTAAAAAGATAGGTGGTGGTAAAGTCCTTACCTCCTTGGAGGAAAGTTAAATAAAGTAAGCTTAACTTCTACAGTTGTGTGTGTTCACATACATATTTAGCATTCTATGTCCAAAGTCATACATGGTAGTGAAAAGTAACGTAAGTCAGGTACTTGGTATGATTAATGAATGTGCACAGTCCGCCTGCTACTGCAGAATTTTGAAACTCGTGTGTTAAGGGAGAATTATTGCAACACTGATTGCTGAGATAAAACTGCTATACTTTCAGGTGATTTTATTTTGCAGGGAAGAGAAGACTAAAACTCCTAACTTTGTTCCTTGGTGACTTAATCTCCTTTTCCAGACATAAATTCACGTTATTGTGGAATCCATGCCTTCTAACAGCAGAAACATTTTTAGTAGTACTTGATGGTGAAGGAAATGAATTTGCACATGGCCAGAGCTGCTTTTACTTTATGCCCTCAAAATGAGAATCCAGCTTATCATGTTTTCTCAGATCTTAAAAGTATCATGCAGACCATTTTGAAAAAAGATAGAAGAATATTTTGCTGAGTATAAGGTATTTAATCTTCCCCTTAACACCCTTTCCCCCGGACACATTTTGTCTAATGGTTTCAGTTTTAATATGTGCAAAATCCAGTCAGGCAATACCTTTATTAGAACCAGCCAAGGTGCACAAAATTATAAGCCTTCGAAATCATTCAGGCATTGCTCAAAGCCCAGGAATAGTGGTGGAGGTGAAGCTCTCTCTATGTTTAAGTCATGAAGTCTGTGCAGCCTTCAGAAGATATGAACAGGTACAGGCATACCTCAGAGATATTGCACGTTCAGTTCCAGTCCACCACAATAAAACAGGTAGCACATTTTTAAAAATTTCCCAATGCATGTAAAAGTTATGTTTATCCTATACTGTGGCCTATTAAGTATGCAATAGCATTATGTCTAAAACAGCGTTCATACTTTAAACACACTTTATTGCTAAAAAATGCTAACCATCATCTGAGCCTCCAGTAAGTCGTAATCTTTCTGCTGGTGGAGGGTCTTGCCTCTGTGTTGGTGGCTGCTGATCAGGATAGTGGTTGTTGAAGGTCAGGGTGGCTGTGGCCAATTCTTAAAATAAGAAACACAAGTTTGTTACATTGATTGACTCTTCCTTTAACTGAAGATGTCTCAGTAGCCTGCAATGCTGTTTGATAGCATTTTACCTATAATAGAATGTCTTTCAAAACTGTAGTCAGTCCTCTCAAACCCTGCTGCTGCTTTAGCAACAAAGTTTATGAAATATTCTAAATCCTTTGTTGTCACTTTAACCATCTTCACAGCATCTTCACCAGGAGTAGATTTCATTTCAGGAAACTATTTTCTTTGCTCATCCATAAGAAGCAGCTTCTCATCCATAGAAGTTTTATCATGGGATTCCAGTCATTCATTTGTATCTTCAGGCTCCACTTCTAATTCTAGCTCTCTTGCTATTTCCACTGCATCTGCAGTTATTTCCTCCACTCAAGTCTTGAACTATCTACACTAAGTCATCCATGAGGGTTGGAATCAACTTCTTCCAAACTTCTGTTAATGTTGATATTTTGACCTCCTGCCATGAATCATGAATGTTCTTAAGGGCATTGAGAATGGTGAATCCTTTCCAGAAGGTTTTCAGTGTACTTTGCCTAGATCCATCAGAGGAATTACTATTTATGGCTTCAACTTAAAGTTACCAGCTGCATTAGCCAGTAACAAGAAAGTCAGCCTGTCCTTTGAAACGTTGAAACCAGGCATTGGCTTCTCTAGCCATTCATCAATTGCCTCAGCTAGATCTTCTGGATAACTAATTGAGCCCCAATTTTTGTTTTGCTATTTTCAGGTTAATGGAGCTAGTATGCACTGGTATATGCAGCTTCTAGACCCTTGTGATGTCACATTCCGTCTCTGATTTGGAGACTGATGGCGGCTGCAAGCGGGGTTGGCTGCGGTTGGCCCAGAACAGCCAGCACCAGTGCCATGGATGGCCATGGGGCAGGCAGGTCAGAGGGAGGAAGTTGGTGTGGGAGTGATGCAGGACAAGCTGCTCCAGTACCAGTACTTTTTTTATTAACAATAAAAATGAGTGTGTAGATACAATTGCCTTTATTATTTATTCTTTTAAAAACAATTACTATAATATGATGAAAAAAATTCACATGATGTATAGGTTTACCCCCCCCCCCCGTTTTTTGCCAGCTATATCTGGTTTCAAGAATTATTTTATACACCAGTATAAATGGTAAGTTCACTGTCTTATATGGGCATGCATCATAGTATCCCAAAACAACTGGAACAGTAGCATCAAAGATCACTGATCATTATAACAAATACAATAATGAAAAAGTTTGAAATATTGCAAGAATTACCTAAATATGACACAGAGATATGAAGTCAGTAATTTTTTTTATTTTTTATTTATTAAAACATTTCTATGCCGCCCCATTCGCCGAAGCCTCGGGGCGGCTCACAACATAAGATAAAGTACAAAAATAACAATATAAAAATCACAATATAAAATAAATAACAATATAAAAGAAGTCACCCTGGCCAGATAAAAGCAAATACTGTTAACAATTAAAATGACGCTTAAATAAAAAGGTCTTCACCTGGCACCGAAAAACAAATAAAAGGACATCTCTGGGGATGCCAGAGAGCTGTTTGTAAAAAAACCACAGTATCTGCACAGTACAAAAAAACATGTATGCCTGTACAGGGCTGGCTCTAAGGTGCCATGCGCGTTTTAGGTTACATCTGTGAAGAAAGAAAGCTGCCCTGACAGTGACTTTAAAGAAAAGTAAGTGTTTTTCTTATAAAACCGCTTACTTTATCTTATTGCAGTCTCTTTTAAACAATGGCTTCCCCATTTCTTAAGGAGCCTAATAACAACCCCACGGTGATACTTAGGAGTGTTTTCTATTAATTTTACTTCCCCATGGGCCACTGGGAAAGCCAGCTAAGTAGCCACATCCCAGATTCCCTCTCTTCTCACTCCAAAGTAAACAAACAGGAGTGGAACACGAGTCACGGCAGCAGAGGCCATAGCGGGGCAAGGCCACGCTGCACAGCAAACGGGACGAATCGCGTCGCTGCAGCCACCAGCGCGGATGGAGTGCAGCAGCGAGAGGGGCAGCGATCACCGGAGCAAATGTGCGCGCACGCCATGCTGAGGAACCGCTGAGCTGCAGTCAAGGAGGCAGCCGCAAGTATTAGCATGATCTGACGGGCACGCCGCGCGGGCGGACAGGCGAGCGGGCGCTCCTTGCAATCTGCACGAGAACCGCTAGGCAACGCGGAGCGAATGCGCGCCGCCTGACTGCGTCGCAAGCCAAGTCCCCTTTCTTAGGGTGGTCTCGTCCTCCGATTCAAACCCGCCTCCGACTCGAAGGCAGCCAATGACTCTCGGCTGGGAAAGAGCAAAGGTGGGAGGGCGACGGCGCAAACCAGCGGATTTCTCCGGGGCCGGGGGAGGCGACGCCGCTGGCAGCTGCGAGGGGCCCGGTGAGTAGGATAGAAAGGATGCTGCGATGCGGGGCTTTTCTCTGTTTCTCCGCCGTTGGGTCCAGCCAATGAAAGGAGAAGCGGCCGGCAGGGCTCAGTCCCATCTGCAGCTCTGCCTATAAGACACTCGAATAGGGACGCAAGAAGCGGGGCGGGCTGCAGTCGCGGAGGAGAAGACGGAGTGGCAGCAGTCTCCGGGGCCGCAGTGCCTGTTACTGGAACTGCTCTCGCTGACCCCGCCAACGTTAGCTGCCCTTCTCTTACTCTTTCTTTTTCTGACCCTGCTCTCCATCCTCGCAAAATAACGGTCCCCGTCCCCGCCTTGTTTATTCGTTTATTTATATCCCGTCTTTTTTCCTTTCAAGGAACGCAGGTTGGTTTACATAATCTGCCTCCTCTCAATCTTATTCTACAACAAGCCTGCGAGGTAGGGTAGGCTGAGTGTTACTGGCCTGAAGTCACGCTGATAGTTCCCTGGCCAAGTGGGGACTAGAACCCAGATTTCCTGAATCGCAGTCCCACACGGACTATCAAATTTTTAGTACTTAATATTCAAATTCATGTTGAATAATTGGTTCTTGTAATGAACATGGATGACTGGGGGTTGGAAGAGATGTATTTATTGTTACATTTGTATGTCTACAGTAGTCTGAGGGGCTCTCTAGGTGGGGTACACCAAAGAAAAGGCCAACATTCAGAAATGTAAAATTATTATTATTATTGGATTTTAGTAATTTTACCATTTTCAGTATTCTGTAAATGGTAAAATTACTAAAATCCAATAATAATAATAATAATAATAATAATAATAATTTAACAGTCATCATTATAAATCATGGCC